ATACAAAAGCCTTATTACCAGGTGACATAGGGTTTCAGACTTATTACCAGGTGCCATGGGATGATGATGCATTCCGTTTTGCATCGGCGCCAGAGCAATTTTTGGAGGGAGAGGAGGATACTTCATGAGTTGGGACTGGTGCTCAAGCAAATGATTGAACATTATTATTTGCTTCTTCAGTTTCAGCCTGATATAGTAAGCCCTGAAAAACTCTGCGTTTTCTTCTTCCAGTTTCTGCCAAACTGATTTCACAAGAAACAAAAGGGTTTGTCAGAAATGGACTTTTCATTCGAAGCTGCTAATGCTATAACTAGTACTAATTCATACTCTCAACGGTATTTAGCATGCGATTTGTGTCACACTTCAACATCTCAGTATCCTATAGAAGCTCTCTCCTACTCACTCTACTTCAGTGCAAAGAATGAAGTTAGTCTAGTAAGAATCTGAAATTCTAAGACTGAAAGAAAGTTTCTGATGCAAAGTGAAGAAAGAGACTTTAAAAAACTTCAAAAGCTTACCCAAGGTTGTAAATCCAGGGTCTATCCTAGCCCGAGTCAAGAGGGTCTTCACGACCTCATCTCTGTTCATGTACAACTGAAGACATCTTTCTATCAAATTTTGGACCTACACCAATCATTTCCAAGTGTATATCATCAGATGTTACGCATATACACATACATACAAACACATAAATAGAGACACAGAGAGAGGTAAAGCCTGCATTTTTTTTCAGTTAAATATGACAAAAAAAAAAGAGGTCGGAAATGTTCTCTTACAAGTTCAATATCTTGTCTTGAAACTTTCCTACTGTCAGTGCTTGAAGCAGATACAGAAACAGCATCTTGTATAGGAGCTTCTATTGATTGGATATTTTTCTCTTCACCTTGTGACTCATACGAAGCTTGAGTGGAAGATTGTAGTTCCTGTGCGCACTGTAATTAGATGATATTTATTCCAACATATTTCACTTTTCGGTAATCAAACATCCACAAGTACTGAAACAGCTTACTGAGACCACTAATAGCTTCCTATATGAAAGTATTGATCCAATCCATCAGTCAATTTCTAATATGAATAATAGCTACAAATGAACAGCAACAACTTGGTACATTACAAAAACCAAGGGATTGTAAGAAAATAGCACAAGCGACTGAGTTTTGAAGAGCACTAAGCCAATGCAACAAAGATGATAAAAGGTGTAAAAACTTATTACCTGTCCGTTCTTCATCACAACTGAAAGCAAACTGCATGCATCCTCTAATCAGAACTGTTCTTTTTAGCGGCAGTTAACAACAGTGCAATCAATAGAGCTCAGGATCTTGGCGAGTTTGTTTACAATTTAGAAACCAAAGATAAACCTGAAGAACAAGAAGAAGAAAAAAACAAGAATTAGCCAAAAGTGCATAGTTTCTTTACCCACCAGTTTGGATACTAGTAGCCCAACAGTCAGCTAACAGTCAAAGCAATACAATTTAGCATGATAAAGAAAAAGCATTTTTACACAGTGATTTGTTTATTACCAACAAGCATGGAAAGTGAGTCCCTCAACATTGTTTAATAGCGTTCCAAATCCCAATCAAGCACATTTAAATAATCACAATTTCATAAAGTGTACGCAAATGAACCAAAATAGTTCATATCCCCACACTATACACACTGTAGTTCACATTTCACATCTAAAACAAGAGCAAAACTAATAAATTCTCCAACTTGCAAAACCACCAGGACAAATCAGCACACCAAACAAAGAACAACCTGAAGAGTATATGTGAAATCAAATGAGCTTAATTCCAGAAACGTAAGCCATTTGTGGAGCTAATTGCTGGGGATGATGAATAGAACAAATAACAAAATTTTCAATTAGAAAAACACAATTTAAACCCCCACATGAACAGAAACTTCTCTAATAAAATATTGTAGAAAATCCAAAAGCGGAAAAGTTTATAGACATCGAATAAACAAACACAGATAAAAAAAAGATCCATCGAATCTCTCACCTTCCCGTTAACTTGAAGCCTGCAGCGAACCCTAAACTGAGGTTATCTCGACGAATTTATGAAGCAATCAGGGGACGAGTCTCAGCAATTCATATAAACACTGAAATTGCGAAACGAAGATCTGAGCTTAGAGAAGATAGTGCAAAGACGATTCGACGGAGATAGCGAGAAGAAATCAGAACGCCATTATCGAGAGACGAAGTTGCAGAGAGGATATTAAACGCTGCAGAGAGATAAGAGTGAAAAGAGAGAGAGAGAACCAAATAGTAGACTCTGGACCAAGAAGAAAAAACTTTTCCTTTTTTTCCTCGGTAAAGTAAAATAATCAGACAGTAAATGTAAAAAAAGGTAAATACAAGTAGTTGACTAGCTGAGTGAACCAAATTAGTGGGTCCCACCGCCGCCAATCGGAGTTCCACGGCCACTAAAACTGGAAGTGCGACGGAATAAAAAGAAACAAAGCCCAAAAAAGGGAAACATAATCTAAATGATGAAGGGTTTGCACAAAAAAAAAAAAAAATCTAAATGATGAAGGAAACAAGATAAAACTAAAACACGAGAGAGAAGTAAGCCGATGAAAGCATAACACTAAAACTGGAAGTGATGAATCTATCTTAATCCACAAACAAATCTATAGAAACCGGTTTATGCTGAAATTACACCAAAAACTAGAAGATTTCAGCAAACACAAACCCGAAATGGAAACTACTCAAAGCCTAAAATAGTAACTTTTGTGTGAGTTTCTCCAATATTATAAATACTTACATAATTTTTTGATAATGTTTTCTGTTTTTCACTTTTCAACTATTGTTGATATTTGTATGAGAATGGTAGCTCCATGGTGGTCTCTCACCAAATTGAGGAAAAACAGATAACTAAAGAAAATCTTCGTATATTTAATATCCAAGTCACCATTACGTAACCGATACTTTTATAACCGATACTACTTTGAACGATAAAAACAAAACAAAAAGTACGTTTTCCAATTATTGACATGTATAAATGCAAGCAAGTAACTCGCGACCGATGACAAAAACAGTAGGATCACACTCACAAGATATTGCATGTGTCGAATAATTTTTGTTCACCTTAGTAATTATTTAAACAATTAATCCCGTATTCCCTAACTAGAAAAACGACAGAAAATGCTTCATAATGTCACGATTGCTTATAGGTTACTAATATTGTGCTTCAATCTCTTTCAGTTTTTTTTCGCTTGGTCCTTCGTGATGATAACGTCTTTTCTTTATCATTTTTCAATGACAGGTTTTCCAAAACTGACAGTAAGATTCAATATCGAACCAAACATATATATTACCCTAGAATGGTGAGGTCGTTCGTTGGTTGTTGTGTTACGATAAGCGGATAAGGCATGGCATGGCGTGCTCTGTGTAACTCTCCTTGGAATAGCATTTTTTTGTTATTTTGGTTTCAGGACCACTTTTCTTCTAATCAATTTCCTATGATAAAACAATTAATTTTCATAGCGAGTGGTCCGACTTCGAACCTTTTTCCTGGATATAAACGAATAGTGAGAAAATATTAATTATGTCACTTTTCACTATATAGGCACCAAATAAGATTTCCTGATTGTGGGCAATAGAGATACTATAACGTTGACAAAATAGGAACTTATCAAATATCATATGATTGAATCAAAGTAGTAGTTTATTGAGCCTCAAAGTGTGCCAAATAACATTATCTACGATCAATGAGTACGGTCAAAACGGTTAATTCTTTGGCAGCCGGTCCTATAAAACCCAAAAATTTTAATCTAGCCTCTCTTTGACCAAATAGATCTGAACCCTAATTTTTGTTCATTCTCACAATGTCCCTTGGAGGTTTCTCCAGAGTAGTTTTTTCCGATCCCTTCGATAGAGATTACTCCGGTAAGATGTGCCTTTATATTTCTTGCTCGAAATTGTGTAGTATTAGATTTCATGTGTCATGCTAAAACAAGCCTATCGAATCAAACTTTTTTTCTCCTAATCATCGTTTGTTTTGTTTATATGCGTTGTCCGTTTTGGCAGCTGGTAAAATAGGCGTGTTCTGGGACGTGAATGATTTCCCCGTCCCCGAGGGTCGCGGGATTCGTGAAATTGTCGAATCTGTTCTTAGGGAAAATGATTATATTGGTGACATATCGATCACTGTTTATGGAGAGAAGAATCCTCTCTCGCCTGAAGAAGCCGCCGAGGGTGGAATCACATTCGTACAGAGAAGTAAGATTGATTAAAACCCTAATCTTATAGATGAATCGTTGCTTGATTTAAGTTATTAATCGTTGATCACATGTCTACTTTAATTGATTTCCCTGATCTTATATATATATATCAATATTTTCAGGTGATAAATATTGGAGAGTGAACGATATGCTATTGGATATAGCTTTGTGGGCGGTGAACAGCCCCTATCCTCCTCGTCACAACCCGGCAAGCGTGATGGTCCTTGCAAAAAACAAGGAGAAGACCGAATTCTTCAGTTTCCTTGGAAGTTTGAACAATGCAAGTTTTAATGTCTTAGTAGTAGTGCCGGACGATGTTAAACCAGAAGATCAGAATGTTCCACCTGTTAACGGGGCATGGTATTGGAAGAGCATACAAGGTGATGGAGAGCCTATACCCAAAGATGAATTTCGACTCTTTATAATTAAACAACGACGTCTTTATCGAGACAATGCTGCTCAAGTCGATGTTCCTGAAGGCGCTTGTGATAAGTGTAGCAAGTCGTGCTCTGTGTAACTCTCCTTGGAATAAAATTATCATTCAAATTCTCTCATGGTCTCATGGACGATCTCTCTTGTCTTCTTTCACCTTTTTAAAGTCAGTTTAAGTGAAATAAGTTTATGAAGGGATACAACAAGTTGAATGATTCACATATCTTGTAAGTGCCAAAATCCAAATCCATAATTGATAAACTATCAAAGTAACAAAAAATATAATTTTTGGCTCTTACAAGAAAAGCGTGATATATATATGTCTCTTGTATTTCACGCTTCAACGACTAATAAGAGAAGAAAAGAAAACTTAAAACGGCAGTTACAACAATTGACCTTGCTAAAACTAGATTTGCCATCTCATCAGAAACGTGGTGTGAGACGACGAGTTCCTTCATCATCGTCTTCAATTGTAAAGCCCTAAGATTACCACCAAATCTTTGCAGAAGCATGGCGGTTAATTCAGTTGGGAAAGTATTCTTATTTCTCGATGATGATGATGATAGATTATTGGAGTTGAGAGTTTCCTCCAATTCTTTAACCGCAGCCAAGATTTGTGGAGTGTCCTTGCCTTCCATGGCTTTCTCCAGACTAGTCATTCTTAGACCTAAATCTCTCACCAGCCTCTCGTGATCGCTGATACATCTTTCAGCATCAAATTTAGCTGAATGCGCACTCAACACCGCATCTTTCAGCTTAGATTCTTTTTCAGTTTCTTTGTTGTTCTTGATAATTTCACCAGCTCCAGCAAAAGATCTCAAGCTACCGCACCGATACAAACATGTAGCCTTCGTCCTTCTCGTACAAATCTGAATATTTATTATTTTTCTTATATCAAACAAAGTTGTGTTCGCTAACAAACGTTTACCTAATCTTGAAATAACAAAGAGTTGGAGGAAATCGGCAAAAATCTAAACAACCCTAAAAACCTCTATTGCACACTATGTGTGTGTATCTTCAAGGATGATGATGAATGTGATTTATTATGTGAAATTTAGAGATGAAATCAAATTACCTGAGAGGAGGATTGTATGATACGACGCAGCATTATTATACCTCACTCAAATTCTCGATTCCTTTCCTCGTCTCTCAAAGAATTTAGATCAGCTGATCTCTAGGGTTTTCTTCTCGAGATTTCTAAAAAACGTCTCGTATAAATCTGAATATATATATCTATATATATATATATATTGCATTTTTTGACAAAATATTTATATATGTATGTTTATCTATTTTTAATTTTATTTTATTTTTGGCTCAGTTTGCAATCGTCTCGTCCCTATAGAAAAAAAAGTTCTAAATCCTCAAATCTTGGTTTCATGAGTTGTATGTTTCTTGTTCCCCAAATCCAAAATCAACATTGCATGCATACAATCTCATTAGCTGTTAATGTATATTTGTGTGCTCATATACGTCTCTGTCTCCGATCAATTTCTTCAATATACACATTATCTTTTGTTTTTTTTTGACATCGAAAGCTCCATAGATTCATATACACATTATCTTTTTCGTTCGTTTTTTCAATCTAATCAAAGAATTTTTGAAGTGTAATGAAACGTGTGATCGATCAGTTTACGAGCCTCTTGTCTTCCAATATAGCAGCTTCTTTGAGCATGTTAGCTGAGTCTTGGAGCATATTCAGCTTTGCAAGAGCCACCGCCTGAAGGTAAAACGCAGTGGGCCAGTCTGGATAGACACACTGTGCTTGCATCGCGTCTCGGAGTGCTTCATCTGGCTGGTCGCACAACATATGGCACATGCTTCTTCTTGCATATACTGTCGGAGAGATCATGATCCCTGTTTCTATGAACTGCAAGAAAAATCGAGATTTTGTTTATTAGGACAAAATCATAATTTATAGTATGTTTTTGTTTTGTCTTGTGTTTTGTGTTCATGCCTGAGTATATTTGTCGATAGCAGATTGGAAATCTTTGTTACAAAAAGCTGAATCGCCTTGCTGTCTTGTGTTCCACGCATCTTTGATCTGATTAGACCATTGTTGGAATGAGAGCTCACAAGTAACCTCATCGTCTTTGTATTCCATCGCTTCAAGAATCTGATGAAGAGCTGTGAGGTCCATGCGGTGACATGCATCGTAAATAACAGAACTCGAAGGTTCCGTTTCAAGTTTTTCGAGTTTCAAGATCCCAAGCATAGCGTAAGACGGAGCATCTAGTTTTTGTTGAAGTTTAGCAAGACTTGAGATGATATCTTTAAACTCAGGCCTGTCCTTAGGGTTATTGCGTAGGCATTTGGAAGCCAAGTCAAACACCGATGCTGCTTCTTCCTCTGGATAGTTTCCTTCAAGGTGTGAATCTATCAAGACAGGTAGGTTTTGTTTTTGAATTGTATCAACCGCCTGAGAAAGAGCAATAGAGAGAGAGAGACATGTCATTTTACAAATCAATAAAGAACCAAACCAAACTTTGGTGGGTTGTAATAGATGAAGAACCTGTGAGAGAGTCACTCACATGACTTGGAGGGACATGTTTGCCACTAAGAAGATCCATAAGAAACGTCCCAAAGCTGAAGACAACACTCTCTGGAATTAACGTACCTACAGAGTATATATACATCATTTGCCAGTTGCCACACACAAAAAAGGTGCAAAGAAGATCTTAATTCATATTACAAAATTTAGTAGAAATGGAAGAAGAGTCACAAAACGTTACCAGTTGTATTATATTCAGGCGGTGTATAAGCGAGATTTGTGCTAAAGTTTTTGCCATCTTTGCTATCTTTCATCCATCCAAAACATGAAAGCCGAGGATTCCCATTCTGCGCCACAAAAATCTTAGCCCTTTCTCACAAAAAAAAAACAAACAAAATTAAAATAAATAAATCTATAAATGGTTAATATTGGAGTTACCTCATCAAAGAGAACCCGATAAGCATTGAGATCATGGTACAAGCTATGTCCACTCTGTTGCCATATTCTAAAGCTTCAGCTACATAAAGTGCAACTCTCAATCGCATAGCCCACTCCATGGTTTGTTTCTCCCCTGTCAAGAAAGGGAAAAACTCGATTACTTCAAACACACGCAAACAAGAATGAAGGAAGAAGAAAAGTGTTTTTTCACTTTTTTGGAGATCATACAGTGAAATAGATGTTTGGTTAGGGTTTCATTGGGCATGTACTCCGACACAAGCAACCTTTCGTCTCCGTCACAGCAATAACCTATCAAATTGACCAGCCTCATGTGCCTCATTTTCCCAATAGCTTGAGCTTCTGACTGCAATTGAAATGCAATATTTGCTATTTCACCATTTATAAAACTATATATTTATTTTTTTAAAAAGAGGAATTTGGTGAAAGACTTACAGCGAATTGTTTGGGATCAGGCCATGTTGATTTTGAGAATTTTTTAACGGCGATTCGACGGATGTTTTTGTCTTTCTTTCGAAGACAACCTTGGTAAACAACGTTTGGTGTTTGGTCGGAAGAAACCGAAACGACGGAATTGACGCTGAAATTGTTGGTCGCGTCGCGAAGATCCGCTGCGAAGAACTCGGAGAAGTCCGGAACGTTGGAAAAATGCCATCTCCTGCCGCCACCGCCCTCGTTGTTGTTGTGGTTGCGATGACGGTGGCGATTAGTGCGTTTTCCAAGATCGTCGGAGGTTTTTTTGGCATGCAATGACGACGGTTTTAAGAAAGCCGATTGACAGCATCCCATGACTTTCGGCGAGTCAACTCGCCATAAAAAAAAACTTGTTTCGAATATATTTAGTCGGTTCCTTTGACGTCGGAGATTGATTGATATGATAAGTTTGGTCACTTTCCTTCTTGTTAATTTCTTTGGCTGGTTTTGGTTTTCAATAAATATAAAAAGGGTTGTTTTGTCCTTTTCATCTAACTGAACAGTCCAATTCCCATTTTCTCGCGCGGTATTTTAGGTTTTAATTTGTTTTGTCAATTAAATTAGTTATATATCCAACCTTTTCTTTTTTGCTTTTGCCATATTTAGAGTTTAATTGGTTGTCTTCTTAACTTAAATGAAAAATATGAATGATAATTAATTGAACAAAAATGAATGCGCTGATGCTAGTTAGGGGATTATGATGAATGATGGGCATGAATGATTGCAATTTGCAGGTAACGTTTAGGAAATTGGATTGATTAAATAGGGAGAAGCTTTACCCTTTTTTAACGAATATAGGGCTTCTCATCTTTGCCTTATTTGAATTGGCTTTCTTTCTCAATATCGTATAATCATTCATTCATATGGAGCCAATGTTGCTACTATACTTAAAAATGACAAATCGATACGTAAATGCATGAATGATTGCAGACAGAGCCGTGCATATGACATAAAAAATGAAACATTGGTCTACGGCATCAAATTTTGTAAAACTATTAAGAAGGCATATTTATCATCTATGAATATGCTATTATATAAGGTTTGCCGTTTAAGCCTTACAATAATTTATTTTCCAGCTTAAATACATCTCAAAGTTAATCTGTTTTTTTTTTTTTAATTTGATAACTCTTTCTTTATTTTCTATGCTCACATTTTTCTGTTCATTTTTCACCTCATTGGCTCTTTTTCAATTTATTTTTTCCAACTCCATTTTCTCTATTTTATTTCCACATGTACTTCTTCTTAGTTAAAATTTAAAAGGATATAAATTATTATATACAATACCACATTTTATATGATATAGTTTCTTAATAAATTTATGCATATTATTTTTTTGTAAGCAAATCTTAATAAACATTAAACTATATTTTTGTGTGTTTAGCCTACGGCATTTAAAAGTCTATGCACGGCTCTGATTGCAGATCAATGTTATTTGAACACCCAACGCCTCTAATGGGTCTTAACAACGCCTTTTGACATATCTGGCCCAGAAAACACCTTTGTTATATTACACAATGAGGATCAATCTTTAGATTTCTCATAAAACTGTACGTGATGACCGTTTTGATATTACAGAATGAAGACGGATCTTTATTCTTTTCATTAAACTATCCCTTTCTTTTATTTATCAATGATATCATCTGAAATTATCAAAGAGAACGGATCAGATAGGCAATGTTAATAAATTCCCAATTCTTTTGTTCTTTTTCTTCTAACTAATCTTCTAAAATTCGATTAATAAGAAAAATCGTTTAAATTTTTAAAGATGGGATGGGTCAATACTAAATATGTTCAAAATATGCACAAAATCTCCATTCATCATGAACATTCTTTCGTAGACAGGAGAATAACGAACTCAGGCTTAGTAGATCCGACGGTTCCTAAAGCTAAATACAAACAGAAAACTGTTCAGTTTGGAATAAATTATCACTTACAAGCTAAGAAAATGAAAAAAAAAATGATTTTTGTTACTTGGCTGCTCTTCGTCAAGCTTCGTTGGCTGCTCTTCGTCAAGCTTATTAAGTAAACAAAAAAGCTTATGAGGACATAATCAAAGACTGTAGAGATAGGAGATAGAGAAGATAAAAATTGAAATTTTTTGGTTATGAAGTGTTATGGAGAAAGTACCAACAATGAAAAAAATATGAAAAAAAATTACTTGAATTTGGCTCATTAAGCTTCTGTTATTAGTTTAAGGTTGTTAATAGTTTCAATTTTATTGCTTTAGATGATTGAAGCCACTTCACATGTAATTGAACGAGATTGAAGGCAATGGAACCAGTTTGGTTTTCGTTTGATGGTAAATTCGTCATTAAATTTATCTGACGGTTAGTTGCTTTATTACTCAAATAGCATGGCCGTTTCCTTCATATAGTGACTCAATATGGCTATTTTGCAAATTAACCTAAATGTTTTAAGCAGTTATTACTTATCAGTATCACAACACACCACAGGTTTTTTTCAGGTATTAACATTTGTCCTCTTAGTATTGCACACGAGTCATTATATGTTTAACCTCTTATCTAATATTTGGCAATCCAGAAAATCGAAATGCTCAGAATATATTAAATGCTAAGAAAATCGAATTGGCACCTTTCTTTTCACAACAACACATCCTTAATTAAAAAAAAAATCCACAAACTAAAAAAAATTCAGAGAAAACTATGATTATCTTTATTCTAAATACATGAAAGAGTTAAACAGATGGGTCTTGCCTTGGGCTTGACTTATTAGCAGCCTAGCTACGATAGTTGTGGCCACGTCCAGAGCCCCGTGTCTTGGTACCAGCGTTATTCCAATTCCCTTCTCTATCGCTGTAATGCTCGTTTCTCTCGTGCCCATAATTCCCTCGCCTCATGCCAGAGGATGGCCGCTGCTCCCTTGGGGAAATCTTCTGCAACAAATTCAACATTGAACATTGGCTTAGAGCAGTGTGACAGATGAGTTTTATATCAGAACATTGAACATTGCAAGCAAACGAAAGACATCACACTATAATCAGTAAGGGAAAAGCTGACTGATAAAAAGCATGCAACGCAAGTATTAATGTAAGCTCAAGGAAGGTATTCAGTTCTTACAGGATTTGGAAAGTAGGTCCCAGTCCCACTTCGATATCTGGGAGTCTCATTAGCATAACGAGGGTACATGTTCGGTGGCCTAGGAGAAACAGGTTGTACAGGAGCAACGGGTACAAGACGAGGTCCATAGTTCATGAGCTGATTCATGAGACTGGCGTAAGCAAGAGGTCTTCCAGGACCATCCCATGGTACACGCCCCTGGAGATAAGCAGGTGGCACTACAACCGGAGCAGGATACAACACAGGCGGATGTTGAGAATTCTGGCAAGAGCGGCCATACTGCAAATTCTGCCAATGACTTGTGAAATCACCATTAAGAATATCATTCTTGTGCTCTGTTGCTTCTACAGAAGCTCTGGTGGAGTGTGAAGAAACAACTATCTCAGACTGATCAAGCCCCTTGAACGAGTTAAAAGTTTTACAGGGATCATGATTCTCCACTCCTTCATCCACACCGAGATGGCTTGCCAAAAGATCTGATGTCGCATTACCACCGACTTGATAGTTGTACATCGGAAGCATTGCAACTATCGGAACAGGCGGCCCAGTGGGATAAAAAGTGTATCCAGAATTATCAACCTCGTTTTGTTGCATGCCATTGCCAAGGATAAATGGAGCAAGGGGCACTGTGGTCTCTGATCCACTTGCCTGAGCTAGTTCATGACCATGTATTTGATGCCTCTGAAGTTGAAATGAAGCAACAGTAGGACGAGGGCCCAGATCTCTTTCTGTTATTTCCTGGCTTGATACAGGAACCCACTCTCTGTTATCATCTTCAACCTGGATTGAGTGCTCAGGTACACTCTTTCCTTTTCCGTAGAGTGCAGACGCAGCCCCAGAAACTACTTTCCTACTCCGTCTATCCCTATCCCTACCTGGCTTTGAGCCCCTTGTGGTTGACCCATCCCAAGAGCTTTCAGATGAAGTCCTACTTCTAACGGAACTAGCACAAGACACAGGTCTAGAGCCTGCATTTCTCTCCTCACTCTGATTCTGACTGCCTCCTCTGACTGGAGAGTGGGATTTTTCTATATCATCTCCCCTTGTTGACCGTATTTTCCGACTTGAGGGTACAAAACTGTGCTCTGCAGAAGATGACTGATGTTTATCATTTGCATGATGCATTCCATAACTACCATTTTCAAGTCCAAAACTATGAGGACCCCTTTCTTGCTTGTGCCAGAGTTCATGGTCAGACTCGTCAACATTATCTGGAGACCCCATAGCTTCATTACCAGCTTTTCTCAGCTTTTCTAGATTTAGATGGGATCCACTGGGAAAATAATGGGTAAATGGTGAAGAAGCAAAGTTTTGCGGAAATTGCATATTAGTACTCCAAAGTGTCTCGGTGAAAGGAGGGTTAGAAGAAACAATACCAGGCACGTTCCTCTGACCATATCCCACTGAAGCTAACATGGAAGGTGTAATTGGAAATGGCAAGTGGCCCGTAGCAAAATTATAAGGAAAAGGGAACTGTCCATTAAAACCTTGCCCAGTAAGAGTTGCCATGGAGTTCACAAGATCTTGCTCTTCCTGTTGCATTCCCTGATCACCAGCGGCAGAGAAGTCTTCATTCACGGAAACTGAACCTAAATCATCATAATAACTGTTCACTGCACTGCTCATGTCAGCAGTGCTATCAGGACTTCGAGGGGATGGAGTATGCCTATTTGATGTTGAGTCAGACACGTGTCTGATATTGCTTGACAAATTTGACTCCAGATTCTTTTTCCTGGTACTATCAGCCCTCACAGAATTAGTTTGGCGTTTTCCAGCTTCCGGGGCTCTGTTACGCCTTTGCTGCGAAAGAGCTTCACCATATGTCTCAGTAAGCTCAGGGCTTGACCGTGTCCTGGCAAAGAGATGCCTTCCGTGAATATTATTCACCATGATTTCTGGCTTAACAGTCTTCTGAAGTTTATCATTTGAAGCATTTTGATTAGAACTGACTTCCTGAGCAGGTTGGTAAGAGTTGCCAACAGTCTTTTGGGTTTGATATGTTGCTCTAGATATAACTTCTGTTCCACAATTATTCTGTTGAGAGGCCATACTGCGAGCTCCTTGAACCCCACCAACAGCGGCGGAGTTATGGTTTCTTTTGCTGCTTGAAGAATCACTAGCATTTTCATCTTGCTGATCAGGCTCAGGATATCCCAGCCTTGATAACCAAAGGTCAATTCCAGGAGCATCAGGACGACAACCACTGCCATGTCTTTCCCATGTATTCATAAAGAATTGGTTAACCTCATGGATCAAATTCTCTTTAGGGCATTCAAGTAACCTAGCCAACTTCTTGGCACCAAGGGTAAATGCACTTCGTATCCTGAAGAAGTTACCTGCCAAAACAATTGACCAGTAAAAGCAAAATCGAACCATGTAAGCAAATCAACATGTTTGTGCCTTCTAGCATCATATTGTATAAAGGAAAGAACAACTCCAATCAGCTACTAAGACAAGAAACGCACAGCAGGCATACTTTAGATTAGCACTCAACTACCGAGGTACGGATTAAAAAACGTGTAAAACAGGCAATAGCTTTCAATCCAATAAGTACCTTTACTGACACTACGTCCAAGGTTGTTGTTTTCACGCAAAGGGTCTATAACATTGAAATGTTTGGAAACAAAAGGCTGCCCCTGTGTCTCTTGAGCAACAGGGTTAACTGCATAAACTCTACTGCAAGCTTTAAGAAACCTTTCACTAACTCGCAACTCTCCAACATCTTTTCGAGGAGGCTCCGCTGCGGAACATAGCAAGGCAATCAGTACTAGATACAGTCATGATGAACATTTAATGCAAAGGAGAGAGAGAGGCAGCAGTTCGTAGATACCTGTTACATCTGGTAGTGAACTAACTGGAACAGGGCCCCACAGGCTAATACAAAAATTCTGCCAGTCAAACTTACTAAAGAACTCAAGAAAACGATAGAGAACCTACAAAATGCAAGCAATCCATTCAGACCGATTGAAGAAGCATTATAGACAGAATAAAGGCAGTTTTACAATGGCAATACCTCAAGGGGTCCAGAAAATGAGTTGTTGAAAACATGGAATATGTAAAGAACCAAGGTTTCCAGGGCATATGTTGAGATAAGCCCATGGTGAGCTCCCAATATACGGCTCTCGTAATAACACCAGGCCTTGATCAATATGATACTACGCTTGAATAAATGGTTCTGGTTTATATACTGATCAACCTACATATACAACAACATAGAAATCAAAAGATCTGCCAAACTCAGAATGAGAATGAGAAGCAAGTGGAATAATATATTTGGTGGATGGCTAACCTCCTCGAGGAAGCATAGAGTACACAGCCCTCCAATCTGATTGAAAGATATATCCACCACGATATTCTCTACCAGACACTTAATTATCTTTACCTGCAACATTATACCAGCAAAAACTTAATACATCGAGTATGTCGACTGACTCACCAACAATACCAAACTTAAGAACAAGAAGATAAAATAAGCAAAATTCAATTGATCAAGAAGGCATACTTCTGCCTGGATATACTGGACTTCTTTGACATGGAATTCAGCATTCTCATTCTTCTCTTCTTTCTCCAGCACATCACGAACCAAATTAGCCCAGGAATCCTTCAGATTTTGGTTTGTGCTGAAGGCCGTTAAGTCGATGTCTCCATCAGGCAAATAAGTCTTCAGTGGAACAGATCCAAAAGTAAAGATCTGGTACACATGGAAAGTGAAAACTACAGTCAGGTACCACATATGGATTGTTTAAGAACGCATTTGCTCAGGGAAACGAAAAGTGGAAGTTTCCAGAAACAACAAACTTAACTTCAGCTTTGATTTCGATACTTCGAGCTAAGAAATAGACGAATGAAATCAGAAAACCGCAAACAAGTACTCTACAATCTATATGCCTTCATCAGCACTACGCATTTCAAAAATTTCCAACGCCGAAAAACACAATCGAGTCATACTACAATAGAGAACACACCTCGATTTGACGAGGAAAGCATTCCATGATAAGCCTCCGCACGTATCTGGCAACAGCATTTCGGCGGTCTTCAGAAGACGGATTTGGCTGGATGCAGGCAATGAGCTTGGCGGTTCTATCCTCCGCCTTAGCCCATCGCTCCGCATCGAGCGGCCGTGTCACAGATGCAGCTTTGCCTGGCAATAGACCGTTCGGAAATACGCCACTGGGTGACGGCGGAGAAGCCGCCCATGATTCATGCTCACCCATGCAAATCTCTCCCGTCGCAGTCACCGACTTTGTACACAATCGAAACAACACCTTCTAATCTAATCAAAGACCTTGCCCAATGGTTACGCTTGCTTTTGCGGTTGCGGTTGCTATTAAGCAACCCTCGGATTATCTATCTATCGCGGCTTCAAAGTCACGGAAATGATAAAATTCTAATCGCTACGAGCCAAGAGAATCTTCGATCTGCCCGCCTTATCTAACAAATAACCCCAAATTAAAAAATAAGAAAAAAAAAATGTATGAATCTAATCGATTCAAGCACCAAAAAATTGGGCAAAATAAGAAATCGAAGGAGGGGAAATCGAATTGAAGAAGAAGCAGGAGTAAAAAGTAGAAGAGGAAGAAGAAACCCCTAGGAGAAATGAGGTTAGATTCTAAAAAAAGATGAGGCGGAAATCAATAAGAACCCTAGGATAAATCGAGAGAAAATCTAGCAGTATCGACGAATCGAGAGGCAAATGCGAGATTGATCAGAGGTTACACTGGCGGACTGAAATCGTGCGGAAGAAGATGATGAAGAAGACATGACGAAGATGTATATATTGATTGATTGATTAGGTTTTTTTCATTATTTTCTATTTTGCCTTTTTAATTTTTATCTTCTTCTCTGTTGATATTCTTTTTTTTTCTGCTCTTTCTCTCTCTGTGGGAGGAGGAGAAAAAAAGTGGGAGTGTTTGGTGACGGGGATAGGCATTTCCGGGGAAGTCTCAGCTTCTCAGGGGTGTTTTCGTACTTTTCAATTTAGAAAGAGCTTATTAACATTAGATACTCATACCCTTTTAATTACGCCTATAATTGTAGAGATCACACACACACATCACAATAATAAATTCGGTTTTAATTAATAAGAAAACGAATTAAATTGAGAAAATGATACGTATTGCTATTTTGAGTATGCAAATATTCCACGTGCTCACTGTATTTTTTATGGATCAAACTATGTCATAAAGGACCATCGAATCGAAGTGACTTGTATGTAGGAGAATTAATGAATAAGTGTCATTTTCGGCTCTTCAAACCAAATTCCCTTCTACGTTATATCAATGATGTTCATTATTTCATGAAAAATGAGAAAATATACGACATTTTAGAGGGTTTTTTTCTCTAACAGATTCCAATATAGTATTAACATTTTATTGTTGACAGCATGAGCAAATACAATTTATATCCACTATGCAACCATATTGAAAGACCAATTCATCTGGTCTTTTATATTATATACTTTGATTTACATGTTTTTTTGTTTTGTTTTACATGTTATTCTTATAAAAATGCTTCCGTCTATAGATGACACATAGCTTTCGATTTTATATTTTACTAACGAACAAAAGAATTTTACGTTTTTACAACATTATGATTGACTTGTTTCGCGTCACCACAAGAAAATGTAAACAAACGCATAATCAGAAGAGATTTACCATTTATATACACAACTCAACGAGGCATCGACCGTCGATTTCCCCCCTCACTAAACACGTGTCATGATCTCCTCTGTTGCCGTCAGGCTCCCGTCGTTTATCCAAGAGTTCCGTTCAGTTGACGTCAGCACCGGCCAAACCGTACTCCTCCGCTGTCTCCTTACTTTCCTAACGATGAGCTTCGTCTGCTGTCGGATAACTCCGTTCACGGCCTTGACGTAGTTTTTGGAGTCGTGGTCCCTCAAGACCGAACCTTCCGAGCCGTAAGCCGCGCGTTGACTCAGCGTCTCGAGCGGGTGAGGCCGGTTTAGAAACCCACGCAACGCCGCGGGAGAGTAACCCTCCTTGCTCTTGTCTAAAACGTAGAGAGCGTTTCCCGGCGGTAGCCAAGGGTGCGTCGGCGACACGCTCTCACTCGGCTGCAGAATAAATACTTTCCCCATCGGTGAATACAACAGTTTCTGCAAAAACCAAAATACACAACCAAATATTACGCGTAAGAGATATATCCGATCCGACTATATTACCGAAGTATTTTTAATAAATACTAATTTATTTCGACTTATATATTTGTGTTAGCTAAGACATTTTAAAAACAGTAACACTTTTTTATGATTATCAAACAACTTTTGAAAACGTAGATATATAAAAATGATGATGGTAAGGCTTACATTTTTGTTGAGACAAGGATGTGTACGGAACGTCCCATTCAAACGCTTGAGGACGAGAGCAACGTGGTCAGGGTAATTACAAGCGAAGGCTCGTGGGACAATATCTCTATGCATCATCACACAGTGGATATGACTCTCGTCAAGACCAAGCTCCTCTAGAACCTTCTCACCGCCACAAAACACAAACGGTGAACCGAACGTGACAACAGGTTTCATGGACGCAGAGCTAACGAGTCCTCTACTGAGAAGCATCAGATTCACTATTAACGAGAGGCTGCCTCCAAGAGAATGTCCCGTAAACTGAAACCTAGCTCTCTCTCCGTGTCTAGACAAATGCTCTGTTATTTCGGGTAAGAACTGTTCGTATATTCCTTTTGCTGCCTCGTAGATTCCTCTATGGACTAATACATCCGTATCCTGCAATAACCATAACAATACCCTAAGACCTCTCAGTAAAGAAACCAACCGAAATAACCGAATTAAACCAAACCAAATGTCACTATCATTACCTCAAACTTGGTTGGCTCAAAGAAGAGATTTGCTTTCCAAGAAGCTAAAGAATCAGATCCCTACACACATCAACGAACACATTAAGGAGGTCATAATTTGGGAAAACAGAGGATTTAATTGGCTTGTAGTTATGACTTTGAAAACATTTTTTTACCTGGATCACAAAGCACCTAGTGTATGTGCTTGGATCGTCACACACAAACCACTCACAAGGAGAAGATTGTAGCGACTGCAACTCTCTCGCTGCTTCCTGCTTCTCCTCCTCACCAGCAGCAACCACCGCGGTCATCGTAGACGCTGCCGCTTGAGCCGCAGCCGCTGATTTATAAACCAAATTGTTCGGATCCGAAAGATCATACTCTTTGCACGAGTGAATGTATGACGCGGCTGAAGCAGCGATATTGTAAGCAGAATCAGAAGATGATCGTTGCTGAGGCTTCTCGGTTTTAGGACGTTCTTGGGATGTCAAATCAGGTACTCGTGTAGAGTCTTGCTCAAGTTTCTCGCTAAGTATCGCTGCTTTAGCTTTCTTCTCCAGCGAAGATGTAATAAACTTCAAACCGTAGTTTCTTCTCAAATCCTCACCCTTGATCTCCGGTATCGTGTAAGCCACGTTACATAAATAAGCTAACTGAGAAAGCTGTTTTGCATCAGACCAAGAAACCTTCACAAGCAACCTAGAAAACGATTCGCGTTCCCACTCGCCGTTTTCAGATCCGTAATCCGCAACGCAGCCTTCTCCATCTTCGCAACCGCACGTAACGTTTACATTTTCCTCTGCAGCTTCACCATTTACAACACTCTCTGTCGTTCTCTGTTCTTTCTTCCACTGTCTCCTTATTTCAAGTAACCTCTCGACCCAATTCGCTTTCTTGGCTGCGTCTAAACTTGGCTCAGTGATCTCAGTCTCATCACTCTCTTTCTCCTCCTGAGACGTTCCCGTCTCAAACAGCAACGATTTGATCGGTTTCGGGATTATGGAACTCGACATCTGAAACGAGAACACTCCTAAAGATCTGCTGTTTCTCATCCCCGAGCCTGGACGTGCAGACACGGCACGAATCCGGTTGTTATTACCGGAATGACAACACAAGTGATTATCGGAACTCGATCTCCGTATTCCACCGCCTTTCACGACGAGATCTTGACCTGATAACGATCTCCGGAGGCCGATATGTTCTTTGAAAACGTCAGACGCCGCCGCTGGAGATGTAGACGCCATAGCCGCATTAATCGCCATTCTTTGTCAATCAAACTCCAACTGCAGCAATCAGGACAACGCAATATGTAACGGTTTGATTAAAAAGGAAACAGAGCATCTTATAAGAAAATATGTAACGTTTTGATTGCCTCAAAAAAAAATCGAAACGTTTTGATAAGTTTGACCAAGGGTCAACTGGTGGCATATAGTTAGAAAGTGAGTTATAATGGACCGAATTTAGGTAACCAGCCAGCTATAAAGAAAGGGAAATGACACGTCATTAAATACAAAATACCTACGAACCAACTAACAAACTTTTGCTAATGTCTCTCGGATGTGACTATGTTGTGGGGCTACGAATCTTAATCGTTGGACTGGGTCCGTCGTACAGAGAGGTGCTTCCACGTGTGCCACGTACGAATGTGCTCATAGTATTACCATTTTTCATTACAAATGATCGGAAAAAGAAATATAAAGTTTTTGCTCTAATTAATTTTCTATTGTTCTATCAACTTTTTTGTTTGGCCTGTTATGATGTTTCTATGAACTATACGCGAAAATTACCTGGAAAGTTTTCGTTATAATGTTTAATCAATTACGGGAAATTTGGCCTAAAACGACGAAAAATAGAGAAATTTGTTTGAAACTTTTGGAAAAGAAAACAGACAAAAAGCATCAATGAGAGAGATTACGGATTTTCACAAGAATAATTTGGAAGAAACAAAACAGGGATTGAAAAAAACACGAGTCTCGAGATGCGTTACCTTATATATGGGTGTTGATCGATCGCAAACAACAATGGAGGATCAAATCAGCTTTTATGAACCGTTGGATCAGCCGGGGATGATCATAATCAGATCATCGAAAAGAAACTATCGCCGTTCTTTGTGAATGAAGAAACCCGAACAGATCTTTGATGATTTAAGACGAAGATTCCAACAATGGCAGAGAAAAAGAGATTTGAATACGTACGATGAATCTTTAACGGGGAAGGTTACAAAAGAGTCAGACCAGATTATGAAACTTGTTCTTGTTCTGTAAAAGATTCATGAATCTCTCTGTCTCTCTCTTTCACAGATGTAGATGCAAAGCCCATTTTATATATACGTGAAAATGTAAAATGAAACAAGAGAGAGAGAGAGACAATCAACAATCAAGTCACGTGGAGAGAGAGAGAGAGAGGGAGAAAGAATAAACGTAAGGACGTAAACACCCTCGACGTAGTGTTCTATTTACAGATCGGAAAAACCGTGGTGGTTGGAGAGTAGTTAGCCGTTCTTTTGCTTGAATTAGCGATAAATTTTTGGTAAATGTCGTTATGAATTCGTATATTCGCGGCTTTGATACTCCACAAGTTTCCTCCAATTTCTTCTAATTTTTAGTCAAACCCCAAAAATCTAACCAAATCGAAATCGATGATGAAGTGTGGAAAAAAATTAAATTCCCCCATACGACAACTTGTGGAGGGTATTTTCGTCATCATAAAGCCATGAGCGTGCGTGATAGATGTAAAAATCTGTTTGACCACGGAGGGAGAAAAGGGTAAAAGAGGTAATTTGAGAAAACGACCAGAAACGAGCCAAATGTTCGGTTGCATGGAGCAAGATACGTCAGTAAACTCCACATATCGTCCCCCAGGTGGTGGCAGGCAGCCGCCTTTCGTTTCCCGCCGGTTTTCAATTTTCCTCTTGTTTCTACTTCAAATAGTTTACATTGTTTTATTTGACAAAAATAAAATATTTTGTTTTTCATTATTTTGTGGTGAATGTTCACTTGTTCAGACAAAAGAGAAAGAACAACCATGTCACTATGTCAGCTTTCACGACTCGCCATGTGGTTTCATAATATCCCTCCGTTTCATTATGTTCATGGGCTTATGTTTCTCTAAAACGTTCAAAAGGAAAACTAAAGGCCCATTAGTTTTTGGCCTATGTTGAGTCTCTTCTTTTGCTTTTGTTTGTTAAGTCAAAAATATTCGCATGACATCATTTTATACATGGGACAGAAAAATATAGCTGAATTCTGAACATGGAAAACTCTAGATTGGGATCTTTAGATGATATTGACAACTTTCTAAAGATTTAAACTAAAACAGTCAAATGAAGGAAAGTTAGGTTATAAATCTTCGAAGAGCTTCTGATAACGACGTGTAATTCAAAAACATAGGAAATGTTGATAGATCAGCATAAATGGGCCAACAGTTGTAAAGAACACTTACCTAACTCACCCGGACTAAAAAAATTAGCAAAAATACGAACCATCCATATATTGATTTTTCGAAGATTTGCTTCACCAAGATATCCACACACAAAATCGAATATGCGAATAAGCTATGTTAAAATAAGGGTCCATTCATAAAATAATGAATTTAAAACAAAATTTCGAGGGAATATGAAGCTGACGTTAAAGTTCCCTGTACACTGCACCAAACCCTCTTGCAACTTGAAACCTATCCTTATCTCAAACCTCTTCATTAATAAGTCTCTCGAATCATCGAATCTTTTATATTTCCTTTCGTGATACAAAGAAATTCCTAAAAAAAGAAAGAAAAAGAAAAACTCTAAACGTTTTCTAGAAACGAGACACATCGATCTGAAACATGATGAATCCGACGATGGATGCAGGAGTTGATTCCGATGGTGCGGCGGAGTCTCTGCATATTCAGTTGAACCACAGGCACGATCCCAAGGAGGATCAGTGCTCTTCCGTCCTCGTTAAGCATATAAAGGCTCCTGTTCATATCGTAAGTCTCTGTTTCTTGTCTCTGTCTTGCTCTGCCCATTCGGTTGAGAAATTTGAAAAGATTTGAAATATCATCAGGTTTGGTCTCTGGTGAGGAGATTCGATCAGCCGCAGAAGTACAAGCCTTTCGTGAGTAGATGCGTGATGAAGAAAGGTGATGTAGGAATCGGCAGTGTTCGTGAGGTTGACGTTAGATCTGGCCTCCCAGCTACGACAAGCACCGAGAGATTGGAGCTTTTGGACGATAACGAGCACATTCTTGGCATCACAATCGTCGGTGGTGATCACAGGCTTAAGGTTTCTTCAATTTTCCAAAATCTTTATTATGAGGCTTAAGATAGTGATTCGATATTCTAATTTGGATTTATCTAATTTATTGCTCTTGCAGAACTACTCATCAGTTGTTACGGTGCATCCAGAGATAATAGATGGAAGAGCTGGAACAATGGTGGTCGAGTCGTTCGTGGTGGATGTACCGGAAGGGAACACAAAAGAAGAGACTTGTTGCTTCGTGGAAGCTCTTATACGGTGCAATCTCAAATCTCTGTCCGATGTTTGCGAGAGAATGGCTGCTCAGGACAGGACATGAGTAACTGGTTGTAAAATTACCAATTTAGGACTAAACCATTTTAATTTTATATAGCTATGTATGCATGCAGGTTAATTGGCATTAAAATGATGAATTTAATCTTGTGTTTGTTTGTTTGGACAATTTTTGTTTATCTTCCAAGCTTGTGATTAACGAGCTGGAGCAAGGGAAAGAGTTAGCGAGTCGATTGATGAACAATTTTAGAAACCCTTCTTCTTCTTCTTCTTCTTCTTCTTCTTCTTCTAAGGATTCAAACAAGATCTTGATCTCTGAACTCCTCCTTTCTTACGAGAATGCAATAGCTATGTTGAGTCTTGATAAGAAAACCCTTAAAAGAAGTCCGGAGAGGATCGATCAGAATACCAAGAAGAGGTAAAACAAGAGATCATCCCTAATTTGTGTGTTTTTAATTTTGAATTTGAGTTTTAATTAAGACATTCGTTTGATTGTTTATTTCTTGAACTGCAGGAGATTACCGGAGAAGAAGAAGACTGAGAAAGTTAAGATTTGTGTCGGAACAGAACAAGAAGAAACTTGTCTTGATGCTGGTTACTGCTGGAGAAAATATGGCCAGAAAGATATTCATGGTTACAAGAACCCTAGGTAACTAATCACTAGTACTATCAATATCTATCTGCTAAGCATTTCAACATTTTCGATTAACATTTTCCTCTGTTTTGTGAATACAGAGGATACTATAGATGCACACATCGATTCACACGAGGTTGTTTAGCAGTGAAGCAAGTCCAAAAATCAGAGGAAGATCCTCTGTGCTACGAAATAAAGTATCTAGAAAGTCACACGTGTAACAGTACTCCAGCATCAACCACCAAATACTCTGTTTTTGTGTCTGAAGAAGAACGAAACGAAGGACCTAAGCAACTTGTAACAGAGGAATCCGAAGACATAGTCGTCAAACATGTGAAATCTGAAGAAGCGATGTTAGGGCTCGGAGACGTGGATAGCAAGAAAGAGATTTTCAGGACGTTTTCAGGACGTTTTCATTTTCAAATCCCGAGACGGAGAATATTTTCGATTGGAAGAATATGATGGAAGATATGTCTCCTACTACAACATCGGAGTCTGGAATCACCAACGAATTGTCGTCTGTTTTTGTCGTGGATTCTCCAACGGATGACCATGATTCGTTTTTCTCTTGTTTGGAAAATATCCTCGATTTAACTCTTGATTCATTTGTGGATTAATAAATAAAATATAAATGGACCAACGCATTGAATGTTGTTTTTCTTTTCTTTTTTTTAATAAACTAGTAATAAGTAAGAATTTGGATTGAAAACCTAGCCCTAGTAACAAGTAGTAACACCAAGCACCTCAACCTCCACCTCCGCCGACATGTCCGTCGTCCGCCGCATTGTCCAAAATCCGACAGTAACAAAGGCGTTCATTCGTTATCCAGTCGGAAGAGAGCCTTGCTCACTCCCACCTATCATTATCAACCCAATGTATATGGATAGAATCGATCGCCGCCCAATACCTCTGCGCTACAGAGTCACGGCGCTGATCGAGATGTGTAATCTGGACGAAGCCGCCACGATGTCGCACCTCGCTGTAGAGGACAGGTTTCGTAACGACAGAGACACGGTGTTCATCTGCAATTCCGTAATCGGAGCCATGTGCGAGGCCAAACGGTACGGCGAAGTCATCTCTCTGTTCAATTACTTCTTCAACGAGTCTCAGATCCTCCCAAACACGCTCTCTTGCAATCTCATCATGAAAGCACATTGCGACCAAGGCCGTGTCGACGTGGCTCTTGAGCTTTACCGTCACATGGTCCTCGACGGACGTGTGTCTCCAGGGATAGCGACGTACGAGATACTCACGGAAGCCTTGGTTGTTGCCAAAAGATTCGACGAAGCTTGTGCTTTAGAGAGATCAATGAAACGTCGTAGTTTCATGGTCTACGACATTCTCATCCGCGGGTTCTTGGATGCTGGGAGATTCCTAGAGGCTAGCCAAATCTTTGAGGAACAGAAAGAACCCAACACTACTAGACTTCCATGGAGAGAATACGACAAGGCAATCGCAGTCTTTAGTGCTTCGTTTATGAGGTATTGGTTCAGGCAAGGCAAAGATGAGGAAGCTATGGAGATTTACAAGGGTTTGGACAAGCTTTTGTTGCAGGTGAATCCCATTGTCGGGAACAGGGTTTTGCAAGTCTTGGTGGAGCACGGTAAGAAGACAGTGGCTTTGGACTTGTTTGAGGAGATGGAATGTAACTCCGAGACGCTTGACATAATATTTAAGGGTTTCAGTGACACGATTATCCCCTTCAACTTCCACTCGCTATGGCTACATGTAGGTTTGTATAGGACGATGATCAAGCGTCTCTGCGAACAAGGACGCGTGTCCGAGGCAGAGAAGCTCTTTGCTAAGGTGTTTAAGGACGTTGAGAGAGACGAGCACCTGATGGCGGCGGGACCTGACGTTTCCACATTCAGAGCAATGATCAATGGCTATGTGAAGGTGGGGAGAGTCCACGATGCTATGCAAATGCTGGACGAGATGAAGGTTTCTACTCTAAGAAAGCTTGCTATTCATCGAGCCTCATGAATTTATCAAGTACTGTAATGGTGCTTTGGATCTCATCATTTTCTTAGACGTTATGAATATTGTTGGCCATGAGGAAGAATCATAAGCTGTAGGAAAACAATATGATCCAATTATATTTTATTTAGTTGAACTTACTTGACACCTTTTTGACTTATTGTATTCTGCTGCTTATTGAAGATCAAATCTTTTGTTTTTTTCTTTGCATTGCATGTTACAAATATCTGCAAAGAAATGTATGAGAACAAAATACGAATCTGTCTGTAATGTGGAAGAGTGTTATGTGTACACCTTTTCAGAAAATTGAACTAAAATAAAACCGAAAACCAAATGCAGAGGACGTTACTTGCTCAAAACTCAAAAGGCTTTTTTTTTTTTTCTGAGAATTCCTAAGATTTTGTTTTTTGACATTACTTTCTTAAAACCTCTAGTTGACTACTTTTTATTCAAGTCTCGTCCTAAAACCCTAGCCGTCGTCTAAAAACAATGCTTCTGATCCGGCGCGTGATACATGCCCGGCGCTTCTGCACGGCCGTGGCAAGAAGAGCGGAGGACATAATGCCAAACCCAGATTGCCGGCCTACGAGTCTAAGCTCGAGAGTCACGTACCTGGCCGCCCTTGGGTATCTGGACACGGCGGCCATGTACGCTCGTTTGGCTGTTTTCACCAAGATGAAATCGGAGTTCACAACAATCACATGTCAAACCATCATCGAAAACATGGTGCGGGAGAAAAGGCACGAGGACGCTCACGATCTCTACGATTTCTTCTTCAACCAGCATAACCTCAGGCCCAACTGCCATTCCTGCAACTACATTCTCGAGTCCCTTTTCCAACAAGGTCTTGTCGAAGAAGCTCTCGATTTCCACAGATCCCTACCCGGCTTGGCCCGCGGTTACCCAAGCGAGGACACTTTCAGGGTGCTGACGAAAGGTTTAGTCGACTCCGGTCGATTGGACCAAGCCCTAGGCTTCCTTACGGACAGGACAGACGAGGACGATAGGTTCCTAGTATCACGTGGCCAATACCCTGATGACGTGGCGTTCAACAATGTGATTCGCGGGTATTTGGATCTTGGGGATGTAGACAAGGCGAAACTAGTCTTCGACGACTTCAAACACTTGTGCAGGCGATACTCTGGATATGAAGACGCGGTCGCATTCCTTACGGTGGCATTCATGGAGTACTGGTTTAAGCAAGGCAAAGAGGTGGAAGCTATGGAGTGTCACAACCAGTCTCTTCTTCTGGAACACAAGTTACCGGTTTCCCGAGCAACTGGCAACGCCCTTTTGAAAGTCCTGCTCAGGTACGGCAAAAAAGACCATGCTTGGGCATTGTACCATCGAATGTGTGATGATAAAATCGTGTACAATGATACCGTTATGATAATGGTGAAGGAGTGTTTTGATATGGGTCGCTGTAGCGAGGCAATTGAGACCTACAACAAGGCGAAACCCCAAGGGTACTACAACATAATTCCCGAGACAAACTTGTTTACTCAAGTCGGATACCTTATCACGAGGTGTTGCGAAAACGGCATGTTGTTGGAAGCAGAGTCTCTCTTTGCTGATTCACTTGCTTGTGGTTTCGGATTCACTGACGTTGCCGCTTTCGAAGCAATGATCCATGGTTATGTCAAGGCTGGGAGATTCGATGATGCTCTTAAAACCTCCAACAAAATGATCGATGTGACTCTAGAGGAGGTCTCCCATCTCTTTTGACCATTCTTCGAATTTCATTGTTTTAACATCATTATCATTATTTTTAACATCATTATCATTCTTCATTAGTATTTTATTTTAACATCATTCTCTAGATCTTTGAATTGTATTTACAAATGATGTCTCTTGTAAGACAAGGAGAAGAAGATAATTTTTTTACAACTTTTGTAACGATTTATTCCTTTTTACCATATTTTTTCAACGAACTTCCTTCATCAAGTGAAGTTCCTTAATGTCCTGCTCCAAGCCTCCAACACTAATCTTGGCTTTTAAACATCTGCTAGTTCAACTAATTTTATTTTTATAGATTTTTAAAATTTATATATATATATATATATATGATATTGTTATCATCATCTGTTAAAACTTGTTATTTTAGATATGAAAAAGTGATACTACAGGAAAAATAATTGGGTTTTCAAGAAACTTGAAAAGTTAAGCTCAATTCCACTAATTTATCATATTTGAACAATAATGAAAGCTACGTCGAAAATTGACTGCTATCTTCCAAAATCCACCACTATTGTTGGTTTGATAATTTAAACTATTTGTCTAATGTTTCTTCTTTCTCTAGAAAATTTCATGATTAAATCAAAGATTTAAATATCTATAGTTTAATCATTGTTTTCAAGATTCTAAAATGTAGGCTGGAAGAACAAAATCTGCGATGTTGGCTGGAACAACTTCAGATGTAAGTCATGTGTGTATATAATGTGCATTTTAATATTTATTGTATTTGATCGGATGGAGAAGAGGTCCATTGCAGTTGCACTTGTTGATATGTATGGATGTTGTGGAGATTTCTCGAGTGCCAGAACGGGAATCATTTGGATCTCGATGGATCGTCGCACGATGGGACTTATTGGGCACTGGATATGGAAGCTTGGAAGATGCTCGCATGAGGCTTGTACAGAGCGTGAAAGACCTTGTTCGACCACTACCGAGGTCTTGTGGATGCTTACGTCCGAACACGGAGTCAGGAAGGATTTGAGGCAGCTATTTCCATTATCAAGACGGTGCCCATTGCCTTCAACCAAGAAAATGTGGTGAATGTTCTTAACCATTGTCTTCCACACTCAAAGTGCATGCCTCATAAGGAGCTGAAATTTATTAGGAGAATGTCATCCCGATTTGTCAGTTCGTTGATTATTTGGACGACAAGAAGTATTCCTACTAGATGTTGAGAAAGAGCTATGAGAGGCTTGCTAAACTGGACATAGTATGACCCGAATCAGTGTCAAAGAGGTGAATTTGATTAAGAATGTGTTGGTTTATGAGCAATGATGAAAGTCTTAAAGACTTTGTCTTTTCTGTTGTTGTTTGCTACGGTCAATAAGGATAGTTTTTAGGAACTAGTAAAGCTGATTTGGTTCCAAGCCAATCTTCAGCATCTCCCTAAATATTATCAAACATCAATCTCATCATTGAAACAAACGATGGTCTTAAAAGGTTAAGAAGGAATGTCATTTGCAAGAAATAGAGAATCAAATAAGTGAGAATTTTTTTGTAGTAAAGGAAATACATGAAAACATCCAAGGCATCAAACAAGTTAATTTGGATTTTGCCTTACTACTTTGACTCCTTAATTGTATTTGTGTTCGTATATGTCAGCCAGTTTAAATTCGATTTCGTATATATCATAGCTAAACGCCTCAGCTGTTTATAATTAACAATCATGTATTACCTCTGAGTTCCAGTTACTCTACTTTGCAAATAATATAAAGAGATACATTTTTCTATAAAACATAGATATTGTAGATTGCAGACTACATTTTCCTACAAAAAATGAAAGAGGATCGTTTATTCTAGAGGAACCGACCGATCGGTCTCATTTGTTCGTTCAAGTAGCTGTCCTTGGAAGTCTCATACCAAACCCACGCTTCAACTTCTCAATCCTAGGACCATCCAAAACAGAAAAACCAGAGATATCACCATCAACTTTCTTGTGAAAAACAGAGCATACGTTGTTACTTGTTAATTGTTATATACACAAAGGGGCTCTTACGTTGGGGCAAGTTTCCCGAGGCAATCGAGCTCTTCACCGGTGTCTTCATCTATGACTCTACCGGTAATGTCGACAACGTAGGATCTATCTCTGTCTGGAGGCAGCCCTCTCCCCGCAAGCAATCCCAAATCTTTACGGTGAAGCTCTCTTCCGTTTACATACACTCCCGTTGTCCCTCCTGCGCAGTTTTCTGGCATTGGGTAATTCAGCTCTTCTATGAACGGCTGCAACAAACAAACACATTAACAACAGTCATCAAGAAGAAGAAGCAATCAATATCACAGAAAAGCGTTTGCTCTACGTAACGTACCGGTAAGATTCCAAGACCTGGACCTCCCATTACTCCCCAGAATCCAGCTCTGTAATCATACCTAGAACGCCCCCAAACACACACACATCAACAACAACACTCATGATTCATGAAGAAGAAGATGAATTGGTAATGTTTCCTTTACCAGTAGTTTCCTGGCTGGATGGCTCCGGCTTGCTTCTCTGCTTTCCTCAGCAGACGTTCAGTCAAAGGATGTCCATTTATGGAAACGTTGCTTTTGTTGTTCCCTTCGTCGCTCTGAATGGATTTCGTCAGATCCTTGAAGCTCTTCTTCACAATGCTGGCGAATCCGTTCTTCTTGGATCTCTGCTGCTGTTGATGATGATCTTTTGATGATACTCCTCCGCTGTTATTATGGTGAGACTGAGAGTAGTCATTGTAAGAAACATCCATCTCACTCGCAAGTGAAACCTCTTTCATCGAGTTCTGTCTCATTGTCTTGCTCAGCGTCACTCTGTCTTTCTCTGAACGAGAGCTACGGCTTCCTGCTCCAGACCGGTCGTGATTGATGGACGAGTAATCAGCAAAGTTCTCGTGTAGAGGCGAATCTTGAGCTTGAGCAAGTGGCTTAGCTGTTAAACTGTCTGAGCTTAGCTCGTCCTCCTCCTCCTCCTCAGAAAGGCTAGTAGCGGAATGAGAATGAACATTCTGCAACATCTCTTGAGACTTGTCTGAGATCAGTCCCGGAGCATCATCATCATCCAAGGAGTGAAACACGTAGCCACGAAGATCATAGTCATCGGAAGTGTAATCTACACCACGAGCTTCTTCTCCTTGTCTCGTTGGAGCTGTGTTCGTCGAGAGCACAAACTTGTTGTTCACGACAGATAAATCTATGAGACAAGAGCACGCTCCACACCGCACTTTCTGTTGTTTCTTCCCTCCTTCTGGTTTCTTCGGCAGTTGGAGAAGCTCAAAGCAGTGTTGACAGGTGATAAACGGAGCACCACCTCCCAAAGGACGGATATGTCGAGATCCGCCTGATAACACAACTTTAGGAGGAGGACCGACACGCCAAAGAGCCGACTCACTAGTCCATCTTCCATGAGGAGGTAGACCACGTAAGGAAGAAGCAGCAGCGTAGGTTCTAGGGTTATGCAGTGGAGGAGCAAAACCCATAACGCTCTCATGAGGATAAAAGCCGGCGGCGTTGTAAGGTGCGTCAGGGATCACTCCTCGCCAGTACTTGTTATCGTAACAGTGGTAACAAGAGCAAGACGAGTGATGAAAATGACCGTTTTGCTGCTGAGGGTATGCGTCAAAGAGATCATGATGACCATTACCAACGTATTGTCCGGAGAAGTATGGAGGAGGAGGAGCTCTTCCGTGCATCTGAAACCTGTGATGAGGATGCATAGAGACTTCGTTGCTGCTGTTGTAAGGAAACTGCGGATCAGGATGTTGTTGTTGTTGTTGTTGTTGTTGGTGGTGGTGGTAATAAGAAGGACCAGCAGCAGAGTGATTCCCCGAGCTGTAAAACCGCATTGGAGGCTGCTTGTTCACTGGAAGCTGTTGCTCTTTAGGTTTCTCGTTAGCTACATTGCAAGACTGAACAAGCTGTTCCTTGAGCTTATCCAACTGTCTCAGAAGTCCAGCTCGGTCTTGCTCGATTGCTTCGTCTTTCAAATGTTTGTGGAGTGAATCTGGGAAGTAGTTAGTAGCAGTAGTAGAGGAAGAAGAAGAAGGGCCTTCATGACAAGGATGCTTTGAAGTGGATAATCTGTTGTTGATGACACTGTCAGAGTCACATCTCTTGGTTGTTCTTTGCCTTAACCGGTCCAAACCGGAATCTTGTCTCCCCGATTGAGATTTCGGGTCATCTTTATCACCTAATGTAGAGCTGCTGTTACCGGCGGCATCAAAAGCTTTCGGAGGATCGCTCTCAACAGCGACTGGAATGTTTTGCTGGTGTCTTAAAGATTCAGAGATTGATGGAACATCAGAGTCGGATGATGTTTCGCTAGAATCCGCAATTGCTTTTTCTGGGGAACTACTACTGGAGTTAACTGAAACCGGTTTGGCTCTATCTTCCACAGACTTGTCTGAAACCGAATCTGCTTGACGCTCCTTGATTTTGGCTGTATGTAGTCAAACAAAATCTCTTCAGGGTAGTACATTCAAAAAAAAAAAAAAAAAAAAATAGCCACTTTATCGAATCAAAAACCAGATCGTAAGCTAAAATTAATTTCTCTCTTCAAATCCTACAAAATTAGGCATTTATTGTTGGGAAGTGAAGAAGTTACCACGAAGAACGGTGAAGCAGCCACCGCACTGGAAAAAAGGGGAATCTTCAGGCTCTGATAAGAGATTCTCGCACTTTGGGCAACGAACTAGCCTTAGCTTTGTCGTCTCGGCCATTTCTTCTCGGAAGGAAACGAAAAACTCTGAAAGAGAGAAAATTACCCAGAAATTAAGAAGGACAAGAAAGAAATGACTTCTCACTGAGTTCTCAGTGAATAAAAAGGAAACAGTTTTAAAAAAGGGAACAGTTTTGAAGAATAAAAAAACTGAACCTTTTGCTCAGAGATTTCTTCTTGGTTGGGGTCTAGGCTACTATCGTGCTACTCGATCCCCTCTTTCCTAGCTTGATTTTCTCGGAAAACCCAAACCAGAGGAAGGGAAAATCACAAAGAGAAAAAGATAGAGGATAATGATGTCTGAATTAAAAAGAAAACTGTAGAGTAAAGAAAAAAAAAAAGTAAGGCAATTTGTGAATCTCTCTGTTTCTCTCTCTCTCTCTCTCTCTCTCTCTCTCTCTTTGCCTTTTATGGTTATTTGGTCTCGTTGAGTTCGAAGTTTGGTTTTGTTGGGAGAAAATCTGGGTTTTTGCTATGTCTCTGCAATTTTCGCTCCTTTTCACACGGCAGGCAAAGTAAACAATTCACTTGAGAAAAGAAACGGCGTCGTATCTAGCTAGCTACGTACATTTCACAAAATAAACGTCTGCGTTTTAACAGTGAGCGCTGTTTACTTCTAGTTAGTTGGTTGTTTTCAATTTCACATTATTCTCTCTGAGCTGTGACGCAACCACACGGAAAAAACCAAACGGAGCATTCCGTAAAGTGCCACTCTGAGTTCCGTCCAATCCCTCTGCCCTCAGTGGTTCTTGCTGACGTGTACATTTACCACTTTCTTTTTTTCTACTTTCCTCCATTATTAAATTTCTAACTAATGAAAATAGAAAATTATTTGTTTTTAAAATTTACTCCATTTAGTTTAGAGATTGATACGTTACAGTTTTCGTGGTTCCTCAAATTTTATATGTTAACTTTTTCAGTGAACATTGTGCAACTTATTGGTCATAAAGACTTGAAAAATTATAAAGAAAATAAATAAATAGATAGGGAGAATTCTGCTTTTGCTTTTATAACAACCATATGTATAGTCGTATAGCTTTTCTTTTTAGCTTCCATGTCAGCGACCACTGAGGTAAAAAGAAAAGCAGGGTTTTGGCCTTTGTTAAAAGATGTGACAGAATATTTTTATTTATATGTACAGCATTCATAAATTAGAAGAAAACAAAACCAAAATAAGATGGCGAAAAAGAATTAAAGGGAGGAGAGAAATGAGATGGCAGTAAAAGGAAATATTCGTAAATTAAAGGTCAAAGAAACCAAACGTTAACTAAAGTGGTCCATGTGTACATAAAAGTGGGACCCTGTATCACACCAAACGAACCAATGTTGGACCCACTTTCCTGATTTCTTCGCGGAATAAAAATCGAAGCTTCACCACATTTTTTCTCGGTGTGCATCTTTTGACTGATTTTTTTCCTTGACACTTTTACTTTAATTGGATCTTATCTTTACTATTAAGCACAGACGACGAAGATTTTGGAGAGCATTTCACAGATGTATTTCTTACATTTCCGCTTCGATTTTAACAAAATTGCATCTTTGATAGTAACACTGAGAAAGAAATTTATAAATCTAACGTTTCAACATTCAGCTATTGTGGATCCCACAGAAAGATCTCTGAGGTGCATATAAAGAGCTAAAGAGACAGAGAAACGAGACGTAATTGCCTTTTTAGGACAACAATTGGTGAAAGATCATGCAATAATGGTCTGTTTCGCATTGATTTTAATACTTTCTTGTGAACAACATTATTATGATTTGCAGTGTAATATTACACCTATGACCCATCGATATTAATTTGTACTACTGTATTTATATTTGGTATGTTATTTGAAATATATGGATCAACGCATGGAATTCATAAGTTATAACGATTCGGTAGGACCGTAGGAGGAATCAAGCTTTTGATTTTCGAAGCTTTGATGATACTTTTAATTCAAGATGGATTTTATGTGGTAACGGCTAAACTATACAGAATAAACTAAAAAGGAAAATAATCATAACGGTTAACAGTTCAAATTTTATAATGGACTTTATGCAACAACCCATCTAAGCCCACTCAAGTTCTCAATACATTAAAGTAAAATAAAAGCACCTGTAAATCGTATGAGTATCATTTGTGTGTTTAGGAAATTGTCAGAAAAATCATTTCATAGCCAATAATATACACGTCGATTCACATGTTCTGTCCTTCTTATTCACTTGTGTTTTTTTTACCAAGTTCACATTTATCTTCTGACACTTCCTTTTAGATTCGAGATCGAAAGTTGGTATATTTCTTCATGGACATACATGCTAATAATTCAAATAATTTCCTTTTCGCTAAATTTCACTCATTAGTTTCTGCTTTATACCCCAAAGTTTCAGGATGATCATTGACCATATTATAGATGGTGCAAGAAAACATTACTTGCTACTTGCGAATTGCGAAGACAGTGAAACGTGGATTGTTGTCTTGTTGATAAACAATTGAACATCTGTCATTTTGAACTATTTATAACGTTACATTTCATGTTCTGCGACGGAAACGTGGACTGCATGTTAATCCACATTTCAATGTATAATATGTTTAAACTCCCAATATGCGATGATAGTCTCAATATAATTTTAACAAGGCAATAAATCTGTATTTAACCAGTGAAATCAACAAAATTAAAATTCCCAATTCATTACAATGTACTCGATTAAATTTCAAAGAAAACAACAGTGGTAATTACTCTTTTATACGAATGAGAGAAAATTCACATCTTCGGCGAGCCAGATCTTGTAGTAGAAATACTCATCCCACAGAAAATCCGACAAAACAACGTCTTCTTGTTGTTATTCTCGGCGACAGCAAGATCGGCGTTTTTCTTTCTTTTCCACCACCTCTTCCGAAAAACACCGCACAGTACTTTACCAGCCGTCGAATCAGCGGGACAACACAGATCGACAACAGTGATGGCAGCACGATTCGCCTTTGCTCCCAAATCAGACGGCGTCCGAGAACTATAGACTTTTCCGGCGCCGGCGAGAGAAGGGAGAGACATGAAATGACGTTCGATGGTGTGAGTGAGAGAGACGAGCTCGTAGGAATCATAGAGTGGACTTCCACAATCCCATAGTACACGATCGTTATGATCATCGACCATCTTCTTAGTCTTCTCTGTGGTGGTTTTCAAGAACGGTGTGCATGTGTAAGTGTGTTTCTCGATGTAGATTTCTGACAGTGAGTGTAGTGTGTCTTTTATTTAAGCGTTTAAGGTTTTTTTGTTTTCTTTTGTTTTTGGTCGTATGGTCTTGTACCATCCAAGCTGGCGATATTTGTTTCTGTCTATGACGATTAATTACCGTTTTTACTGCATTGACGATAACTTACTTTTTCTTGTAAACATTGGTATAAGTATAACCGTATAAAGTAGTAAAAAATATGAATTCACACGATTCTATTATGTTACAGATTATCAGCCAATACTGTTAACCAAAATTGGATTTAGTTGAATTAAAACTTGTAGACAAATAACCAAAAGGTTAATTGGTGGAAACTGGAATGAGTAAAACATTCTGCAAAATTACTGGCAAGATTCTGTTCAAGAGTTAATGGGCCGAGAAAATACACTAACGGGCCGAGAGTAGGTCAAATGTCACTTTACCATCACAGACTGAGATTGTAGTTGCAGTGTAGTGTAGTGTGTTTACACTTTACACGCTTATGCCGAAATATCTATCGAGGGTCTGAGTCTCTCTCCACTCGAGTCTTAACCGAGACTCTGTTTTGGCAAGTCACATTTATCTTCTCCGTGACCAAATTTGTGACCTTTTTTTTTTTCCTGTTAGTTTATCTATCTATCTCTCTAATTTTATCTTTCTTCACTCGACTTTTAAAAAGGCATCCGCGCCAGAGCTAATTTAATTATTTCAATTCCTCACATCAGCTTCTTCTCACTCTCCAAACCCTAGTTTTTTTTTTGTTTCTCTCCCATCAATTTCTCGAGGTAGAAGATGCCGAGGGAGATTATCACGCTGCAAGTGGGACAATGCGGGAACCAGATCGGAATGGAGTTCTGGAAACAGCTCTGCCTCGAGCACGGGATCAGTAAGGATGGTATTCTCGAGGACTTCGCTACTCAGGTCCTTCTTCTTCTTCTTCCCCTCGATTTGATCTTAAATTGAACTATGGCTTTGTACTGTGTACTGGGTTTTTAGGTGTTTTCAGTCTGATGTGTAGCAATTGCTTCGAATTCGTTTCTGGATTTCAATTTTAACACTATCCAACTGATAAATGAATACCATTTCGGGTGAAATTTTGGTTTTGTTGGCCATGGAATAGTTTCTGATTTTGTGTTTGCTTGTTTACACTTAAATTTTGGATTTTTTTTTTTGTTTGAACGACTGATAAAAGAGGTGGCTTTTGCGTTTGGGCTGTGGATTGATGAATATCTCTAATCGAATCTGTAGGGAGGTGATCGGAAAGATGTGTTTTTTTACCAAGCGGATGATCAGCACTACATACCACGAGCTCTGCTGATTGATTTGGAGCCTCGAGTGATCAATGGCATTCAAAATGGTGAATACCGGAACCTTTACAATCACGAGAATATCTTCGTTTCCGATCACGGTGGTGGTGCTGGAAATAACTGGGCCAGTGGTTATCACCAGGTTCGTCAACACTCTCTATAGATGTCACTAAGTTTATCACAAGACCAGTGTAGTCACATGATATCTCATATTTTCTCTTTACTTGCTAAATATGATCAGGGGAAAGGTGTTGAAGAGGAAATCATGGACATGATTGATCGAGAAGCTGATGGAAGTGACAGCCTTGAGGGCTTTGTTCTTTGCCACTCCATTGCTGGAGGAACTGGCTCAGGTTTGTTACCATTTTCTTGGCAAGCTCTTATCTTATCACTGCTTGTTGTGATCTGATTGAACTTTTGTTGGTATGATAAGGTATGGGGTCTTATCTGTTGGAGACATTGAATGATCGCTATAGCAAGAAGTTGGTTCAGACGTACAGTGTATTCCCCAACCAGATGGAGACAAGTGATGTTGTTGTGCAGCCGTACAACTCACTGTTGACGCTAAAGCGGCTTACCTTAAACGCTGACTGCGTTGTTGTCCTTGACAACACTGCGTTGAATAGAATAGCTGTGGAGCGTCTACACCTAACGAATCCCACCTTTGCTCAAACGAATTCGTTGGTGTCAACTGTGATGTCTGCTAGCACAACGACATTGCGATACCCAGGATACATGAACAATGACTTGGTTGGTTTGCTTGCGTCTTTGATCCCAACACCAAGGTGTCACTTCCTCATGACAGGATATACGCCGTTGACCGTTGAGCGTCAGGTAAGATATCTCACATGTTCAGTACCTTATACCATTTATAATTTTATGTGAAGCTACCATTGTATTTTGAACATTGACTCTCTTTTCTCTGGCAGGCAAATGTGATTCGTAAAACAACTGTGCTGGATGTCATGAGAAGACTTCTACAGGTGAGCTGTTTGCTTTCTCCAACCCTTTTTCCGAAACTTGAATCAGATGTTCTTCTAACATGATTGTATTTGCAGACGAAAAATATCATGGTTTCGTCATATGCTAGAAACAAAGAAGCTAGCCAGGCGAAGTACATATCGATATTGAATATTATTCAAGGAGAAGTCGATCCTACTCAGGTACTGTTGCTTTGGCTTCTTGTCTACATACTGAGGAGGATGAAACTGTTAATTCCGTCTTGTTGATGCGATTCCCTTTGTTGTTTGATTACTTGATATTAGGTCCATGAGAGTTTACAGAGGATCCGAGAAAGAAAGCTTGTAAACTTCATTGAATGGGGACCTGCAAGCATACAGGTTCTAACCAAATTGCGTCTGCAAATTAGTTATTGCCTTTGGCTTGACCATGGACTTGCATAACAATTTTTCCATATCTTATGCTCAACAGGTGGCGCTTTCCAAGAAGTCCCCGTATGTTCAAACTGCCCATAGGGTAATCTTACATTCCTCTATACTTATACATATCTGTCGTGCTGAGAGTTTGTACTGTTTGCAATTAATGTCTTAATACTTTAGAAGATACGACAAAGACCCTTACTCTAGTGATGTATCCGATGTTTCAGGTCAGTGGTCTTATGTTAGCGAGCCACACTAGCATCAGGCACCTTTTCAGCAAATGTCTGAGCCAATATGACAAATTGAGGAAGAAGCAAGCTTTTCTTGACAATTACCGAAAGTTTCCCATGTTTGCTGTAAGTGACCGCTTAAACATCCTGCCTTTGTTTTGGTTTGTGACTTTGCCAATTCACTGGTGAAATAATGAGAACATTATATGTGGATGTGGACAGGACAATGATCTTTCGGAGTTTGATGAATCAAGGGACATAATTGAGAGTTTGGTAGAGGAATACAAGGCCTGTGAATCTCCAGATTACATCAAATGGGGAATGGAGGTATGTAAAAAGTCTCAGACTTCTAACTTTTTTCCCATCAATAGTAAACACTTATGGAGGAACTCGAAATGATAATTGCATCTGTGTGTCTATATCAGGACCCTGAGCAGCTTATGACTGGTGAAGGCAATGCTTCAGGAGTTGTGGATCCCAAGTTGGCGTTCTGAATAAAATCAAATGAAAATCCAGAGTAAAGTCAGTGAGTTGTTTCACCTTTTTAACTGAGATTTTTCAGGTTGTCGTAGGTTGTACTATACTGTGTTTTGGTAGGAGTAGTAAGGATAAAAAGAGTGTTGGCACGTGAACGTTGAATAATAGTATTTATGATGTGGAATGAGTTTTCAATCTATGAGATTAATATGTTCTCTGGGTATTTTATCTAGATTGAGAAGAACATAAACTTCTTCCATCTTCTCAGGGGGAGGAATCTAGGAATCTTTGAATTGTATGTTTTTATGGGTGTTTTAGCTTTCATTCCATCTACACGCACATTTTAAAGTGAGAGAATAACGAAAGGAGTGAATCTGTGTGTCTCTTATGTATTTTGTTGAGCTAAACACCTAAAACACACATAAAGAGTCGTATTTTTAAGATATTTTTAGAAAAGAAAATTCAGTAGGCATACAAAGGAGCGTCACATGCATCTCAAGTTCCGATCAATCGCAATGGATGTCTGAAATCCGGATTGCTAAGGGACCATTCATCGCTTAAAAACAAGGTTGTTTTGTCAACGTCGCTTAAAACGACCTCTCCGAGAATCGTTATTTTGGCAAATAACATAACGTGGATGGACCCCTTTTTAACACATTCTAACGTAGTTTCTATGCTAATATTAATCTGGAAACCGCAATAGTTCATTTTCCTCGTAATTATGAAAATGTATAGTCGGCTTTGCTTTCTTACAGACTCCCTCCACCGAAAAAACTCAAATAATTGATCCTTTCATTATTAGAAAAGTAAAAAGGACATGGTGGAAAACAAAAGGAGAATCTCACATCACATGCACATGGCCCTCTTCGTTTACTGCTTACATGTCATTATTTTGTATGCTCTCACTATCAACATCTTCAATCTTTTGTTGTTTCGTTGTAGATATTTTACATGGATTTATTTTTTAAGTTGTGTTCCTTTTATAGTAGTAAAAGAAGATTTCAAACGGAGATCTCTACATATGGAAGACGAATTTAAACTCTGATCATGTGTCTAAAATTTTGGATCCTCTTTTAGATTAAACAAGACATGAGACATCAAACTTAAGATCAACGACTAAAAGGAATCAAGGAGAAGAACAAATCAGCAAGTAAAAAGACACGTGTCATCATTTACAATTAATCGAGTGATTAATGCAACCAGTATTGTCCTTATAAAAGAGCGCGTTTAGCGCATCAGTCAGTCTCTCTCTCTCTCTCCTCTTCCTCGATAGGGTTTCCATTCTCCGTCGTCTCTCTCGCCGGAGTTTCTTCTTCACGCACAGAGATGGCGTCGAGGAATTCCGTTGCCGTTTTCGCATTCTTCGCTTTCGTTTACGCCGTCATCTCTCCATTCGCCGGCGCGCAATCGCTAGCTCCTGCTCCTTCACCCACAAGCGACGGTAAGTTTTTTCCGATTACATTCTCTCTTTTCTCTCCAGATCTGAATGTAGAATTACATAAAAGATTCCTCGACATTTTAGTGCTCGCATACACCATTTCTTCCATATTTCGGGACTCGATCACATTGCCTTGAGAATCGAATTAATGTTGTATCATGAGCCCCCTAGATCGTTGATCATGTTCAATTAAGTGAAGTTGAATAACAATGTAAATGTTGGCTTTTGGACAGGAACGTCGATTGATCAAGGAATAGCGTATTTGCTAATGGTGGTCGCACTTGTCCTCACTTATCTCATCCATCCTCTCGATGCATCTTCCTCCACTTGATCCTTTCTTAGAATTTTGTTTCAATTCCACCATTTTCTAGTGGACCAAAACTTCATCTGTCTTATGTCATAGAACTTGTATGAAAATTTTCATACGGACTCCCTTTACTTGTGCTCACAAATCCCAATTTTCGCTTCTACGGTTTTTTCCACTATTTTAAAATTTTAATTGTATATATTTCCCGTAGTTTCATTTTTAACCTTGATAGTCCCTATGGATTCGTCTACTACTACAAAAATTAGCTAATGACTACAACTTGTGGACTGACAAACACTTTTCGAAAATGGGCGCGTGAATTGCTTCGCCAATTATGCGCGTGATCCGTTAAAATTACTTGTTTGTTAAACTGGACCGATAGATAATTTTCAGTTTCGTTTAATGACCAGTTTTACGTCTCAAGGCCCAAATGTTCACAATATAGTTGTACTTTGAAAATCCAATTCTAAATTGAGCTAACTGAGCCTCATTCGTAATCTCTGGTGATAGATAGATGTTGTAAAATACCCTATAGGCTTTTAGCAGGAGTTTTGTATATGTTTGGTGTATTTTCTAATATTTAGTTAGTGAGAAAAAAGTATTTTTTACTTCACCAATAATGAAGACCAACCTATAGCAACATTGTTCATTGTCAACTGCTTTTTAGTCTTTTATTATTGATCCCGATTTCAAACATGATAGAGAACGATTGGCAGCTGCTTTATTGCGTTTTATTTTAATCTTCTTTTTGACCTGAAATAGGAACAAACGGCATGAACTGTGTAAAGGCGTCTTCAGAGAGTTGGAAGATCTTATTGGGACCCCATACTAGATTAGATTTGTGGCCATTGGCCAACTTGTTTCACCTCTCATTCTCTTGTGGCCCAATCCTTGACCAAACTTTCTTCACAATATGGGCTTAGACCCGCTTTTTTCTTTTACTTTATTTTTCCTCATCTCAATTTCAATATCTCGAATTTTAAGTTTTAAGTACGAGTGTTTTGAATCCGATTAACCAAACGAATCTGACTTGCATGTTCGGAAAGAAGGCTGCTTAACAAATCGAATATAGCTCTCCTTCAGTTTATCCGATACTCAACATTTATTATGGTCCAAAAAAATGCCAACAAATAAAAATAAACAAGACTACAACAAAAACGTATAAAATCTTAATTATACTTTTTAATCTGATTTTTCATTTCTTTTCAAATTATTTATGTTGGCTTATCTACACTGTCTGTACACCTCTCATTCAAACTCTCAAAAGTGTTATAACAGTAAGTCCTCTCTAACTCGGAAAAATATCCACTCAGTTTGAATTGAAATGCAGAATTGTAATTGGCAAAAATTTGAATTTTATACGTATTTCCTTTTACATCTTGAATCTTGTTCCTTTATTCATATGGTCGGTCCAAGCTGCAGGCATTAAATGCTCCGATGCTTTTACATGTGTGTTGCTAGTGGCTCTGTGTGAATCTCTTGGGTTTGTTTCTTCTTTTACTGTGCCAACAAACTACTAGTCACCACCCCCACGGCCTGCCCGTACTATTTTGGCGCCTAAAGCCAATTTTTGTTTTTTAAGCCAATTAAAAATTTAGTTTTTTATTAAAAGGCAAGAAAATATTTGCTGGAAGCCTCTAACACCTTCTCTGAAGGTCATAATGAGAAGACATAACCACTACACTACCATAAACTCTCTGTAATTTGGCGTCCTAAAATGATAATATCTCTTGACACCTAAAGCACATGCCTTACTTGCCTTAGGTCAGGGCTGGCCCTGCCACCCAACATAGTGGATAGTCGCTATATAAATTCGATTTTGTTTCTCGTTTCCTGTTTGTTTGCGGGTAGTATACTTCACTTGTAACGCTGATTACATCATTATAACATAAGAAGTATGCATATGCTTCATTGTCGTTTGAAGAGCATAGCAGTATCAAAATAAAGCTTCTGAAACGGATATAAACAAAAGGTTGATTATTGATAGTTTTGTTTTTCTTTTTCAAATGTTCTTTAAAATAAACTACACCAAACTTTTAAACGTTAGTATTTTTAATGAATCAAGATTTGATCAGAATAGCAATAAAACCGAGGTTACTAAACCTTTGTCCCACCCACTTGGATGGACCATAGTACAAAACAGAAAACATCCATTTAATTAGAAGACAAGATACATTTGTCCTTCAAAATTGATATATACCAAACTCCATTGTCTAATTCTTCAAATGTATCTTTACGATTATTGTATGTAATAGATAAATAGAAACAAAAGGAGAATTACCTTGGTTGTCTTTTATGGTGAATTTGAAAATGTGAAGGATGTTTTTATGAGTGGAGACACAATTGGTAGGGCTAAAATAGGATTCAATGGTTTGGTTCTTCACATGAATGGGCTTTGATACTTAAGTGGAAAACAACAGCAGACACGAGAACATGTCTCTCGGTGATACCTTGAATCTTCAATCCACACCACACCCACTCAATTTATCTCTGCGAGGATAATATCACAGCAGTAGATATCTTTTTCATTTTTGTTTTGCTACTCAACCGATAACCCAAGTGCAGCTTGCTTAACCGGTTTAGAAGAATGTTGATACAATGTTACCAGACCGACTTTGAATCACAGTTTCTAGATTTGGTATGTTGTAGTATTATCAAGTACGAATTTGAATTTACTCTTATGTTTGGAAGGTGGAAAATGGTAAAATGTTCATTGTAATTCTTGAGCTGAAATTAAATACGGATAAGAACATTTTAAACTCTTTAATTTTGAAAAAAACATTGACTTAAACTAATAAAAGAGATTTTTCTATTTATCACAAGACATGTCATTTGCCACATAGTAATTCTCTTAGAGACTCATGCGAAATAACAAAGGAAAATGATAGGGATTTTTACATTTAATAAATATTAATATAGACATAATTAAACACTCGTATATACTGCTTCCTCGCGTTGAGACAATCTCAGAGAGAAAGCAAAATAAACGAAACTGTTGTCTTTTTAAAGGGCCCAAAACCTTCATAAACATTAAACAACATTTTATCTTAACTAAATATATTTACCCACAAATAAATTAATAGAGCTACTTTTCTAGCGCTTCACTTGATCAGAGCCATCCACGTCACTGAACGGAAAAGATAAGCTAACGGTCAAGATTCATCCGCGTCATCATCGCCACCAAAAATTCCCAGAGCCAGAAAAATCTCATTTTTCCCACAACTGTTGCTCGAAGAATTTGTCCACATCCCATGGGCAGGACTCGAAATCTTCGTTCAAACTGAAGGAGAAGTCGTCGGATTCGAATTCTTCTTTCGGAATCACCGTGTTTAGCAACGGTTCCTGGGTTTCGATTTCATCCAGAAACAGAGGATCAGGTGGAATTTCGGGATCCCAGAAATATTCTCCGGCGAGACACAAATCCGGCAACGAATACGGATCCGGGAACAAACTCTCAAGCGACTCTTCTCCGATTGACGACTTCCTCTCCGGAGATAGCTCGATTGGTTCAATCTCCAGCTCTGTTTTATACTCTGTTTCCTCGTTAGCGTTGAATCGAAGAACAGAGGTCGGAGAACGGAGGCTCTGGCGAGAGTCCTTCCCGGAATCGCAGGCGGAAACAGTTTCTAGATCGATAACCGGCGTTTCCCCCGGAGAAGGAGGAGGAGTCAGAAAATTCGTCAGCGCGTTATGTCCTCTGATATGAATCGCGGCTCGATCGTAAACAATAGCAGCTTCCTCCGCCGTGACGAAAGTCCCGAGCCAAATCCGAGTACGGCTCGCCGGATCCCTAATCTCCGCCGCGAATTTCCCCCACTTTCTCTGCCTCACGCCTCTGTACTTTTTCACCGAGGAGGATGTTGACACGTCATCATTTCTTTCAACGCCGCCTTTCTCCGCCTTGCATCTAGCTCTCCTCGCCACGTTGACTGCGGCGGCGGAGGTTTTGCCTTCGCCGAATCTAAACTCCTCCACAAATCGTTTCACCCTCGGAGTCGGAGGAGCCACCGTAGCGTTGTCGTCGTCGCTAGACGAGTCAGTGGCGAAAGGGTCAGTGACTGAGACTCGAAGCACTCTTGGAGAGCCGTTAGATGGCTTAGCTGGCACGGAAGTGACCGTACGATGCTCTGTGAACTTGACTCGTCTCGTTCGTCTCTCCATCTCTCGCTCTCTGTAATAGTTACTGTGGAGAGAGAGAGAGAGAGAGAGAGAGAGAGAGAGAGAGAGAGATGAGTTTTTTTGTTTTCACTGTTTTGAGTATGCAAGAGAAAGAGAAGAGTCAAAAGAGTAAAGAAAGAAGAGAATCGCCGTTTCATAGGAACATCCCCCTCCTTAAATATACAAGAATTTATTATTTCCATATTTCTTTTACTTTTTATGGCCATTTTTACTTAAACGTAGTTTTCGAACTATTAAATGGTTATTGATTATTGTGTCTTTTTGTTTTAACTGTAGAGAGAATTTAATGCGTGTTCAAACCGGTTCAACAGTACCCATAGGAGTATGATATAAGTATGACCCAATCAACAAGAAAATTAAACTGATTTCAGTTCAATTGTTTTCTAGCGAATGAGATTTTATTAAACCGATCATAATTATAGCAAACCGGAGATTAGATGGGATTTTGTTAGGGAGAGAGATTAATGAGGGAGGGTTTAAGGCGGTTTGGTGGCGGCCATTGGGGATCCAAAACGGCTTTCCGCATCTCAGATTGAGACGTTAGATTTGTGACACGTGTTAGTTACCGTACCGAAAGTAGAGCCTTTGTCCTACTCTAGTAGCTTGGTCTCCAAGCAAGTTTAGCTGTCCCACGCGCACTATATTGTACGTATACCTCACCCGCCGTCGAGTGGACCCCCACTCATGCGAGATTGGTCACGAGGATGTCACTTCGGTGCATTGACCCACTATGGAAATCATCAAGTTTAATGTGGTGATGAATCTAATGATGTGTTTGAAATTAGAACTAGTAATATAAAATTCTCATGTAAATTGGAAAAGTATATTTTATTTTGGAAATATTATGATCATTTGCTTGGGCACCAAGTCCCTTTTCTTGTATTTAATGTTTCTTTTCAGAAACTTCAATAGGAAAAACCAGAAAAAGGTAACTAAATTAGATTTCCTTTCCCACATTTTTGTATTGACCTTTGACTAGGATGGGTCGTAAACAATTATTAAAAAGATGAAGAAAATAAATTTATAAATAAAATTAAAATTTATTGATGAAAAGTTAAAATTTATTGATGAAAAGTTAAAATTTATATACCAAACTACACTAGTTTTTTCTTTTAAATAATAAGTTAAAAAACCTAAAACTAAAGCAAATATAGTAATAATATTTTGAAACTAGACGAATTCACTTGTGATCTTTATAAACGTGTTTTACACATGTGATTTAACGGCTTTTAGTTAAACTTGGGATTTGTCTTGTCTTGTACTCTTGTAAAAGACCCATAAAACACACTTTTGGAAATAGGATGATATTAAGCCTTTGGTCCAAAAACTAAGAAGGTGGAATTTTTATTTAATTTGCATTTCCGACTCCCGTTAAGACCATAAGTCTTAGTAGGTACTAGCCACTTGGTAGAAAGTCTGTCTTGAGACTTCAATTGTCTGTTTTTTTCCTTTTTCTTTTGGATGTCGTATACAAGACGAGCACTGGACTCTTGGTCCTCTTCAGACTGTCTTGAATTGTCTAATCTGGTTTTGTATGGTCTTAAAAATATAATTAGGTATTCCATAATCTCCGTCACGAGCCCGTCAATGTCAAAGACGTCACTTTGCATTACATTCTCTGCAATTGCACACGTATATACGGACACGTTGATACTACTTTCATTTTATTAACAATGAATCTAGCTAATAACTGCATAATAAAATAGATAACAGAGTCAAAAGAGGAAAGAACAAACATAAACATTACAATCATACCAACGTAGAGACAAAATACAATCGACGAATAACTCGACATTCAAATAGGATTTGCCGCCGACGGTGAGATGGACCAAGTATATGAAAGTAAGCACACGAAAAGGTTTATAAACTAAAATATTAACAACTCTACGATATTTTATCAACAATTTTTTATTCGGTTGATCTAGCAACAAAACCAATCACTTACTCAATTTAAGTTTTGTAGCAGAAAACATATTTGATTTTTCAGTATTTTCAAATTCACCGAGGTTCGTACACTTTGATCAGATACGGTCATGTGGAAAGACAAAACCAAATTCAGATGTTTCTTCTTTGGTTTGGATTTTAATTTGGGCATGCTTTCCATTTGGCATGGATTCGTTTAGCTGAATCTGGCAATTTCTATAAGTTAATAGCTTATAAGCAGCAGACACGTGTCAAGGTCGAAAATTAGAAGAGCTTGTATGCAGCGCATCTACAGCCAAAACGGTCCTTGATTATTTATGTAAATATTGCTTTTTACACTTTTACCCTTCAAATATCAACTAATTCACAAACGAAAGCCCCAAGGCCTTCTCTAATCTTAGGTTTTTGCTCTTTCAGTTCCACCATCGACGCCGTCTATCAACCTCCGACGTATAGCCGCCGCAATTATCGGCAAAGGTCTATCTCCACTTCTTTCGTATTCGTCTCTTCTCCGTTCTGGGTAACGGAAAGTATTAAACTTGTTCTGTCTTTCTGTGATCTCTCTAATCTAGAGTCCTGTGAAGTCACAACAATGGAGTACGTAAACCCTGAAGGTCTTCGATTAGATGGTCGCCGATTCAATGAGGTACCTTTGCAGCTCCCTCTGTTCCTTTACCCTTTGTTTAGCCTTCACAAGTTAGTTAATTTCTCAATCATTGATGCTTTGTAATAAAAAATCTCAGATGAGGCAAATCGTAGCTGAAGTTGGAGTTGTCTCCAAGGCTGACGGGTAAACTCAGCTCTCAATCTCAGTTTTATAATTCGACACTTATTATATGAACCAAAAAATTCAACCTTTTTTTGCTTCCTTTTAGCTCTGCTGTGTTTGAGATGGGTAACACGAAAGTAATTGCAGCTGTCTATGGCCCAAGAGAGGTACTTTAATTACTCATTCTCCAAAGATTGATGCTTTTTGCTGTATCATTCTGTGAGTTGTCTGTTTTAATTGCATCTCTGTGCTCCTCTTCAGATTCAAAACAAGAGCCACCAACAGAAGAACGATCATGCATTGGTATGTATATATGTTTTTGATATTTTTACTTAGCAAAAAGCTTGGTGAAATGTGAACGCTTATGGATTTTGTATGTTTTGGTAGGTGCTGTGTGAGTATAGTATGGCTCATTTTAGTACTGGTGATCGTAGAAGACAGAAGAACGACAGGTTTGTGTTTTGATTATATGTATCTAAAAGACTCTCCTTTGTTCTTGCAAAAGGTCATAAGAGCTGAATTAGTGTTGTATTATTGGTTTCAGACGATCAACAGAGCTATCTCTTGTCATCCGTCAGACCATGGAAGCTTGCATTTTAACAGAACTCTTGCCTCATTCTCAGGTTAGCTTGACTAAATTCCGGTGAAATTGAAGCTTATATTTGCTTCTTCTTGATTGGATTTGTTGTTGTTGTTGTTGTTGCAGATTGACATTTTCCTTCAGGTTCTACAAGCTGATGGAGGTAAGTAAACTCTCTGTTTCTCTACAGCTCTCTCTCTCTCGAATTCTCTAAATATTGTCGATCTGAGATTGATGTTTATGATCTACGTGATTCAGGAACAAGATCAGCTTGTATCAATGCGGCGACACTAGCTCTTGCAGACGCTGGGATTCCAATGCGTGATCTTGCTGTCTCCTGTAGTGCTGGTTACTTAAACAGCACTCCTCTTCTCGGTAATTATCATTTTTAGTGCATCAACTAGTAGATAATCACTCCTCTTCTCAGTTATTTGGACTTGTGAGCTAATGGATTTTCTATATTAGATCTGAACTATGTCGAAGATAGCGCTGGAGGAGCTGATGTAACTGTTGGTATTCTACCTAAACTAGACAAAGTTACACTCCTTCAGGTTAATCTTCTTCTTCTTCTTCTTCTTCTATTCTCCATATCTCATTTATCTTTACAGTCGCAATGAAAATTGATTGTTGAGTTTTTGTGGTTGATGTATTGGGTTGAAATGTGTAGATGGATGCAAAGTTACCGATGGAAACATTTGAGACGGTGTTTGCGTTGGCTTCTGAAGGTTGCAGGGCGATTGCAGAGAGAATACGCGAGGTAACTAAATGATTCTTCTTCTAGCTTTTTCTTGTTCCACCATTGAAGAATCTTTCTCTGTTTTCTAAAATCTATGCTTCTTTTTGTTGTTTTGAAGGTACTTCAAGAGAACACCAAACAGCTAGAGTATCGTCGTGCTGCATGAAGATCTTAGTTAAACAAGCTCGTTAAATTTTGTTACTGATTTTTGATGTTGTGGAACTAAACTAAAAGCTAGAAATGCAAAGTATTTTGATATAATATATGGTTTTTTCATTTCGAATATTATCCAAATAATCAAACCTGAATTTGAACCGAAAGCGATAGATTGAACACACTTTGTTTCATACATTAGCCGATGGAGAACCTATTAGTAGAAAAACTTGTTCCGTTACCAATTTTCTTCCTCAGGTGTGCTCTCAGTCGAGAAGTTTGGGTTTCTTGGCTCGCCAAAATCACAACACTTCCCTGAGTAGATAGATGCAAAAGACAAAAGAGCTTTCACATTCTTTAGAAAAGCCTGATTATTTATTAGTCAAATTTCCACCCAGAAATTCTATCGGATCAACCGGTTTGGTTATTTCTAATTTTTTTTAATATTTAAATTATTATTATTCTTTATTCAAAACAAATGACCAGAAAATATCTTCTATATTTTATTTAAGAATACAATTTTTTTTTAAAATTTTTTACATTCATTCATGTGTTATTAACAAAATTTTCATGATGATGTGTTATCATTATAATCTTTTCAAGAGGACTTGAGTTTAGTGGAGATGATATAACCAGAGCCGTCCCTGAATATTGGACGGCCACAAGCTAAGAAGAAAAAAAAGCCGATTTAATTTACTACAAATGCATTAAAAAGAAAGAATATTAATATCTGCAGCTTATAGGGTTCGAAACTCATGACAAGTTATAGTGGAAATCATGAATAATCAAAACAAACATCTAAATCTTAGGTAACTTGTTCACTACCGATGTTTATGGTTACAGAGTCTTTGAGTAGTACCTCAGATTCAAAGGTTATAGAATCGCCTTGTTCAGTCAAAAGCTCTTTTTGCTGAGGTTGTCCAAGTAGTCCAATGTCTCTAACCCTTCAATCCTCACTTCACTGATAAGATCAAGAGCGAAAGAGTCAACATTTCTGCTAAAAAATGCTGATTTATTGTAACAAGAGTATTTTCATTACCTTATGTCTGAGACAGAGAGGTAAGTGTGATACGCGAATGAGAAGCTGAAAGGTTTGCCATTGATGTTTCTAATCCGAGAAATCAATGTTAAGTCGCCATCTACGGCAAGTGAAACCCGAAGACGGAACTCGAAACTGATATTAGAGAAGAAAGTAGAGAGAGAATCAGAATCTGTTAAACAAGATAAGAAGGCTAAGTGATGGCTGTTAAGAAGAGTGTAGCATGATGTACCTGTGAGGCCAGTGCTTCAAGTCCTCTTCCGATGGTTTGAGAAGAAGATCAACAAACGATTTCCCCAAGGTTTCGTTTGAGTTAAGAGGAGGTGGATTCTCATCTATTACCCACATTTTGTTCCTTGCAAACCCATGTTGGTCCAATGATCCACAATCTCCAAACTTGCAAAATTCAATCACAAATGATTCAATATTGAAAGATCTCAGTGAGAACATTGAGAGGACCGACTAACACAAAAAAAAAAAAAAAAAAAAAAAGCAAAATTACCTGAGGATAACAAATCTGAATCCCCCCACGCATTGATTTTGGGGGTTTGAATATAGCCTAACAAATTGTAAATATAAATCAGATTTTTTTGTAAATTCTTCTTCATCTTCTTCCCTATGTTTGAGGGTTTTGTCTGCTACATACCTTGTTGCTAGTGAAAAGAAGCTCTTCGCCTTGGTCATTTCTCCATGAAACTACTTGTCCTCCATGTAAACTTATCTGTAAACCAAAACCCAGAACACAGAATCGATTAAGCCATTGATTTAAAAGCTCGAATTCGAGAGAGAGGAGGTTGAGAAACAAAAAAGTTGTAACCTTGGCAGAAGCTCCATGTGGGTTTCTGAGGACGACTTGGTCAATGCCGTTCCAGTCTTTGATAATCTCAGTAGCTGCTTTATGATCCCACACTTGTGCGTAATGACCCATTCTCGATTTTGATTTTGATTTCTTCACTTACTTCTCTATACTTCTCTCTCTCTCTCACACAACTTTCTTCTTAGTTTTCAAAATCTCAAGAACTTCTCGACAAGTTGTCTAAATTTCACTCCCCGAAAATAAAGAGCAAAAGAGAAAAAACCGACAAAAGAGCTTTTTGCTTCTCACAAAAATCTCATGACCATGACGCTGTCGCTACTTAGATCCAGAAATCTACTCTTTTGCTCATTTTACTACTCTCTCTCCCTCTCGAAATAAAATAAACAAATAAGATTAGGAGGAACAACACCTGGCGATAGAAAGAGCAAAACAGCTATCTTTCTTAGTAATTTATAGGCTTTATATATGGAACATTGTTCAATTTAGGATATAAATAATAATATTCAGGTACGGTAAAAAAAATTGACCCAACATAGAAAGGAAAAATGAGTTTTGGATCTGATGAAATCCAACAAAAGAAAAACGCCGGGAGGCAGATTATGGCAACAGTTTTGATGAAAAAAAAAATGAAAAGAAGAGAGAGAGATCTCTAGAGAATATATTTGGGATTTAGGAGGAGACTACGTGCATTGCTTCAGAATTCAGATAGACATGGCGCGGAAACAGAACTGAACTTTCTTCATTGTGTAGAAGAAAGTCTTATTTTTTATATTTTGACCGTAAGAAATTAATTATTATATTTTAAATACCATTTATTTGTTTGCTAATGCCCAACCTGTAAATGATTAAATAAGATACAGATATAATTTGAGGTTAGAGGAGAAGAATGATACCATAATTAGTGGACTAGATTCTTGGTGCACGAGTATTGATTTATTTCTACAAACTATTATTATAATATTGTTTTACATATCCATAGTGTTTAAGAGCTTAATTTTGTTATATTTTTCTTTTACAAAAATGTATTCCCTAATGTGTATTGTACGGTAGTAAAAACTAAAACGTAATCTTTCCGTTTTCGGTTATTAGTTAATTCAATTTTATAAGTTAATATTAAACATAAAAGCGAAAATTTATTTATTTTCTTAATATGTGTGAAACAACTTTAAACGACACTCGTCATTTATGCCGTCTTCCGTTTCACTTTCTAACCGGATATCCACTGGTATACATCACCCGAATCATGTAAGAGAAAGAATGCACTTTCAAAGTGAGAGATGGAAAACATGATCTAGTTTTCATCAGCGCATGATTAATATGAAACGGAAATAGTATAACTCATTATTATGAATGTTGCGCTTTTAAAAATTGCAACACAAAAACAATTTGTATAATTTTATTTTTGGTAATATTGCAAAAAAATGTAACATCACAATTCATCTATAATTGTATACATTTATACTTCTGTATACTAAAACAAATGATTGTGGCCATTATATGACTATGTACCACGTGTACGGTACCTAACCAACGGTCAGTTCTACTTTGAATGACTTTGATTTTAATTAGGGGAATTTAAATAGTCCAATTCGAACAAACACATGGCTCAAATCCAAACTCATATCTATCTCATCAGTCAAAATATAAGCAAATAGTTAAATACTATATCCAAAATGATACGACGTAATCCTGATAAACGAGTAATGTATAAAATATAAATAGCCGTGGGTTGCAAATTTTATCAACGTATAACCAATGGGCTTGATCTCAAATCTTATTATATAAACCAAATATTACAAACGAACCACTTTTTTTCAGAGCTCAGACAAAACACAAATAACATTCTCATGTGCCACAAAAACAAAGTTTTACAGAATACGAACATGACGATCATGCAGGAGGATATAAGATTTATAGCATAGAGGATAGTTCCAAGATTTACCAATTTATATGATTTAGAGCCTATTAATCTCATCATCACCAAACTCAAGATAATCATCAACGACACCACCTTCATCTTCCTCATCGACACCACCAGCAATCCCTTCGTTAAGACGAACATTATCAGGGAGCTCACCGTAAGCTTTAAGCAAACGAGCTTCGTCAGGCATGAACTTAAGGATGATGTCAGCTTTGTCGTCCTGAAAATCCCTGAGACCGACAAGAACAATATCTCCAGCACTGATCCAAACCTTCTTATGCATCTTACCTCTGATGTGACAGAGTCGCTTGATCCCGTCTATGCACATGGCATCCCACCGTCCGTTTCCAAGCATACGGAGCACTTGAGCGTACTCTTGACCGTCTTCTTTGAATATCAGTTCTCTTTTATCGTCGTCTGCTTCGTTTTTGCCTCTCTTTCTGTTTTTTTTCCTCCTTTTCCCTTGTTCTTCGGCATGACAGTTTCGAAACAAAACTTAGATTGATTTGGTTTGATCTTCTTTGTGTTGTAAATTCTCTCGCGTAGAGTTTACGAAGAAAGCAATATCTCTTTGTTGAACTTTGATACCCCAACGTTATTTATATACGACATTAAACCGGTTTTGTCCTCGACACTTGACCGATTTAACGAATTTATTCAGTGATTCTGGTAAATTACTATGCTCTATCAACTTGATAACAACTTTACTATCACATATTTTTCATAATCTTATTTATTAATAGCAACTTCATTCGTAATACAACCTACGCTGAGAAAATCCATTGAGAAGTTAACTTATGATTTAAACCAAGCCAAAGGAGTAAGCGCAAATAGAAATCCGAACGCATTTACATTCTTCTAAAACGTCGTCGCTTTGGAAACGATTTTGGCTTCTACCTTTTTAATAAGCTCAAGTCTTTGGTCAAGACTTGCAAAAGCAAAAGAGAGAGAGAGAGGGTGGTGGCATGAACGAAGAAAGAAACGGTCACTGAGGAGGAGGATCTGTAGACCTCTTGATGGTAAGCTCAGCTCTGAGATGGAGAATGCCATTGATGAAGTAAAGACTATCCTCTGCAATAAAAGACGTCCATGGAATCCCAAATAGGTTTCTGTATCCAACTGCTTTTCCTCCTGTGAACGTGTAGTTCCCTTTGTATTTGCTTATGAACTCCTCCGATGGCTTTGACCTCGCCGAGAACTCATAGTCGACTCCGAAACTCACTGACCCTTTCTCCTGCATCCCTAGGAACAGCCCGAAACAGTGGAACGAGCTCTGCTGGTCCATGTTGCAGTGCGCAGAGAGGAAAAACCCTTGACCGCCCAAGTGAAAAGCTTGCGAATAGACTCTTCCTGAAGGGAACAACCCTGCGCATTCTTCCCTTTTCAGGTCTAGGTAGACCACACACTGCGGCCTAGGAAGCTCAAACTCCACGACTTTGACGGGCCTGTACTTGTAAGCCCTCTCTATGAGTCTGCGGTTCACGGAGGCTGATTCTTCGGCGGCTAGGCTGCGTTGCCTGTGTGGAGCTTCTGCCTTGAAGAAAAGAGCTTCTAGAACAAGCTTTGATGCTATTTCATGCTCGAAGTCACTGCAAGTCAACACCTTCTTCAGCTTCCGGCATGTCATGAATGGGAAGCGGATGGAGAGTGCAAGGCGTGACCCGAGAATCTCTCTTCTCTCCTCCAACGAAGGGTACTGTGCCCTTGCCCACTTCAAGATAAAGTCATAAACTGCATCCTCTGATGCTATTTGGAGATCGTCGCTTGATAGAATTGCCTCTATTCCTGCCAAAGGTAGAGACATAACCTCCTCTTGAAACCTGGAAAAGAAGATAGCCATGGCTTATAAGAAACTGACACACCATTGTGAACAAGCATACAAAAAAATATTAAGAAGTCATTTTGGGGGGTTTACTTGGTAATATCCTTGTAACGGGCAGCAAGGAACTGTTTTGCAGTATCAGTTAGAGGCTGAACAGCTTTAGCCATTAGAACACTGGAAGGAAGCTCGAGATAGAGCAACGCAGACTCGGGTGTCATAGGCATATTGCGAAGAAGTCTACTGCAGTACCTCATGCAAGAGGCAACCTCAAATTTATCAGCAGCCATCAACACATCTAATAAGGCAGGCGCTGTAGCTACAGTTACCGCGTTGCTATACATAAAGTTTAAGAGCTCCATCAAAGCAGCTTCCTCTGCCATACACACAAAAGTAAAGAACATTCGTAAATCAAAGCCATCTAATATGTCAAACTAATACACAACGGAAAAAAATATGTGAACCATTTTGGTCTAGCCATGTTAAAGATATAAAGCAAAGGATAAACTAATATCGCCTTCAGATATGTTTCACATCAATCACAAGCCAGTAGCAACCGTTGCAATAGCCTACCTGATGCATTAATTCTAAGAGTGACATGCCTTTGCTCAGATTCCCTCATTCCATTGGAGAACAACTATAACATTTCCGGGGAAAAAAAACAAAAACAAAAAAGAAACAAACGAAACTAAGAGTGAGATATACATATATATACACTACATGAGCAAAAGTAACACCAAATGAGAACCATTGATACCTTGTAAAAGAAAGGGCTTTTCGCAGCTAAGATAGGAGAGCTGATATGAAGTTCTTTAACCCTAACAACTTTAGAGCAGTCCATTCCCCAGTTTGGCTCACTAGTTGTATCCTCTTCATCACCTTAAAACCAAAGCATTCTACACATGAAAACAAGCTCTTCTTTGTAAAAAGCTAACAAAAGGATGTTGTTTTAGTACCTGATAAAGCCTCTTCAACCATTGCCTCTCCTTCATCATCTATATTTTCACCACCGGGACATCCATCCATATCAGGTTGCTCATCAGTCAAAATCTGCTCCTCAGCACACGCCACAATGTCTGAAATCGTGACTGAAAATGGATGAAAATGATACATAAGTTTACAGAACAACAGACCCAAAAAAAAAAAAGACGTGGAATTCAAAAACAGAGGCTACGAACAAAGCGAAAGAGAAATCCAGAAACCCTAGACAAAGATACCAGAAGAATAGCTTATACTAACCCAGCAAGTGAAATTAAGGCTCTTAAAGCAAAATGATTCACAATTAGAGAAGAAAGAAGAAGGCAAAAGCAAATCACCAGATTCCTTCTTGAAATCCTCTCTTCTCCTCTTCCGATGGCGAGCCCAGTCAGCGATACTCGTACAGCCTTCAGCCTCGGACCTGGAATCCGAGGGCCCACCCATGATCTCGATCCGAAGCAAGCGATCAGAGAAGTTGCTGTCGTTAAAAGCGAATCCAAAATCTCCGTCGGAGGAGGAACCATGACGAGAGAAATCAGAATCCATCTGGACTTTTGGATCAAACAGATCCGTGTTTTCGCTACCTCTCATCCTCACTCAAAAGCCGTCTGTGGATCCTCCGATCAAAGGGATCAGTGAAAAGATGAAAATGAGAAAACTGAACGATTTCAGGTGAGAGACGACGAAAGGCTGCTAGAGGAAGCCTTCTTCTTATCTATCTAATAACCGGTTCGGTTCGATTCGGTTTGCATAATATCTGGTTTTCTCCCATGACATTTCACTGGAGATCTGGGGTGATGTAATTTTTTTGAGTTTTACTTGGGAGAAAATATTAAATGAAATTTATTGGTTTAGTACATAATTTTCAAAATGATCCAGGAAAGCCCCTGAAAACAAAATTATATAAGAAAGCAAATCTTTTAAAAAGAGTTCTTTAATTTTGTTTGAAGTATTCGTCTCTTCTTGTGGTTGAAAACTTCATTCCGAAAAATGATGAGATTTGTGTTCAAATCTTACGCTTTTAAATATGGATTGTTATCCCGAAAAGATTAACGTTTATATTTTAGGTCTTAGCAACATTTGAAAGAAAATACTTGAAGAACCCACTTCAGATTTCAACGAGAGACATTTTATTTCCACTTCAGATTTAAAATCGCAAAAACAAAAAATAAGCAACAAAATAGCTGTTGTCCATTACTATTAAACCTAACACTGCCAAACCTGACAAATCCCATCACCAAAATAGGTCCAGTTTTATTGAAGTACAAAAACATTAAACTTTAGATAATTTACAGCTACAATGGACAGATACACATCCAAAAATCATTATCAAAAATTTGTACAAGAAAAAAAACCAACAACAGAATCATTATTGTGTCCTCTAGGAACAGCAACGAGACAACCTCCAGTTTCAGAATTATGAGATATTGTGGGCCACAGGTTAAAAAGGTTGTTATATTTCTTTCACAGAGGTTAGAGTCAGAGAGAAGAGGATTCGATTGATCAAATAAAAATATATAGGCTTCTCTTCATAAATCTATAATTAATAGGGTACCAAATTGAAAATAAAACATTTCCGAAAATTAAAAAAGATCATCATCTTCTTCATCATGCCCAGCGATTTCTCTGTGCAGAAAACAATCCAGTCGAGAAACAAACAAAAAGGCCAAGAATCTATGGAGCGATCTCAAGTCTCGGCTCGAAGCAAAACCCAGTAAATAGCTGAAGAGGGAACTTCTTCGTCACAGGACATTTCTGAGACCATTTCCAATACTTCAGATTCATATCGAATGTCAAAAGCGCCGGAGATCCATAGCTCTGAATGTAAACCAAATCATCAGTGCCACTACTCGCGAACACATCGTCGAATTCTCCGAAACCTTGAAAGAATCTCTGAGGCATCCTCGCCATCTCTTCCCACTCTCTCCCTCTCAAAACCCAGATCCCAATCCCTTTGATAATATCCGGTCGATCCGGTTTCCCGATCCCTCCAACAATCACAAGCCTCTCCTTCAGATTCATCAATCTCCCGCAGGTTAACGAGCACGGCATCGGGATAAAACTCTTCATCAAAATTCCACTCGACGACGATGATCCAATCGACGATAGATCGGAAGCAATTAAGCCGTGCCGATGATCGGATCCTCCGGTTGAGTAGATCAAAAAGTAGAGAACACCGTCGCAGATCACACTCTCGTTCCCTCCTCTCCACCCGGTTAACACATCGGTTAAAGACGTCGTCCACGCCATTGTTTCAGAGCTGTAGAGATGAATAGAGAGATCCCACTGGACGAAATTCCCAGGAACTTGCTTCGATTTCACAATCGAAACCGAGTAACTCCGGTTTGATCGGTTAACCACCCGGTTCACAGAGGTAGACATTGCGGTGTAATCCGTCGATCTGTGACCTGGTGGTTCGATGAGCCTCCTCCATTGTTTAGTAATCGGATTCGAGACGTAAATCTTGTTTCTGCAGTCGTTATCCATGAAACAAACCAATCCACAAGAGGAAGCAACGAACCAATTCGAAGTCTCGATGCAAGGGAGATCAAAGCTGTACCATTTCCGGTTAAACGGGTCATAAGCATAACCCGATGGATCATCTGTGGTAGTGAACATGAAGTACCAAGGCCTTTGAGGAGCCGAGTTGTTCGAGATGTTGCATAAGAATCTCCGAGAAGATACGATCTCGTTCCATCTCTTGCAGACTGTGCCAGCTCTGAAGATGCTTGCAATGGGGAGAAACGAGAGGATTCTCTCTAGTAGATCGTCGGGAAGAAGAGAATCCATCGAAAAGGTTTCGACTTTGCTCTCATCGTCACTCTGCTCCGAGTATGATTCAGCTTCAGGGACGTATGTTATGTAGCTGTACGGATAATTGGTCCAAGACGTCTCTGCTTCCATCCTCAAATCCCACTGAGACAATATACAAACAATCAGCAGAAGAACACAAGGAAGTAGCAAAAGATCTCAAAGCCTATAAATCTGAATCCAAGAAGTAACCTTTTGAACTAGATTTGGTTTAAGAAATGCAGAAGGTGAATAATACTTGGACTTGGTTTACTATTGAAATACAATTTTCAGAAATAACCAAAATCAAAGAAAGGAGAAAGCTTGTGTCATCCTTTCAACGTCATAAGATATTAGGTATGCATAAAAAAACGTTTTTTTTAAGTTTATTGCATATGAAATTAGGCTAAACGCTAACATCAATCCAACATCTGGTAACAGCGAACATCATAAATACCAAAACCAATCACTAATCATAGATTACGAACACGGAACAGATCAATGAACCAATCAGAAATTGAAAAAGCAGAAAGTGACAGTGAAATCAAACAGAGACCCAGCTCGATGCACTCACTACACACACACACCTTCGATTCGGGAAACTAGTGGGTCTCCGGAGCTTCCGAATTCTCGAGATTTAACCGGAAAAAGTGTCGGATTTGTTTCAGATTTGCGAGAAGAAATGCCGGTTTTGTTGATTTCGAGAGACCCAAAAGATGAGATTTTTCCTAAAAGTAGATGAAGGAAATGAAATGGGTCTCTCGGGATTTTGGATTTTGGATTTGGCAAGAGTGAGAATGAGGAAAGGCGTGTTATCGAGGAAACGAGAGGGAGAGATTGAGAAAATTCTGGGTTTTATAGAGAGGGTGAGAGGGAGTAGAAGAGACGTTTCGGGTTCGATTGTAAATATGAATGACGCAGACAGAGACGACGAAGGAGGACAAAAGATAAACGAAAGGCAAAAGACAAAAGAGAGAGGAGGAGCAAGCGCGATTGAAGAGAGAAGAGAAGAAGACGTTACCTGTTTTCTTCTCTTTTATTTTCTCCACTCTTTACTTTATTTTTTGCCATTTTATTTTGAGGGAAATGGTTTAAATATATATATGAAATACAGTAAAGGCGCGTGTTCGCGCGTGTTTATTGCTTTTTCGATTTGTTTTTTTCAATTATGTGAAAATAATAACAATACTATATGTAACTGTGTTTTTTAGTGAAATAATTATTTCATGGGAACTTACAAACACAAAAGAATGAAATATTTATAATAACACCAATAATAATGCTGTCTTACTCGTCGTCAACCTGTATATTTCCTTTTAAATAATTATGGTTTATTAAGCGGCGTGTAAAGTATAAACAATATTTTAGTTGTAAAGTAGATATATATAAAGGGTTATATAAACAAAGAAGAAGTAGAAATAACACAATATACGGTTTACTTAAAATAATAGTACTAATGTTAGAATACGAGTTGAGACCGTATTCAAATATTCGTGTGAACTATTTAGTGACAGATTGTTACTTGAATGTATTGAAAATTTCAGATACTTCATACTTGAACTAAAATAAAAAACTTCACCCATCATAATCGCTTTTTTTTTACTAAAAACAGTAAACGCAAGGGTGGTTAAGAAATTTGGAAATTGTGGTATTGTGGTAGTATTATTTAGTCGAAAATGATATACCGCATGAGGTGATCTTTTTTGTACTTTGTTTGTTTCGTATATTTATTTATCTTTTAACTGCTTAAATTATAAAGAATAATAAATTAATAAAATGATTTTTTAATTATTATTTCCCTTTAGCAATTATACTTTGCTTTTCAAACACTGAAAGGTCTGTCTCTCTACTTTCCTTAGCCTAGACTTCTCGCAGTTTCTGAGTGGCCTGTCCTTTACCTAATACACTCACCAAGTCACACTATACAAAACAAAAATTAAAATGATAGCACAAATTATTGATTTATGATACAAAAATATTAATCAAAAAATTTCGTCGCGAAGCAGAAAACTAAAATATATAAGTACAGCTTTAAAATGTTGATGGCCTCATGTGCACTAACTACATTTAACGTGTAAAGCTGTACACTGATCTCAGCTTCAAATGCTTTACTTTCTTTCTTCTTTCGATCATATGCCCTTACCCTTTATAGTTATGAAACTATTCCAATGTTTTTATCCCATATGTTATATATATATATATATATATATATATACGATTAATGGTTCATGTACTATATTGATCACATTGTTCGCGATGCAATTGAAGAAAAAAAGATACGAAGGGAAATATCCAATAGGATATACCATTTACACTTTTAATCTTTACGAACTAAAAATCAAAGCATATACCTTACGTTATGCACTATGCACTTTCCTAATTATTGCTTTGATTTCTTAGTGAAAGCTCTAAAGATTCAAAATACTTTATGCATGTGGCACTTAGTTTTTAATAGTGTTGAAAGCGTTGAAATTAAACAAATGTCAGAATGTTATTTCGTTATATGGATGGATCGTGAAACGATACAGATTTCCCGGATATGTGTCACTGTCTAAAATTCATATTGGCAAAAGAAAAATGTGTCTACCGAAAACGAACAACTTCGAAATGTTTTAGTTCTTCTATCAGCGTATTTATTAATACTACAAGTTTGACGTGTGATTAGTTGGAAGTAAACTATAGATTTATTACGGTAGATATCAAGTATGTAATTTCTTAACCACTTCAGGTTACTGTGTCGATTGACTTTAGTTTTAGTATAGACATTTAAAGGCAAAACCGAAACTAATCAAAAAGCAGGAGTCAAATCGTGTTTAATATCTAGTAAACAGTACGCAATAGTATGAAACAGCATATTTTTGTTTTAAAAAGAACAAGACTGTGATGTGAAGATTGTGGCAAGATCTAGCAAGATCAATATGCACTAATCAATTTGGCCTATTTGGTGGGTTCATATAAAGTATATGCAATTAATAATTATATGTATATCATAAGAACATAGTGGCAAACACTAATTTATCACTTATATGGTTAAATTGGTTATGGAACGACCTTGTTCTTTCTGCACAAAAAACTATTTTGTGTACATGAAGTCATATGTCACTTCTCGGTTCTTTACATTATGGAGCACACACATCCACACATGCACACACATACTGTATAACTTTTCTTTGTTAAAACTCGAACATAATACGTTACAAAAATTAACTAGTTAAATTTGCTAATTACACGTATGAATAAGGTATCGTAGCATATTGACAACTGTGGAAAGTAAAAATGAAAAATCTAAAAGAGAAATGATTGCGAAAATGGACTAACTTTTGCGGTTTTTATTTTTGTTTGGCAGAAAGAAAAACGGAAGTGGACTAAACTTATAAGTCACACTAACCATGATGATGTTTCTCTTCTGCTCCACATTTTGCTGCTCTTTTGCTATTTATATTTCACGTTTCCAATATTTATTATACCTGTAACCTATTCCCTTGTCTCTCTCGAGTTTTAGCAAATATATTTCTCAGTAACATTAGCAAAATTTAATCATTAGTCAACATTCGAGTACACCCCCTCCTTGGTGGAGGAAATGTAACTATCTTGGAAGTAAAAGAGATCGTGTTTGATGACTTGATCTAGCCGATGAATGATCATTAAGCCCAACGGGTTAATCTCATGAAAGCCCAATAGTCAAATAAAAATGAGCGTAGACAAATTGGGGCGTAGCTAAGCCCATTATTTGAATATATACGAAGTTACTTTGCAAAGATTACAGGGCCGTTGATCTTTTAAATATAAGGATATCAAATAACAGCCATTCGTAATGATGCAAAAACACGACAAAACATTGAAAAGGCAAAACCGCAAAGTCGCAGGCATCGAAAAGAGCCATGTGAAAAGGAAAATTACAAAAATCGACATCAATCAAATATATAAAATTCAAATGAATAATATAGTAACAAATCTCATTCGAAGAGAGCGAAGAGTTATCTAAATAAATTAAATCTCGATCCAAATTCAGTCTAACAGCTCTTCAATAGTATCATAAACAGAAATTTAAAGATTCAAAAGCATAATATAATTTAATAAAAACACAATAATCAAACCAACAAAAAGTCATGTTTGATTTAAAAAGTCAAATTAGCCATGGGTATTCAAAGCTTCCCAGACCAAGTTCTTAACCATCGGATTAGCCGCGTCTCTAGCTTGATAAGCCGCTTTCTTCAAAGTCCTAATGGTCCACACATTTGCCTCCCACCACGACAGACTCCTGTACGGAAGATTATGCTTCTTGCAGAGCTCCTGAACCACCGGAGAAACTCTCCGGAGATGGCAACGAGGGAGACGAGGGAACAAGTGGTGCTCCAGCTGAAACTGTAACCCGCCAAAGAACCAATCCATGTAGGACCTGCACGTGATGTCGAGTGTTCCCGCCGCTTGCTTCTCGAACCAGTCGTTACCGGTGGGTGGACCCATGTAGACATCGGCGGCGAAATGGTTAAGCGTGAACTGGATGTGTTGAATCGCCGTGACGGTGAAGCTTGTGAAGACGAAGAAGAATCTCTCCGGCCAGTTTGGTAGACACGAGACTAGGAGAGGGAACCATGTCCAGAAGACTAAGATTCCGGCGAAATTGAGAGCGCGATCTGGGAATTCGCGTTTGGAGAAGAGCAAGAGGAACGTTTGGATGAAGAGATTGATTCTTCCGAAGCACATGACTGGGTAATACGTGAAGTGTTGGTAGCTGATGAGGAATCGAGCGACGGGATCGAAAGTGAGTTTCCGATCGTAGAATCGAGAGGTGATTGAGTTGAAGAATTTGGTGGAGACGGCGAAAACAGGGATATGTTGCAGATCTGGATCATAGTCGAGGCTGTTGCAAGCGAGGTGATGAGCATTGTGCGTCCATTTCCACCACGCGATCGAGATTCCGGTGAGGCAGTTGCCGGAGATAAGCTGAGCGACTCTGTTGTATGATTTGTTCGACATGATGACGTAGTGGCCGGAGTCGTGACCTATGTAAGCGCTCTGGATCCAGAGGAGACCGAGGAGAGCGGCGGCGATTTGGTGAGCGAAGGCGGAGGTGCAGGCCAAAACGCCGTAGAGAACGCCGGCGAACATGGCGGCGATGAAGGCTAAGGTGTAGATAGTGACGTGGCCTTTCTTCTCGAAGAGGCCGAGTTTTCGAAACTCGACGGCCATGCGGCGGTAATCGCGCGAGACCTCGGAGACTTCGAAATCTCTGATGTGGAAACCGGTGAAGAGCTTTGGCAGGTGGTGCCAGGCGGTTCCGGGATGGAATGCGATGAAGGCGTCGGTGACATCTTGACCAGCGAGATTCAGAATCACCGTGTCGCCTCCGGGGTGAGTTTTAATCCAATCGGAGACGTCGTAGACCTTGCCTTGAATCGCGATCCACAGATCTCCGGGCTTGTTGTGTTTGCGAAGATCGTCGTTCGTAATGTACTTTTTCTCCGCCTCTTCCGCCGCCGGTGACGAACCAAAAGCTCGGAGATCCATCGGAACACAGAAAATCCGAATCTCTCGCGATTGCTTTTCGATTCACGAAACCAATCGATATAGGATTAAGAATAGAGAAACGCCAACTTTTTTTCACGAGATATTTTACCAGAAATGGATCTGGAATCGGATATTGAATCGAATCCTTCTCTTCTCTATCGCTGCGCTATCTCTTCGACTCCTTTTATCCTCCTTATAGTATGGTTTAGTTTTTACTGATTTTCGAATTAATAAAATAATATTAAAAATCATTTTGGGAAGGAGATTACGTGGCTAAGCGTGCGGACGTCAGTCGTTCCCACGTGCGAGCCTTTTTTCGTAATTTAAATATTCGGTTCATGTCAATTTGTGGTGCCAATAGGGACCATTATTGGAAATTAAAGAAATGGTTTGTTATGGTAATTAGATAAAAGAGAAAACTTAGTGGTGTCCCTCGTAGTTTATGAACATGAAATGCAAGACAGACCACGTGTTCTCTTAGATATTTTCTGTACCTTCTGTCATTGGTTGGTGTCCGTCAATTGTTTTTTCTTTCTTTCTACAATACAAATCTTCCCAAATAAAAGGTGAAAAAAAACGTATCACCAAAGTCCAAAACTGATAATACTCTGGTCAAGATTCCTTTAACAGAAACAAATTGGAAAAAAAGAGAAACTTATTTCAAATTTAATTTCATAAATTGAAACATTTAGTGATTGTCTCAATATATTCATGATGACTTTGGCATATTCCCTCAATACATAAAAAAGTTTTCTTAATGCACTTGCAACCGTCTCTGTTGTCTAACTGCTCTTCCAGGACTTGGTCGCAAAGATACACAGCTGTTCTATTCGAGATCTTTTTATGGTCTATTGTTAACTCGTGAAGATTTCTTTTCCTCACTGCGATCTAAACTTATATTGTAGTTTACTTCAACCAAGCAATTATTATCTTGTTTTCAAGTGTGATATTTAGTCAAGAAGGACAATAAAAGTCTGATATGTATAATTTTATTATACGACCCAATAAGTATACTACGAATAAAAACAAACTAGATAGCAAATGGGAGGGAAGTTCCTTAGCTATGAAATTAAAGGAGACTTTTGTTTCTTTTTTGCTAAAGAAGACTTAGAAAAGCGGTGGGAACTGGGAATACAAACAAAACAACAAAAACTCAATGGGCTTACAGTCTATTACCAAACATGCTTTCAATGTAAGAAGGATAAAAGCCCAATTAAGGAGTGAATGTTTAGTTTTCTTGAGAGGCAAGTGAAACAAAAGTTTTGTATCTCTGTTTATTGTTGGATACTGAAAAGGCTGCCTCTGCCTCTAGGCTCTATCTATTTTTTTTTGGTTACAGATGGTTTTTTCGGAATTACTAGACATTTTCAGTGATCACAGTCTATCAAAAGTTCTCAAAATCATCTTTTACTTTTACCAATTGAGAAATTAAGCAATATGAGCAAAGCATGTGGAACATGATAGTTGAGTTAGAATTGCATTAAGAAATCTTTTGTGGAAAGGGCGTTGAGTTTAGACAGGACAAAGCCGAGACACACAATCACTGTTATGTAATAAAATTAAAAAAGACAAATCATATTCATCTGTTTTATTCTCTCTCTCGATCGCTTCTCTTAAAAAAATGCCGCAGATGATGTTTTGAGGGCGAGGTACGAAATGTTGATTAAGACGTCGGAGAAACTGATGTCACCAATGAATTATACTGCGTCATAAGTTGAAAAGCTTCGCGCGCTTCGTTTTGCATCTTGGTCGTCGTTTGATTTGTTCCATTAAAGATTTTGTAATCCGTTTTGACACTTACTTTTTCTCTGTGCCTTCGCAACGATTTGTCTAGTTAGCATAAGGTTACCGACAAACGAAATCCAAAGGTTTCTGTTGTTATTTTTGTCGACCGTTGGATCTTTTTTTCTTAAAAGATTTGGACGGCTCACATGTGTTTGGGCCATTAATAAACACCTATCTACGAGTGATTTAATTCAAAACGTAACGACGAGTTAATTAATGGAAGATTATTAAACTTTAATTTAATTCCGTATTTCTTCTACGTTTCTCTCTCACCGGGGAAAATAAGGAATCCACTTGGTTTGATCGGATTCTGATCTATTTCCGATTCACATTTCATCTTTTTCACTCTTCCAGACGAAGATTAGTGTCTCTTTGATAGATCATTTTCCTTTTTTCAAAAGGAGGAATCTGTGTTTCTGTGGGTTATTGTCTTATTGAGGCTTTAGTAGGTGTGTAGAGAGAGAGAGAGAGAGAGAGAGAGCGCATAAGCGCAATGTGGGGTTCGATTGAGAATTTGAAGGAGAACTTGAATAAGATCGCGCTCGATGTGCACGAAGACGACGATTACGAAGATGATCTTATCAGTTATGGCACCGCCAACGGTGTCGGTCATCTACCGGACTCTGATCGGAGGAATTCCAGTGGTTTTAGGTCGTCCAGGTCCATTTCGAGGTATCCGATCTCCAACGGAATCGAATCGCCTGATCATCATGAGGTATTTTGTCATAATTGGCTCAATTTCCTGCTCGGCTCTTAGATTAGGCATTCGAATTTCACTTTTACTCGAAAATCTGAGTCCATTTTCTGTGACTAAAGAAGCGTATCCGCGAAATGTAGTACGCTTGGTGTAATGATACATTGCTTTGTTTTGTGATTGCATTTTGGTGTTTTAGATTGAGCGGTATAAGGCAGAGATTAAGAAGCTTCAGGAATCTGAAGCAGATATCAAAGCCTTATCAGTCAATTACGCAGCTCTATTGAGAGAAAAAGAGGTAAGATTGTGACAGAATCTCACTTCTCCTACCTCTACTTTCTTAATTTTTCTCTCCTTACACCAAAATGCTAATGGATTACAGGATCAGATTTCTAGATTGAACAAAGAGAATAGCTCATTGAAACAAAGTCAGTCACCAAACAGGCTACAAAAATCTGTGTCACTTTCAAAAAGTCGAAACCATATGTCCAATGGAAAAGGGGCGGATTCACATGTAAAGGAAAAGGTAACACCATTGTTTATATACCATTTATTTGAGATAAAAGAGCTTTGTGGTCTTGAGAATTGTTTGGTTTGTAAATTGTAGGATACATACTTCAGAGTTTCTGAGTAAATCTTCTAATACATAAGAAACAGTTTCTAGCAGTAGTAAAAGTGCCTTTTTTTTTTAATTTTATCTGCAATGTTATCTTCTGGTGAATATCAGATTCTAAGTTGTAATATGGATGCCATTTTAGGACCTTGCAGATATGGTAGAAGAGAGAACCAAATCACAGGCAGCTGTTCAGGCTAAGGAGCTTGCCAAAGAGCGTGAAAAATTAAGACATCTGCAGCTTTCTCTACAGGGTATATAATACCACTAGTAGCTTGGTGCTTTTTTGTATCTCTGCTGTCTAGTATTCTCACTTATCTTACTTTCATCAGAGGAGAAGAAACGGAGTGACTCTTTCAAGGAAGAACTCGAGTCTCTGAGGTTAGATAAGAACAAAGTAAGTCTTTTTAGTTAGAAAAAGCATACATTTTCTTTATTCATATAGGAATCACTATAATTTTGTTATTTTCTGTATTCCATCTGTATGCAGACATCCTTGGAGATTAGCAAAGTGCGTAGTGAATTGGATGCAAGATTACTTGAAATCAAACAGTTGCAGATGAAGTTGAATGGTCAGGAGAGCCACGCTGTTGGAACTGCCGTGGAACATCTAAAAGAAGTAAACAAAGCTCTGGAGAAGGAAAACATTGAGCTTAAGGTTGATTGTGTTCCATACTGCTGAATGATTTTCCAAGCCAAAAACTGTCATTCTCTAACTGTGTATGTCTACTGTGAACTGTATCTGACCTGCTTTTTCTTCACTGCGTAGTTGAAACGAACTGAGCTAGAAGCTGCTTTGGAAGAAAGTAGGAGACCCACCAGTAGCAAAGTCTTTCCAGACGCCACAGAGTCTCTGACTAGACATCCTAGTAGCTTAGAAAAGGTGCTTCAACCAGAAGAGACTTTATTTTATACACAATCTGCAAGTTAGCTATAGTTCCTTATGATTTTTTTCCATACTTAACTAGGAGAAACCTGAAAACTTTCCTGGAAAAGAAGAAATGGAGCAATCCTTGCAGAGGTTGGAAACGGATTTGAAGGAAACACGAAGAGAAAGGGATAAAACACGGCAAGAACTAAAACGCCTCAAACAACACTTGCTAGAAAAGGTTAGCTTTTGTAAAAGCTCATTTCTATTTAACTCATTATTGTGGGATCATGATTACGTCTGTTGAATCATGTCATGAGTAGATCATAGATTTATGTTTTTTTTTGCCATATTTTACAGGAAACCGAGGAGTCTGAGAAAATGGATGAAGACAGCCGAGTGATTGAAGAACTCCGCCAGACTAATGAATACCAAAAGTCTCAGATATCACACTTGGAGAAAACTCTTAAGCAAGCAATGGCTAATCAAGAGGGTACCAGGCTGAGCAATGACAACGAACTCCGGAAGTCAAAGGAAACAATTGATGACTTAAATCAAAAACTTACAAACTGTTTGAGAACAATCGAGTCCAAGAATGTTGAACTTCTAAATCTTCAAACCGCTCTTGGCCAGTACTACGCCGAAATCGAGGCGAAGGTTAGTGGCTATTAAGAATTTGAAATTCTTGCCTTACTTTCTCACACAGTTTATCATTGAGTTCTTCTTCATTTTGTAGGAGCATTTTGAACGAGAGCTGGCAGTGGCTAAGGACGAGTTGATGAAGCTTCATGCTTGTTTGAAAGTAGGAATATGACTATCCTTTTCCTATGTTAACTATTATGACCTTCCCCATATCCATATTGGTCTGATGCTATTTTGCTGTTGCTGAAGGATGCTGATGAGCGGTTAGAGTATTCGAATAAAGAAAAGGAAGAGGTGACATCAAAACTAGTGCAAGCTGAAAAGGTTGCAGCGGAATGGAAAAACAGAGTAAGCAAGGTTGAAGAAGACAATGCCAAAGTACGGCGTGTTCTTGAGCAGAGCATGACAAGGCTCAATAGAATGTCAGTGGATTCAGAGTATCTGGTTGATAGGTAAACGAAAAATCAGTTTATACACGTATACAATTTATATTCTCGTGTCCGAATTAGATGTTAATGCAACCAACACGTCTCTTTGCAGGCGGATTGTTATCAAGTTGCTAGTTACATACTTCCAGAAAAATCATAGCAAAGAGGTAAACAAATATTGGAATCGTTCTGAACTCTGGTTTTTCCGGACATTTCACATTTGACCTGGTTGTTTCACTGTCTTTTTGCCTAGGTTTTGGAGCTCATGGTTCGTATGCTAGGATTCTCAGAGGAAGACAAAGAGAGGATTGGTGCGGCACAACAAGGAGGTGGTAAAGGTGTTGTTAGAGGCGTCTTGGGCTTTCCCGGTCGCTTTGTTGGTGGAATTCTTGGCGGGAAATCCGTTGATTCTCATGCCAATACGGCTTCTGATAACCAGGTAAACTGTAGTACTGATCTAATGGCTAAGAAACACAGAGGCAAGTTTTCACTCGGAGAGATAATATTGTGTGTTCTCTCTTTGCTGTTGCAGTCATTTGCGGATCTATGGGTTGATTTCTTACTCAAAGACGCAGAAGAGCGAGAGAGAAGAGAAGCAGAAGAGGCAGCAGCAGCATCAGCTAAAGCCAAGCAAGATTCGGAAAAGACAGGAGAAGACGCGGCTCTGTCTAATTCGGAGTTCTCGGCGGTGCCTCTCAGATCAGCGGAAAGTAATCAACGGCTCTCGCGATTACTTGCTTAAAAAGGTAAATAGATGATGATACATACTTACTTTTGATGTACATTTAGGATAGAAATTCGAAGGTCCGTTGAGTTTTGTGTTGTAATTATCATCTCATACGTCATAACCGTTGTTTGTTCGGTTTTTCTTTTGCTGATGTATGCTTTGCTTTTTTGGAATTTGATATTGAGTTGGAAATTAAAGAAAGAAAAAAGAGAGTTTCTTATTGAGTATTGCTCTATTGGTAATTTATCCTTTTGTTTTCTTCCACAATTTTACCATTCCGTGAATGAATTAACGACTAAAGTAAAATAAAATAAAAAGAGAATCATTTCACAGGGGGAAAAAAACTTATCGCCAAATGAAATGAGAGAAATGAAGATAAACAAAAGAAGTGTATTAGAATTTCTTTTAGAGTCTAACGTAAAAAAATAGAAATTTCTCCCAAGACAAAAAGCAAAACGTCAAGGGGAGAAAGAGAATAAAGAGAAAAAAGGTTACTCCACTATAAAGTCTCTAACCCAATTTTGCCTTGAGAGAAGCAACTGGAATCTTAGAAAGAACCTTCTCATCAAACACCATGTAATGTTTCCTCAGCTCCTTCAGTGTCTTCTCTGCCACTGGATCTACCTTGTCCTCATGTTTCTCATACAGCATTGGTACAGTATGCAACAACACAAAACCTGTTTTTTGTTTGTTTACACATACACACATACACAACTTTAGATTCAACAACTAAAAAAGACGAATTTTTTTTATTCAAACATTTTTATCAGTAAAACACTTACAGATGTAAACGAGAGTCAAGAAGTTGAACCAGTTTCCCACAACCGAGATGATCCACAAACCAACAACCACCTGACATACAAAGTATATATCTTACATATTAGATTGAACAAGGTGTTAACTTAGGCATGCAACAGTAACAATCTCTTCTGTTAACTGCAAATATCCAATTAGAAACAAACATACCATCAGAAACTTCTTCAAGTCCCTTCCTAACGCAATGCTCCTTAAGATAACGAAGGCTTGGTTCATCTCGTTTCTCAGTGCAGAGACAATCAAAATAAAATGTTCCTCTTTAATATGGATGTCAGGAATTTTAGGTGCAGGCCTGAAAGTAAAAATGAAGTTTGGAACATCTAAGCTTAAGCAAAGAGAATAAACACATAGGTTTGCAACATGTAAAGAGGATCAAAGAGGCAGCAAAAGCTTACTTGTTCAAAACGCCATGAGCATTGGACATTAAAAACAGGGCTGCGAGTGAGAATATCAAAATGTGACACACGAGACTCAACAAATGATACTCCACCAGCTCAAACAGCACCCAAATCGCTGTCGCTACGCCAAGAACAGCGGCTGAGAGCTTTTTGTCCCTCCACAAGAACACATCAGCAGCTGCACACACAAGTTAAACGATTACATCAATACTACTTAGCCTAAGATGCACAGTCCAGACTCTATAGGTCTCTCAATTCCAACATCTCACACGATAAACAGCCACATCCCAAATCAAAAGCACGAAAATTCTCTTATTCCAAAGCACATTGTGGATAAACTAAACGCAATTTTCTTTTGAAGTCATTTCATTGTAATCAGCGATCGGATTAGATACGAGATCCTCGTATTGCAGATCAAGCATCTAATAAACGATTAAAACAGAGGAAATCAAATACGGAATATAAGGAATGAGCTTGAAAATAATGAAAACGTACGCAATCCACCACCGAGGACCTTGTGAACAGGCTTTTCTCTCCCAAACAAACGGTATATCTTCGCCTTCAAAGCCGAAGGTGACTCCGGTTTCTCGTGCTCGGATTCAGAAGACGAGGAATCGTGATCGTGGATCTTCTCAGCAATCTTCTCCATCGGAGATTCTTCCTCTGCAACAGATTTCTGTATTTCGTCCGACATTTCCGTTTTTACTTTCTCCGATTTCGATCCAACGTGAAGAGAAAGGAAGAGAAGCAAAATGAAGCGAGAGAGAAGGAAGGAGAGAGGTGACAAATAGGTTTATGCGGCCTATATACGAGCCTAACGTTCGGAACCCGAACCACAAAGATACGTTAACGGCGTTAATCTTCTTTTATTCGACAAACGGCGTTAATCTTTAGAGAGGAAAAGGGCCGTTACTGTTTAGTGCCTCGAACGTGGAGGCAACCAAAGCTAGTGGCTTGGTGGCTGGCGCGGTGTGTAAGGCGTCTTTTTACTTGTACAAAGTATCCGACAAGGCTAAGAAAAGTCTATACACGTGTCAGTAATCGGAACACTGGTGCAGAAAATCAACGGCTCACTCGTTTTCAAAAAAACGGTGGACGAAACGTCGTCGTGCTTACAATTCGGGAGTGATAAGGAAAGTCTCTAATTCACGGAGAGACTTTCTTTTTGGACCGACGCCTATCGAATTGTGAGAAATTAATTGAAAAGCCTAATAGTAGTGGGACCTATACTTGTGTATTCTTTTTTACATTTTTTGACTGCTTTCTCACTACAACTGTAACATTTTAAATTGCTTAGAAAACATACAGTTAAGTCAACGCCACCAATATTTACAGAATTTTTTTTTGTTCAAATCTCAAGTTCCAACTAGTTTGTTCCCAACTTTAGAGACATTCATCTCCGACAATTAATCTAATTGGATCATTATATACATATTTGACTTTATAGTCCGAATCTCGAATAGCTAACTATACTATTAACAAATTGATGCAAGAAACATTTAACCAGAAAAAACAAAAATTTGGTGCAGGAATGATTTTTGTTTGATAAAATAATATATTCATGTTTGATACAAGAAAAATAACATGTAAAGCAAATCAATCAAATTTATAACTAGATTTAGTTTCAATGAAATCATTACCATACGAAAAGAAGATATTTTGATAAATGCAACGGAGGCAAAAAAAATGTTTTACTTAATTATCTTCTGCTTCTCCTCCGATCGGCGGCGTATTGGGACAATGGCACTACTTCCGACAAAGGAGTCGACTGCGGCGTAGATTGCGGCGTCGGAAGTGGAGAATTCCGGCAAACAGGACAAGAACCGTTGAGCTTAAGCCAAGCGTCAAGACAATAAATATGGAAGTAGTGTTTACACTCGGGCATCATCCTTAGCATCTCTTCCTCCTTATACTCACATAAACAGATCGAACACGTCGTATCTCCTCCTTCACCGTACCCGTCGTGAAACCCATCATCACCGGCGGCGACGGCGATATCTTTAGTGAAAGGAAACTTAGGGTAAGAGTTAATGATTAGTTGATCAAGTCCTCCAACGACGACATTTCCAGAGACAGCAGACTCGAGATCGTCGTCTTCAGCCACGAATATGATCCGTGGTACGATGATGCTACGGTTACCGAAAGAAGCGTCTCCGGTTGAGGCAGAGGCGGAGAAATGGAGGCGAGAGGCGCGGCAACAGATGTAGGAGGAGAGGATGATGGTGGAGATAAGAACGAGGAAACCGAGAGCTATGGCTATGGAGTAGCCAAGGCCGAGGCTAGTGATATAGGTAGGGATAGGGACAGGAGGCGGAGGAGTGAAAACGGCGGCGGTGGCGGTTGACATTTGATGGTGAAGAAAAAGGTTAAGGCCATGATAAGGGCAAAAAAAACAAGTGATGGAGATTACTATGGAATTATTATTTTTATATTTATTGAGGTTTTTATTTATTTTCTAGGAGGTGGGTGGGAAATCGGAAATGTAGCTACTGCATTGAATACAAAGTTTGGCAAATAATTAATAGCTTTGCATTTATTAGGGTTCTTGTTATAGGTTTTGTGAATAGTGACTTCACTTCGTGCATGGCCCTAGGGAGGTCGATTTCGTTTACTTATTTGATTCAAGTGACATTGACATATGTGACATTTTTGTTCATCTTTATCAACGATTTCATAACAGTGAAACTATCTTTTATTTTGCATGGTGAAGTTTTCTGAAAATGACACATTGTGCATGGTTACTGGTTAGTGGACCCCAGCCCAAATTTCAAAAGACTTGAGCATATAAAGAAGGAAAAAAAACTACAAATGATCGAAACAGAGATGGTTAAAAGAGAGGCTTTTTCCCATTGATCAATCCCAACAAATGATCAAGAACTTGTCTTCCAGCGTCACGAAGACCCGAGTGCATATACTCATTCGTCACCCAGAGCCTAATACCCGAAATCTTAGGAGCTGTTTCCATCACTAGCTTGAAGTTTACATACATATCTTCATAGTACACCGCTGCAGCAACAGGCACCTACCAAAACCAGAAGGAAATCAGTGTCAAAACAGAGCAAATTGCTTAATCCATAAAAAACTGACGAAAGATTCTGAAACAGACCTTGTTAGTTTTCAAGGTTGTAACATCATACAATGGAGGCCAATCCTCTTTCTTGGCTAAGGTATCCGCAGCAGCTTTAAACGGCTTCAAGGCATGAATCTCATCAAACATCCATGGAAATACCATCTGAAATCAGTCTTAACTTAGCTATAAGCAATGTGAGACAAGCCATTAAACCATACACTAAAAAAAAAAAAAAAAATCAGTAACAACCTCTCCCGTGAAGAGTACATTTTTCCCTTCTTTGACTGCCTTGATTGCATCGAATTTACACTCAAATCTTTCCCGTAATCTATGAGCCGACCATCTTGACGAAGCACCCTGACAAAGTTTCCAAATACGAAATAACGATAAGCAACTGTATGAAATAGGCAAGACTATGAGGAATTGAAGAGACTATATACCTCACAGTATATGGACTCGTGGAGAAGAGCATAGAGTGGGTTTGTCTCAAAAGAATGCCAAGTCTCAAACTGCAGAAATGATTTAAGTAACTCTCAGACTATAGATTCCATCTTAGAACAGACAAGAGTAACAATGTTTTTCTTCTGTCTCTCTTACAGCGTTTAGGAAGAATTGGCTCATACGCTTTGGTGCTCCACTAACTAAAATAGGATCCCATACTCTCTCCAAGCTAATGATCAATAAAGAAGGTAACATTAACACAGAATCATGCGAGGCGATTGATAAAAAATGAACAAAGCTAAACTCTTTACATGTAATGCAGACGCTCAAAACCAGTACTTGATCCCAAACCAGAAAGACCAAGAGTTTGTAGACCTTTAGGAGTGAGTATGCCTCCTGATGGAAGAGATACCTTAAAACAGAGAAACAAAGACAACTTAAGAAGTGGTCGTTGGATTTTGAAAAAATATGTTTTGATCTCTTCCTCACCCCGCCTCCTTCAGATTCAGCCAAGTAATTTACAATGTCACGAACAATCTCAACGTCTTCAGGGAATCTCTTGTAGTATTTTTCGTTTTGGCGAATCACTTGTTCATAACCGGCTTCATACACATCATCTGCTGTGCAAGCTTTGCCAATCGGTGGGATTCCTCCGGCTATCAGCACTTGTTTGAGTCCTTCCGGCGCAAAGCTCAAATATGTAAGTGCACAGAAGCCACCAAAACTCTGCACGAGTACCAATCGGATGAACAAGAAATCAAAAACAAAACACAAGAAGTGAAGCAGAATAGACAATGCAGAGACATATATTACCTGACCCAAAATTGTCCAAGGATCAGCATTAGGAACAAGACGAGCTCTAATAAACTCAGAATCTTTCACTATATTATCCGCTCGAAAATGAACTAAGTAATCAGCTAGATCCTTTGCTGATTTGAATTGAAGCATAGAGGAAGACGTTAAAGGAGTTGACAAGCCTGTTCCTCTCTGCAGGGACACAAAAACACAATTAGACCAACACAAAGAGACTAAGAAAAGTTTCCAGAGAAGAGCATTAAAACTAAGTAAAGCATCATACTTGATCAAGTAAGATAACACGAAACTCTTCACAAGCTCTTTGTATCCATCCACCAGCTTCACTTGGTCTTGGACCTTCAAATCCTGGACCACCCTGCAAATACAACAGATACGGCATTGCTTGTTCCTCTTTCCCTACTGCAAACCAAAAAGAAGAACATTTGAATCTTTATTATATCATAAAACAGATTCAGTTTCAGATTGGTATTTTGATCAAGTTACCCGCAACGACTTCTCGAGCGAAGACGGTGATTTTGGGAGATGTTTTGGAATAATCAAGAGGGACTATGAATCGATGGTCACGCAATCGGAGCTCCGGCACCGAGAACCACTTCCCTGTGACGTGCTCCGGGTTCGATTCGCCAGCTAAGTCGACGGAGGCCGATCCTGCTCCAGCCATGGAAGTGATTCCTCGATGATAAGATCTCCGGCGACGATTGAAATCGGTTAAACCGGGAACAGAACCGGACGATTTTGATCGAGTCGTAGTAGTAGTAGTAGATAGAGAGAGTACGAAAGCAGTCAACTTTGAAATCGCTATCCTTGGAATCAGAGTCACCGGCGCGTGAGTCGCCAACATCTTTTTTTTTTTAATCTGCTTTTCTATTTAAAAGAAAAAAAGAAAAGTCTTTAATTTTAAATAGTTACTCCCTCTGTTTCAATATACAGGGTTTCAGAGTTTATGTTGATTTGATCATTATATGCTCCTTTGGGACTTGTATGATCTCTGAATTTGATACTAATCGACTCCACTTTGTTTCAATATTAGTTGTTCATTGTGTTTCACGAACATAAACCTCTCTTTGTCCTTCACCCAAAAGTTGTTCAACTAAACCCATTACTTTTAGCACTCTTTCTAAAATAAAAACCCAAATTTCCAATAACTGACCTTTCACATGCACCCATTTTTCAAATACATTAATAAGTTATAAGTTATAACCAATCCAATAACACCTCCTAAATTTATATCTCTAATATATTAAAAGAGAAAACACTATAAAATAAACCTTTGTCTCATGTGTTATTAACAGAAATGTCATGCTGATGTGTCAACACCAGGTTCACTTTCAAGGTTAGTTTTAATTAAGACAAACATTACTAGACTAATTACATGTTATGCCATTCATATTTGGTTAGAGAATGAAATATATATGATTAATTTAGTCAGAAAAATAATTATTAATGAAAATTATTTTCTTTCAGTTTCCTTATTTGGTAATGACGAAAATTTATTTATTAGTCAATCAATCAGTAAAATATGGAAAGTTTTATTCAATTGTATTATATTAATTGTTTAAAAATTAATTTATTCATCTATCATTTTTGTTTAGCTTTACTTTCAAGAATAAATTATATCATCACATCAAAATATTTAAAAAAAAAATTAGTTTTTTTTACATATGCTATGGTTTGAATTTTTAAAAATGAAGCAAATCTCTAAAAATGTTAAATGTCCCACATGATTATATTTTGGGATAATAGTTCAAAAACCTATTATAAAATAGGATCCAAATAATGATCAACCATAATCACAAATAGGAAAGAAAAATTTACCATGTTTGGAAATCTTTAAAATTGATTTAATTTGAAATAATTAAATCGTATTTTTTAATATTTTGGTTTGATCAAAATTTTAAACGTAATAAATTCTAATAACTTATCATATAAGTTAAATTATTTTAGTTATTTAAAATTGATAAAAACATAAAATATATATGCCATTTTATATTTATCAAAATATAAAATTATTTTAAATGTATTAAAATTTAATATATATGTGGGTTCGGAAAGGGAGAAACTGTTGTTAAAGCAAATGTTAGATTACCACACTGTAAACGATGACAAAAATCAAACCAGGCTAAAAAAATATGCATCACTCAAAATTTCGTCTAATGTAAATTGACATTTTTTTAATTGTCTAACACTCTATGTTCCTAAAATTGTATGTAAATAGACATCTTTTAATAAAATCAAATTGAGAAAATATCACCCCGTGCAAGGCGCGGGCTCTAGTTCCGTCTTTAACAAACATGAGCAATTGGTGCCTTTATGCCCTTACATAAACATTTTTCCTATTCTATAACTCTCTTTGTTTCTTCTTTTCAGATATACAAATCTATGAAGAACATACTCGCTTGCATAGTTACCACCATCATAACACTCTCCGTCCTTATAAGTTATAACCGATGCTCAAGGAAGAAGGGTATTACAGTCATTTGACATTTTCGAATACACAGCGATTACTTGCAGATCCCACAGTGCCTCCATAACAGAATTCGGTGGCGTCGGAGACGGCAAAACACTGAACACAAAGGCGTTCCAGAGCGCCATTGTTCATCTCAGCCAATACTCATCCGACGGCGGATCTCAGCTCTTTATACCCGCCGGAAAATGGCTCACCGGGAGTTTCAACCTCACAAGCCATTTCACTTTGTTTCTTCACGAAGACGCTACTCTTCTCGCTGCTCAGGATATTAACGAATACCCGGTTCTAAAGGCTTTGCCTTCCTACGGTAGAGGACGTGACGCCGCCGGCGGAAGATTCGCTAGTCTCATCTTCGGAACTAATCGCTCCGACGACCGACGTAGTTATCACCGGTAAAGTTTCTCAATTGTTGTAATTCGAAAATTGAGAAAAACAAAAAAAAGCCGGAGCCGTTGGATGTTACTTTACAGGGAATAATGGTACGATCGACGGTCAGGGATCGTTTAGGTGGCAGAAATTCCACGGTGGCAAGCTTAAGTACACGCGTCCGTATCTGATCGAGTTAATGTTCTCCGATATTATTCAGATTTATAATCTGACGCTTCTTGATTCTCCACCGTGGAATATCCACCCAGTCTACAGTAGGTATAGTTACACCCTATACCTATCTACTGTTTCGAAATCCATCTAATAACCTGCACCCTCATTATAACCACCGTAGGATTATTATTTATTTAATGAGATTATTAACAAAATTATAATCTAACGCTCCCTAATAACTTATTAGGTATCCCTTCTTGAAATATCCATGCGGTGTACTGTAGATGAATTTATATTCGGTATCAGCAATTATCCACCGTACGATTAAAATTTTATTCAGTGAGAGATTTCTGATAAAATGATCCTACGTGGCAGCAATATTATCGTGAAAGGAGTTGCGATTTTGCAACATGGTACTTACCTTAACCCCTCTAGTTGAGTACTTTTTATTCAAGTCTCGTCCTAAAACCCTAGCCGTCGTCTAAAAACAATGCTTCTGATCCGGCGCGTGATACATGCCCGGCGCTTCTGCACGGCCGTGGCAAGAAGAGCGGAGGACATAATGCCAAACCCAGATTGCCGGCCTACGAGTCTAAGCTCGAGAGTCACGTACCTGGCCGCCCTTGGGTATCTGGACACGGCGGCCATGTACGCTCGTTTGGCTGTTTTCACCAAGATGAAATCGGAGTTCACAACAATCACATGTCAAACCATCATCGAAAACATGGTGCGGGAGAAAAGGCACGAGGACGCTCACGATCTCTACGATTTCTTCTTCAACCAGCATAACCTCAGGCCCAACTGCCATTCCTGCAACTACATTCTCGAGTCCCTTTTCCAACAAGGTCTTGTCGAAGAAGCTCTCGATTTCCACAGATCCCTACCCGGCTTGGCCCGCGGTTACCCAAGCGAGGACACTTTCAGGGTGCTGACGAAAGGTTTAGTCGACTCCGGTCGATTGGACCAAGCCCTAGGCTTCCTTACGGACAGGACAGACGAGGACGATAGGTTCCTAGTATCACGTGGCCAATACCCTGATGACGTGGCGTTCAACAATGTGATTCGCGGGTATTTGGATCTTGGGGATGTAGACAAGGCGAAACTAGTCTTCGACGACTTCAAACACTTGTGCAGGCGATACTCTGGATATGAAGACGCGGTCGCATTCCTTACGGTGGCATTCATGGAGTACTGGTTTAAGCAAGGCAAAGAGGTGGAAGCTATGGAGTGTCACAACCAGTCTCTTCTTCTGGAACACAAGTTACCGGTTTCCCGAGCAACTGGCAACGCCCTTTTGAAAGTCCTGCTCAGGTACGGCAAAAAAGACCATGCTTGGGCATTGTACCATCGAATGTGTGATGATAAAATCGTGTACAATGATACCGTTATGATAATGGTGAAGGAGTGTTTTGATATGGGTCGCTGTAGCGAGGCAATTGAGACCTACAACAAGGCGAAACCCCAAGGGTACTACAACATAATTCCCGAGACAAACTTGTTTACTCAAGTCGGATACCTTATCACGAGGTGTTGCGAAAACGGCATGTTGTTGGAAGCAGAGTCTCTCTTTGCTGATTCACTTGCTTGTGGTTTCGGATTCACTGACGTTGCCGCTTTCGAAGCAATGATCCATGGTTATGTCAAGGCTGGGAGATTCGATGATGCTCTTAAAACCTCCAACAAAATGATCGATGTGGCTCTAGAGGAGGTCTCCCATCTCTTTTGACCATTCTTCATTGTTTTAAGGTCATTAATCATTCTTCATTAGTATCTTTGTTTTAACATCATTCTCTACATCATTTGAATTGTATTTACAAATCATGTCTCTTGTAAGAGAAGAAGAAGTTGATTTATTTATTTTGTTACAACTTTTGTAACGATTTATACTTTTTACCATATTTTTTCAACCAACTCCCTTCATCCAAGTAAAGTTCCTCAATGTCCTGTTCCAACACGAATCTTGGGTTTTAAACATCTACGGGTTCTACTGGATTTTTTTTTTTATAATCTTGCTGAGATATTCCACACAAAATTTGTCCCAACAAAGCGACACACTGACATGAATGGAGCTCACTTGCCTTAAGAGACTTTAGACTTTCGATTTCACCCAAAGAATGAAGACTTGGTCCCTTCAGTCTGTGGTACATCGGAAACATGAGTGAGTACAGAGATACATTAGCACCAAATTTCATATAGGTCGCTTTGCAAGGGAATACTTAAGGATGAAAGGGCTGTCCAATGTGCAGGACTAAATGAGATCCCCAGATGCATACCTTCGTGTTTGATCATCTACTATAGATAATAGATACGGCATCTTGCTGCAGAAAGAGAACCAAATTCATGACTTTGTTCCGCTCGGGGTTGGATATTGGAACCTGGAAGCTTTATGCCTTTATCTTCCTGGTCATGAGCATGTCCATTAGTGATACCATTACCCTCATATGGGTATCACAACATTTTTTACTAATAAATTTTCTTATTTTTTTGTTTAAGAGACTTGCATATGCTAAATAAGTTTTGCTCTTCCAATGGTGATATCAAAGTATCTAAAAAAAAATCATTATTTTAAATAAAAAAAATTTAAGAAAAACAAAAGAATGTGTTTGCTATCTAAATATCTTTTGATGAATGGTTCCAAGAACAAAACAAATGATGAGACCAGAGAGATGATAACCATTGAAAGAAATGAAAAACACATTAAACACATTCATCGATCACAAGTGAAGATATTGCTTCTGATATTGACAGAAAGAAAAGAAAAACACATTAAACACCATAGTCATAATTTGTTGTCTTAACCAGAAAACGGAACAAAAAATGGCATTGCATCGTAGCCATTCATCGATCACAAGTACTTCTCCAATAATTGGCTTTGGAACACTAATACCTCTGGTGGCTTCTTCCCTGCTTCATCTGCAGCATCCACTTTTGCCAATTGATTCTTCAGTTTCTTCATCATCTTTAGAGACATAAAGAGATAATTTACAGATTCATAGAATGTATGAAAAAAGTAACAATGATCCCACAAGAACCAGAAGAAGAAGAAGAAGAAAGACTTAAGAATACCACACGCATAACTTGCTCCTCAGAGACGTGACCTTTTTGCTCTTCAAACTGCAAAAACACAAGAGCATCCAGAATCCATGATAAAGGTCTCATTTCTATCTTTATCTTCTCTTTCAAATTATGACTAGTTACTACCATATTCACATACCAGCTCAAGCATATAGTCTGTTGGGACTCTTTGCTTTCGTTGTTTGAAACTAAAGGAAGAAACAGAGAAAATCAGCAGATGAAACCAATTGACAACAAATGTATAGATCAAAAGGCTTAAGAAATCAGAACAAACCTTAAAGCTACATGTGACTTGCTTGTATTCTTTATCTTGATGGCGCTCCATACTTGTTTCCCAGGCTCATCTTCAACAAAATTAATAGTCTAAATCAGTTAAAATCTTTTAAACAAACAAGCAGAGACATTTATGAAGCCAATCAGTAATTATCCTTCTTAAAATATTCATCCGGTTTACTGTAGATGAATTTATATTCTGTATATCACATCATTATCCACCGTACGATTGAAATTTAATTCAATGAGATTTCTGATAAAATAATCCTACGTGGCAGCAATATCATCGTGAAAGGAGTTACGATCATCGCTCCAGTTATTGAATTTTTTGTTCATTCGCGGAACGGAGTTCGTCGTCTCAATTTTCCCGGTAGCCGCCTTGTTCAAACCTTGAAGAAGAGGAGTGCAATGCTACCGTTTTCCCGGCGCCGGACGTCATGTAGTCTGTTCAACTATTGCCGATTCCTCCGTTGATTTTCTGTCGATGTTAATCCACCGCCGGGAAACGAACCGGAAAGCCAGGAATCGTTAGTTGCCCAGTTTCTGGAGAATCTACGGAAGATCCCGCAACATGATTGGGCGTCCAGCGAGTCGCTAGGCTCACTTATGGTATCTTCTTCAGTTCCTCCTCTAGCATTCTCTCAAATCACGCGGCGTCTGGGATCCTACTCTCTGGCAGTCTCATTCTTCGAGTACGTGGATGAGAAATCTCAATCTCTGAAACGCCGTGAAGAATATCTCTCCTTGGTGCTCCAGTCGCTTATTGAATTCGCCGGTAGTCAACCTGACTCAAAGGATAAACTTGTCAACCTATACGAGATTGCCAAGGAGAAGAACATCCCGCTCACTCTCGTCGCTGCTAAGCTTCTCATCCGATGGTTTGGGCGTATGGGCATGGTGGATCAGTCGGTTCTTGTATACGAAAGCCTCGATTCGAATTCGAAGAACACGCAAGTTCGCAATGTTGTGATTGACGTCTTGTTAAGAAATCGACTTGTGGATTATGCCTTCAAGGTGCTCGACGAAATGCTTCAAAAAGACTCTGTTTTTCCTCCTAACAGAATCACTGCGGATATTGTCTTCCATGAGGTTTGGAGTGGAAGGCGTCGTCACAGTGAAGATGAGATTGCTTCGTTGGTTTTGAGATTCAGCTCTCATGGCGTATTCGCAAACTGTTTGGTTGACTCTTTATCACGTCTAAGAAATCGACTTGTGGATTATGCCTTCAAGGTGACGAAGAAAAAGCACAGAAGCTCCTCCTAACAGAATCACTGCGGATATTGTCTTCCATGAGGTTTGGAGTGGAAGGCGTCGTCACAGTGAAGATGAGATTGCTTCGTTGGTTTTGAGATTCAGCTCTCATGGCGTATCTCCAAACTCTGTTTGGTTGACTCGGTTTATCACTAGTCTATGCAGAAACTCTCGCACCAATGTAGCTTGGGAGATTTTGAGCGACCTGATGAAGAACAAAGCACCACTTGAAGCTCCTCCTTTCAATTCGCTTTTGACATGTTTAGTAAGAAAGATGGACACTCGTGGAATGGATGATATAGTTGAAAAGATGGATGAGATGGGGATTAAGCCTGATGTAGTGACTTTAGGGATTCGTATCAAAAGTTTGTGCAAATCCAGAAGGGTCGATGAAGCTATGGAGGTTTTTGGACAACTGTGTGGGAAGAAAACTGATGGTGGGAATGTGATTAAAGCTGATTTGATCCTTTACAACACTCTCATTGACGGGTTATGCAAGGTGGGGAGGATGAAAGAAGCTGAGGATTTGTTGGCAAAGATGAGAAAGGAAGAGACTTTTGCACCAAACTCCATTACTTACAACTGCTTGATTGATGGATATTGCAGAGAAGATTATTCCGCTGATCATATAGAGTTTTTGACACTTCTTAGAGATTGCACCCATAGAGGTCTCATAGATGAGGGGAGATGGAAAGATCTTGAAGAAGAAAGGGTGTCAATGAAAGAAAGCAGATGGAAGGAACGCCGCCTTGGATGCAGTTGGATCGAGATTGACGGCAAGGTACATACATTTACAGCAGGAAAAGTGTCAGGAAAAGAGGTAGCAGGAAAAGTATCTGGAGGAGAAGAGGAAGCAGGAAAATTGTCTGGAGGAGAAGAGGTAGCAGGAAAAGTATATGGAGGAGAAGAGGTAGCAGGAAAAGTGTCTGGAGGAGAAGAGGTGTCTCATCCAGAGATCAATGCGATACAAGAGAAACTGCATGAGATTAGCAGCTATCTGAGAAGCGAATAACCTCTTCCTCTTTATCTCGTATGGTCTATTTTCTCTTTATTTCAGTGGGTTAAGTTGGTTTAATTAAAACTTGGTTTAATGTTTACGGTTTAAATTTGATCTCCGGTCACTTGTTTAGACCGTTTGACCGATACACTCTCTATTCTAAGGCATCGTTGCCAGGTATTCTAAGTAATATTCATCCAATCTCTTTTCTCTCAAACACTCATCATCTCCATCCATCGAATCTGGTACCTCAAGGGAGATATTTCTTCCTCTTCGATCATCTTTGAGGCTTGGTCTGCCGAGTTCCAGTTGAACTTCTGGATCAGGTATCTTATCTGTTATTCTTACTGTCTCAACTCAAGGAATTGCTTGGTGATGATCTCGTCGTGGGTGTGTGTGTGTCTCTGAAGGATTCAGACACTGTTAAGATGAAAAGATACTATATTTCAGGTACAAGCCGATTCACGAAATTCGATTTCAGGAACAATCCTCCATGAAATCGCCAAGTGCAGAGAATAACCTCTCTCACAATGTTAATGATCAGATAAAATCTCGATAAGCAACAAACTATGTAAAAACAACAATTTAAGGAAAGTTAATTTCCGTTGCAACAAACAATCGAGAAAACAGTCAACGAAGAGGCTATCTTCTGCTGCCAGCTCAGCTTTACTCTTTCTCGTATATGCTTTTAGAGGCTTATCAATACCCTGTACAACGAAGCTTGTCCTCAAGCGACAAATGTGGAAACTGTCGCAGCAACTCAGAAACTCGTACCCAAGAACGTTCGTGATCTTCCAAATTAGTCCAGCAAACCAATGCTTCGAGATGACCATCATTATCATAACGAGTCTCCATTACCTCTCGCGGCTCAACCAACAAATCCTTCTCTTCTGTGAAATGCGTTGGCAAGGCAGACACTTGATGACCAATGCCTAAAACTGGTTTGAGTTGAGACACATGGAAAACCGAGTGAATTTTAGAACCCGCAGGCAACTTCAGTTGATATGCCACTGCTCCAATCCTGTCCAAGACTTCAAAGGGACCATAATATCTCGCAGCCAACTTCTGATAAAGACGTTTAGCCACCGAGTGTTGGCGATATGGTTTGAGTTTGAGAAAGACCATGTCCCCAACTGTAAAGTCCAACTCTCTTCTATGTTTATCCGCATTGTTTTTCATTCTAGCTTGAGCAACCACCAACTGCTCCTTAAGCTCAGCTAAAATCGCATCTCTCTCCTTCAGCATAGTCTCCAATTCAAAATTAGCAGTTGAGCCTTCCTCAAATCTCAACAAATCTGGTGCTTCTCGACCATAAACCACTTTAAAGAGAGTAGTACCAATCGCAGTATGATAACTTGTATTATACCACAACTGCCCAAGACTTCGGATGCAAAACATCGCAAATATGTTTCAAGACAACGATTTAGCACTTCCGTTTGAAGCGGTGCTGTATTTCAGTTTCGTCCCAGCCTGCTTAAAGAGTTCCCTCCAAAACGAACTCAAGGATTTTATCTCTGTCAGATACAATGGATAAAGGAAATCCATGTAACCTCACCACCTCTTGTGTGAACTTCTGAGCTACATCAGCCGCCGTAAATGGATGCTTCAGCTTCACAAAGTGAGCATATTTACTAAGTCGATCCACCACAACAAAAATCACATTTGTTCCTTGAGATAAAGGTAATCCTTCAATGAAGTCCATTGATAGCGCTTCCCAAATGCGATCTGGTATAGGTAATGGACAGGGTTGAGTATTTGTGTCTCTGACACACATCGCATTCCGCCACATATTTCTGAATATCCTTTGTCATTCTCCTCTAATAAAAAACATTCTGTACTCTCTTCCGTGTCTTCAAAACCCCAGAATGGCCTCCGATGACCCCGTCATGATACTCCTTCAGTATCAGTATCAGAGGAATGTAACTTGAGTCTTTCGGAATTACCAACCTTCCCTTATACATCAATTTCCCTTTGACAACTGAATATTCTCTTCTCTCTTCTGTACCAGCTTCTACTCTTTTTATCCTCTCCTGAATCTTGCTATCATTCTCAATTTCTCGCAAAATATCTTGAATGTGTAAGCTTGTTGGAACAGTCAACGCTGCCAAACGTATAGATTCAGGATTGATTCGTGAAAGACCATCTGCCGCTTTGTTCTCAATGCCCGGTTTATAAATGATCTCAAAGTCATAGCCTAATAACTTGGTTAGCCACTTTTGATAGTCCATCGAAACTTTTCTCTGTTCCAGCAAGAATTTTAAACTCTTCTGATCTGTATGGACCAAAAATCTCCTGCCCAAAAGGTAAGGTCTCCACTTCTGAATAGCTAAGACAATAGCCATGAGCTCTCTCTCGTATATCGGCTTAATCTGCTCTCTTGCTGATAGCCCTGAACTGAAAAATCCAATGGGTCTCTGATTCTGCATCAACACGGCACCCAAACCATAGCCTGAAGCATCAGATTCTACAACAAACTGTTCCTCAAAATTCGGCAATGCAAGCACCGGAGCTGACATCATCGCTTCTTTCAATGTATCAAACGCCTTTTGAGTACAATCTGACCATTCAAACTGATCTGTTTTCAGAAGGTCTGTCACGGGACGAGCAATGGAACCATACCCTTTAAGAAACTTTCTGTAGTAGTCCAAGAAAGCCACGCAACTCTTTTACTGTCTTTGGAACCGGCCATTTCTTCATTGCTTCTTTTGCAAGATCAATAGTCACTTCTTCGTTTGAGATCACATGATGAATGTTTTCCTCAACCGCTGAACACAAGAATATTATGGAAGAAAACCAGCACAAAGCTCCATCTCTTCTTCATATGCATGTGGATAAGATAAGGACGGACACTTATTGGACCAGCGCCTGCTATGAGATTTATAGCGTGCTCTCTTTCTCTCCGAGGCGGCAACTGATTTGGTTCTGCAAAAACTCCTGAGAACTTATCCAATAAATGTTGTACGGGCTCTGGAATGACCTGAGTTGTCTCTGTCGAAACAGTATTAAACAGCTCCATATCAAACTCTGAGTCCTTTGGAAATTGAGAATGATGCATTGTCTTCATTGAGTAACCTCTGTTATGTAGCTCCGGATCACCACGTATAGTCAGTCACTCGCTGACCTTTGTACCAAAAGGACATCACATGCTCTTCCCAATCTACTTCACACTTCCCCAAAGTACGTAGAAACTGAACTCCCAGAATTATATCCACGTTTCCCAGCTCCAATACGATGAAATCAGCCATATAGTCCACACCTTGTAGGTTGAACTCCGCATCTTTACAAACTCCTGACCCCGTTACTGTAATCCCAGTGCCTAGCAAGATCTCCTGTCTTTTATCTCTCACTGGTTTTAGTTGTAACTTCTTCTGCATCACTGGATCAATAAAATTGTGAGTAGCTCCACTGTCTAGCATGACTACCACCTCTACTGAGCCAATCTTGCCCCAGAGTTTTGTTGTTGTGGGTGAGTCAATACCCAAAAACGAGAATAAAGATAACTCCATTAGCTCCGTTACTACACCTGAGTCATCCTCATCAGCGTCGAACCATTCTGTCTCTGACAAGTTTACTTCTCTCTCATTTATCACCGTGTAAACCTGCAGTTGCTTATTCACAATCATGTGTACGAGAAAACTTCTCTGGACACTTGCAGCACAAACCCAATCTCCTTTTTTCTGCATATTCAGCTGGACTCAGATGTAAGCTGCCTGCTGGTCTGTTGTTCGTCTGCTGTTTCCACGGTTGTTTCTCCTGTCCTTGTGGTCGAGATCCAGATTGTTGTTCATTACTCTTGAATCCTGATTTTGAAGAGGTTGATTGTGATGTTGGTGTTTGCCACGATCTGTTTGTGTTGTAATTTGACGATGATTTGAGAGGCGTGAATGACGAAGCACGTTTGTTCTGAGTGATGGTGGCTGCTTCAGCCATTGATTTGCAGAAGGCGCTGTCTTCCATCGATATGACTCCTTCAAAGTGTTCTGTTAAGCCTCTAGGCCTTTGCATCTTTATGACCTCTTTCATCTCTGGTTTCAAACCAGTGTAGAACATGTGAGTGAGATTCGCTTCATCCATGTTAGGAACAATTGTTGATAGTTCCTCGAATTCATTCACATACTCCTCAATTGATCCCGTTTGCCTCATACTAAACAACCGCTTCCCAGGATGTTCTTCTATCTTCATTCTAAATCTCGCAATCATTCGTAGATTAAACTCGTCCCAGTTCTGAAAAGGTTTCCGCATCATCTCTCTCTGTTGAACCAGTTCAGCGCTGGACCTTGTAGACTGATCGACAGCATATCCATGCGTTCCAGATCTGAGTATCTCTCCACGGTGAAAAACCTCTCGTTATCCACATATATGGATTCGAACCATCCAACACAGGCAATTAAATTTTCTTCAACAATCCATTTCGATTCTCCAACATATTACCAATTCCCCGATAACCTAGCTGATTATTCCTTGTATCCGGTTCCGAATCCGATTGACTAACCTCGTTCAACGCGTTTGCTGTTCCGGAAATATTGGCATTGATTTTCCATTTGTTTTCCCGGAAAATTGATTCGCTTCGATGGGAGCCAGAATTTCTGTCAGCCAAAGCTAGCTCTAGATTCGTCATTGATGAAGTCTCGCGAGCTCGCTAGTCATGGGCGAAATTTCTTTCTTGGGCAGAAGAACTGAGTAAGCTGAGATATGAAGAGAAATAATGGTTTTGAAGGTAATGGTGGTAAAAGAAACTCATGAATACATGGCTTCAGGACGAATATGATGAAGAAGAAGACCAAAATAGACTCTCTCTAGGTGATGGAAAACAGCAAAAGGTTCAATCACTCGTATGGAATTTAAGTATCAGTTTCTCTCTTTCCGTAAAAAGGCGAGGCCACACAACAAAAACAAAGGAAGAGGAACAACCGGACCCGCCACACGAGAATGTCAAAATTGACATCATTATTTACCATTGTGTTTTGAGGCCCGTCATCTTGTTAAGGAAGTCTAGATAAATTCCTCCATTCTTGTACAACACCGCGAGTCTCATGAGATCAGAGAGGTTCACATGTATGTTAATTAATTTTCCATCCTCGATTGAGGTATATAGAGATATTGCGTTTCGATTATTTGTACTTGTAAGATATAATTGTGCTTGTTCGTTTGTCTAAGGGCATTGACGGTTTCTCTGACATCGCTGTTTTTCAAGAATATCACGGTCTCAAACACTTTCGACAGGTATTCATTTAATTTTATATGATCGATTACGTTTATTATTAATTATTATTTTTGTATTCTAATTTTGCAGGAGTTGCAGTGTACCATACAAATTAGGCCTGCGACTTCGGTTTAACCGAACCAAACCGGCCGGTTACTTCGGTTTTTCGGTTATTTCGAAATTCTAAAATCTTACCGAAACTAACCGAAATTCTTATCGGTTCGGTAGTCGGTTATCCGAGATAACCGAAATTTTTCTTTTGTAATTAAATTTTAACCAAAATTTTCTGTTTCTAATTAAAATTTGGTTTATTTGGAGAATCGGAGAAGAACGAAGAATGATTTGGGAACGTTCCCAAAATCTGATGACTGACTCAACACCGGAGGTTATGAGAGGGAAACTTTGTAGAACCCATCCTAGCCTATTCTCAACATAATTGGAGAACCAATTCCGACGTAACCTAAACACCTCTCACCATAGACAAATCACAGCCTTCTTAAAATTTTACAGATTAAGAGGAAAAAGAGAACCGAGGAGGAAGAGGAGAAGAAGAAGAAAAGAAAAGGAATAGAAGCATAAAACAAAGAGGAATCGATGAAAGAGACGAAGAAGAGGGAAGAAGAAGGAGAGAAGAATCGAAGAAAAGAAAAAAATGAAGAAAAAGAAGTGATGAAGCGGCGGCACATATTTTAGATTTAGGGTTTTGTGTGCTTGTTGGTTAACAGTTCGGTTTGCTTGAACCGAACCGAACTAACCGATAACCGAACATAATTAATAATCTTACCGATCGGTTTTCTTCTTGTAACTAAAGCATAACCGAACTAACCATAACTCGGTTCGGTTCGGTTCGGCATGATCGGTTCGGTTTTAAATCGCAGGCCTAATACAAATAATTAGGATATGTACTTACTAAAATATTTCCAAAAAAAAAAATTAATAATGTAATTACTAAATATAGTATTTTTTTTGTCCCGACTAGGAATTAAAAAGGCGATTGCGGCGTTTATGGAGAGAGCAAGGGAAGGAAGGGCCAAGTTTGAAGCGGATAGGGTGGTGATGAGCGGCGGAGCCACCAGAGCAAATGAGACGCTCTTGTTCTGTCTTGCAAATTAAGGCGGCCCTTTTTCAGTTTTTCTTGTCTCTACTCCTTATTATGCCGCATGCGTATACACACACTTTTACAAAAAAAATGTTTTTGTCTAAATAAAAAAAAATTAATATTTTATAAGTTATAAATCACAGTTATTTTGGCTGGTTAACTATTTGTATTCTCCTTTCACTATCTTATTATATAAAGCTGGATGCGCGCGACGTGGTTGCGACACGTAGGATTTTTTATAAAATATAGGATCACGACATGTGTCACTTTTAAGATTATGTCCGTTAAGATCGTGACACGTGTATTAGGGGAAAAAAATATTTTTTAAAAATACTATAAATAGGATAATTAAAAAAACGAAATTTAATCTATTTTATAAAAAAAGAAAAATTAATATTTGTCATATCCTAACAGAAAAAGGTTTTCCCATTCATCAAATTTATATTATCCAAACACATATTAATTTATAAAATAAGATTGAAAATAATGTAATAAATAAAATCCTATTACTACATGGAATAGGTACGTAAACTAAAATTCCTATATCTGCAAGGAATATGTTATATGAACACCTATAAATACAAAGTTACAGTAGTCTCTTTTTTCTCATTCACAAACTCATCAAAGCAAATTCATCAAATTTCTCTGATTCTCTTTCTCTAATTTAAAAATCATGTCTTTGAATGTTCAAGAAAACAGTGAAGATTATTTGACTCTAGGTCAATTGGATCGAAATCGAAATTATCGCCGTACTATAGTACGTGTTATTCGAAAGTGGGGAGTTAGAAATCCAAAAGAAAATAATATTCTTATGGGAGTTGAGCTTCTACTACTTGATAAAAAGGTTAGTAAGAAAAGATATAATTTACAATAAATTGTTACATCCATTAAGAAACGGAAAAAAACATATTCCCAATACAAGAAGGAAAAAAAATATATATAATAAGTTACACCCTTCATGATTTAATTGTGTGCTTTTATATTTTGTTTAAATTTTCTTTCTTATTAAGAAATGAAAAATCATGTCTTTAAAAGTTCTAGATATCAATGAAGAATATTTAATTTTAGATCAGTTGGATCAAAATCAAAACTACTGTCGCACCATGTATAATATTTGATCAGATTATAACATGTGTTAACACAAGAAAATTAGAAAAATTTAATAACAAAACGAAAAATTGTAAAACAACTAACTAATAATGAAAAGAAAAATTTATAATGGTCCGAGGCAAAATAAATATTATAAAGAAAGAATATAAATAGAAAGCTAACAAAATAATTATCAACAGCTAACTAATATTAAAAAGAAAATTTTATTTTGGTCCGATATTCTAATTTTAAATAGTTTATTTTCAAATTTTTGTTAGGTAAAAAAATATTTAAAAAATGATTTCATCAACTGAAATCTCTTCGATGGAATAATCAAAGTTTCACGTATTAATTAGTCCATCAGATTTAAACACATGTAAGTATTTCTATATTAGATAAAAATAAGATAACACAAATTAATTCATTTTTCATATCATGAATTCAAAACAAATGTCAATTATAATAAAAATGTAAAAAGATTACTAATCTTATTTTATTTAGTGATTTGTTATCGGGTTTTTATTATTATTCTACTTACTTTTAAAAATGATTTTATTATGTTTAATAATCTAGTATATAATATAAGCAGATGTTACAACAGAAAAAAACCACAATTTTTTTGTCTAAATAATAAAATATTAGGAATTTTGATACTTTTTTTATTTATTTTATCTTCGTCTAGTGATTTTGATACTTTATTAGACTAAAAGTAGTTTAAAAGGCTTTGTAATTAATTATTTCGTAATACGACATTCTGTCTGGTCAAAATAAAAATTATCTTTGAAAGAAAATATGATTAGTATTTTTTGTTAATGAGGTTTCGGAATAATTAAAATAATTGTTAAATGTAACCCATTTGGGAAGCAACTCCATCCGCACAACTTCCATCGAATTGTCCATTGACTCTTCTCAATAGTCAACATTTAATTTAACACTTGGTTGACTTACTCTTCAGTACTAATTTAATAGTCAAATATTGCAGGTTCGATAGAGACTTAAGTTGGAGAACTGGAGTTAGAATAATCCCTGTGGAGTGTAATAGCTCAAACAATTTCCAGGTCACAAAAGAAGCCCTAGAATCAACGTATCTTATAGCCCAAGAAACTGGTATCAAGATCAAAGGCATGATCATCGCAAACCCATCAAACCCTCTTGGAAGTTGGAACAACTCTTGATCGATAAAATCTCCAAACTCTTGTTAGCTTCGCTAACGACAAGCAATTCCACTTTGTCTGCGATGATATCTATGCCCGCCACGGTTTTTGCAGAACCGCGATTCATTAGTATTGCAGAGATAATCGAAGAGATGGATTATGTTAATCGTGACCTGATCCATATTTTTTACAGTCTCTCGAAGGACATGGGTCTCCCCGGTTTTCAGGTTGAAGTGGTTTACTCTTACAACGATGCTGTTGTGTCTTGCACGAGGAGGATGTCGAGTTTCGTGTTGGTCTCATCGCAAACACAGAGATTTTTAGCTGCTATGTTGTCTAATCAGATATTTGTTAATAATTTTCTTAAAGAGGTCTCTAAGAGAATAGCGAAGAGAAACATGATCTTCACGGAAGGGCTTAGAAATGGGAGTTTCTTGCTTGGCAAGTAACGCGGGTTTATTCGTCTTGATGGATTTGAGGATATGCTTAAAGATCAGACTTTTGAGTATTGCTATTTTGAGAGTAATCATCAATAAGGTCAAGATCAATGTCTCTCCTGGCTCTTCGTTTCACTGCTCTGAGCCAGGCTGGTTCCGAGTATGCTTTGCTACTATGGACGAAGACACACTCCAAACTGGACTACAAAGAATGAAAGAGTTTGTGCTCGGAGACATAGAGATGAAGAACTGTAACAACAAAAATGAGAACAAGAAATGAAAGATTTTCCAAAAGAATCTCAAGCTGAGTTTCTCTACGATGATGTACAATGAACATGTTAGGTCACCGAGGTTGATGTCCCCTCATTCACCATTTCTCCGAACTTAAATATATAGTGTTGTTATGAACATACTCAAATAGATTGGCTATACATCTCAATAACAAAGTACAGGACTCATTAAAAAGATGGTCGCATGCAAAATATATATTTGTATAAATTTCACTTTCCAAGCTCTTTTTTTTAATGAGTTTACTGATTCTTAATGTTCAAGTGGTAACGTATCTTTTAATTTGATTTCTCGGAATCTTTTCAACATGAACACAACAAATTTCACCCCGCTTTTTCGTACGGCCCAAGAAATATTTCATGATGTTGTTTCCAAAGAGCTCAAATTTTTTATCTCATGGTTGCTCTCTTTATCAAACAACTTTGAGTCACCTTTAACCGAGAGACTAAAGAAACTCGATCGTGCCTCAAAACAAATGTGAAATTATCACCTTACCTTGGATGATTCTTGCTATGGAATCACTATGTAGATTGTAGACACATAATGATCTAAACACTCCTTATCAATTATAAGGCTCAAAAACAAAAATACTAATATTATAACGGGACAGAAAAGAATAGAATAACAAAACTGCAACCAAAAAGGAAAGAGCAAACCTTTGTATCCAAAAAACTTTACGCTAAACTTGATAACATGTAGCAAGAATTATCTGAAGGTATTTATTTATTTTATTATTTTCGTTGTGTTTACAACAAATCAGACAATAATCGAATACTTATATTATTTTAATGTGATTCCTCTTATTAAAGTTAGAGATATAATAAGCAAAAATTGATGTCATGTGAATAATTTAATTATTATATCATATCATATATTAGATTAGATATTTAATGTATGCTGTATAGTTTTGTTATGTGATATGTGATGTGCTATAAGCTATCAAATACTGTATAAGTTAAACTCTTATTAAAGCTACTTGACCTAATTAATTAACACGTAAGCCTAATGTTATCATTTATAGTTCATCATGATCACGACAGGACGCACAAAACAATATACAGTTCATCCGCAGTATTGTGCATATATTGTTTCAACTTTCAAATTCACATGCATGCAGCAACAACAACAAACAACCAGCCAGTAGAATGATAAGTATTATTATATTAACAATTTTTTTTCATCAAAAGAAAAAATAAATAGGTACCATTACATTCACATGGATGTAGTATATATATTAATACTATATTATACACATTAAACAAACAACAAGGGTGTAAGTATGGGTCCATTTCCAATAATAGTCATGGTGTACAACAAATTAGCTGTGCATGAGGGTAGAGAAATAAGAAACCCAATAATTTACTATGAATAACAAGACTTATACAATGCGGTTTGTCTCTTCTCTCTCTCTCCCTCTCTTTCACCTTCAAACCCTAACACCTCATTATTTCTCACTCTCTCTCAGTCCCTTCTACAGTTTTACTTACCACGATTACAACAACAAAATAAGAAAAGGAATATTTTTAATAATAAGATTTCTATTAATTAATCAATAACCCAAAAAAAATTATTAAAATACAAAAACAATTAGCCTATACGGGTACATCGGTTACAACATGCAATAAAACCGGAATCGATGTTTCTTGAATTGATCTACACACATAAAACCGGAATCGACGAGGCAAACATCGATTCATAGATTTACCAACGGCTCTACTTTTTATGTGTGTGTATTTCTTGAATTGTATATGATAGTGATAGTGATCGTGATCTCTATTTCTTTCTCGCCCTTTGTCACACAAGTAAGACTTGTTCATATCGTGGATTCTACATCGATTATCTTTCTCTCTCCGCTCTCTCTATTTTCCTCCCTTTGTCGACCCAACTAAAGGTATTCATCGTGGATCAGTCTCGCTCTCCCTTTGTCGAACCAACTAAAAAACCTAGTTACGATCTCTCTGCAACAACTATCTCCCTCCGCGATTGTGTTACGATCTCTCTGCAACAACTATCTCCCTCCGCGATTGTGTTACGGTCTCTCTGCAAATCTCCCTCCGCGATTGTGTTACGATCTCTCTGCAACAACTTTCTATTTTTCAAGGTAACTCTCTCTCTCTCTCTCTCTCATCTCTGTTTTTTATAACCTGTGATACTAAAACGAGTCATTTTTCTGTTTCTTGAAGAATGATGATGTTTCGTGCGAAGGGGTTAATCAAGATAACAAGATTTCACATGGGTACTTCTTTTTTTTTCTACGTATCTTTCCATTTCTCTTCAAACCCCCTAATTTTCTTTTTTTCTGTTTCAAGATTTCAGTTTTCTTTGTTTTCTTTTGTTACAGGCCGTAGCTTTTCGAGCAGATCCAACAAGAGAGTTTCCGAGGTATCTCGAAGTACTTTGTAGCTGGGCTTTTATTGGGCTTTTTCCGTCATTAGGCAACTCGACCTTTTTTGTTTTTGTACATTATTTTTTGTTCTTTTAAGTATTTGAAACAGAACAGAATCAATATTTACTAAATCTTGTAATTTTGATTTTGTCACATAATCGTGATTTAGTAATTAACTTATGATTCTAAAATACATATTGGCAGGAAATCGACCAGTTGGTAGATATGTATAGCGAACGCATTCCACTTGGCGTTATTAGAGCTGACTTTGTGAGTGACATTGCTCAGCTGGTTCCTCCAGTCCACCATCTCCAAATGAAATTCCGGGAACTGAAAACAGGGGAGGAGGAGGAGAACAAGAAACTGGAGAAGAAGCTACAGCTGGTTCCTCCAGTCCACCATCTCCAAATGAAATTCCGGGAACTGAAAACAGGGGAGGAGGAGGAGAACAAGAAACTGGAGAAGAAGCTAGAGAGTCTGATGAGTTCTGGTGTGCGTCTTCTTAGGGTTGTCGCTTCAAGGGAACCAGTCTCTGTGGTGAGACTGTTTCTGCACCATGGCCTGGTTGATTTTAAGAATCCAGGTGCCCATATTCGTTGCATCAAAAAAGTTCATTGCCTTGCTTTGAAGACTGGGATGCTTGAAGATGGCTGGATGTTGTCTAGGCTCATGTCGTTGTATGCCCAATCGTCTGCACAACAAATGGAGCCAGAGGAGTTGGTAGAGAGACTCTTCCACCACCATCATGCTTCAAGAAGAGGAGACTGTAGGAGTTACAACTTACTGTTGAAGCTCAGAGGACAACATGATTTGTTGAAGGCTGAGAAGCTATATGCTGAAATGCTGAAGATCTTCCCTCCAAATCCTCACACATTCAGGATTTTAATGGAGGTCCATAGCCAACACTGCCTACCAGAAAAAGTGGCAAAAATCTTCAGTCAAATGCAACAAATTGGAGTTACAGCAGAAAGGGTTCACTATGCAATGGTAATAGACGCTTTGGCAAGAATCGGAACGCCACCTTACCTCCGAAAGGCTGTAATATTGATCACAAGGACTCCATTAGCGCAAGAACCTGCTTCGTTCAACATCATTCTCAGCCGTTGTGTGCCAAAGATCTCCCCAACCTCTGCACTTTCTTCTCCAGAAGAAAGGGACCAGATATTAGCTGATACTAAAGAAAAGAAGAATATTGCTGAACAGTTGGTCAATGAGATGCATAAGAGGGGGTTTGTATACTCGGTGAACGAAAAGACTTACTCGAGACTTCGCAAGGTAGGCTTAAAGTGGCCTACCACCGTGACCACCACCAAAGAATGAACAAGGTGAGCACGGTGTGTTTTGCTTTTCTCCGATTTCTGGTGTTTCTTCTCTTCTGACCCAAAATAGCCAAACAGATAGTAAAACTCCATGTGTGGAAATGTATATCCTATTCTTTTGAGGATTATGTTTATATCTATATACAAACACAAGGATCAGAGTTGTAGTTTCAAACCTTTTATCGAGTGATGACTTCTTTTGGCTGGAACCGAAAATAAGAAAACCCAGAAGCTTAGGCGATGCTGTATCTGATTCTGTTGGCGCTTGCTCAATTTCTCTTCCAGATCTCAGCAAGCACCTCACCTTCCAATTGGCAAATGAGATAAAACATCATTACTGAGGATTAACACTTTACATTTTCCATGTCAAACAAACTCTAATAACATCGAATACATACCAGCTCTCCAGCAAGATCATAGAGGGACTCATCAAGTGTCGCCTGCAAATGTACAAATGTACTTGTATTCAGAACACACGGAACAAAATTGACAAGAACATAGTGAAATGATATACATGTCGATGGCGACAGCTGAAATTACCTGCAACAGCCGTAGTGCGCAGTACTGACTAACAGCAGGACCTTCGAGTTTAGCAATCACCTGCACCATTTCTATACTTAGTGTGCGATTCAAAACATAGCCTAACAGATTTCTACAGTGTTCTGTGATAGTTACTACATGCGCCCTAATGATGGATAAACCATTACTTAATTAAACATACTCAAGGGTTAAGGACTTGCTAGTCTTACCAGTATATAGCAAGCTGCAGTACGATACCATCTTCGCTGGAAGCAGTCCTCAAACAACCTAGAATCCAAAATAAGATATCAAGTTTCATATCATAGAATACAGTTTAACCAATAAAAATTGCAGACAATATCAATTGCAATCTTAGCAACTGTTCAAGTGTCTGGCACAGTAAGACAACCTAGTTATATAAGTGTTATGAGAAACAAAAGAGAAAGCCAAAGGCCATATACAGAGACAAAGAAACATACGTTGTTGAAATCCCAGCAGCAGAAAATAAATCAGCCCAGTGACGGGCATCGGTTTATCTGGCTACATTCACCACTACATCATAGTACTCCGGGAAATTTTTTATTAAATCACAAGCATTCCTCAAAAGTGATAACTTTTTAACATGTTCAGGTCCTGAAATCTGCTTCCTGATTGCATTTGGCCTGAAATGTGTAAATATGCCACATGTTTGGAAAGAATATCAAACTAAGAAGCACGACAAGAAGTTTGAGTAAAAATTACGAAGAACAGAGATTGACAGGCCTTGCATACCTAGAAATCTCTGCATCAAATACAGTAAAAAGAAGCCACTCCAGGCAATGGGAGAAGTGAGGTTTCTCTGCAGATAATTGTGCTAAGAGTAACGCCTCTTCATTTTTATCCCTCTGTCCTCAGTATGAGAAATGAGAAAAAAAATTAACAAGTAGAAAATAGATAAAGGCAAAGAGATCGGAAAGTGGCAGAGTCAAGAGGCCGTTCTTACTAGAGAAGAAAGAGGACGAGACCAAAATATACCTGAAGGAGGTGGCGGAGCAGGCAATGGAGTATAGTCTGAGCTTGAGGTGTAGGCTCAAAACTTGGAAACTCTGCACTTGCCGAAAAAGACATTCTTTGAGAAACTCCAACAACGACACCCACGTTTGGTAGAAGTCCCAGGGGATACACCTCGCGATCAAATTCCAACTCTGGATCCAACTAAAGCATGTAACATAAAAAAAAACGCATTGAGTTGATAGACCAGTAAGAAAAGTATATGTCATCAAACAATTATTGGTGACATAACGATAAGCTGCTATCTGTGAAAAATGGACTATAGTTACCTGCAAGAAATCCTCTTGCATAAAAGGATCATCCCCTTGAGAAGGATACCAAACCTGTAACAGAGAGCGTAAAACAACTCAGGTAAGCAGGGGACAAAAAACTGTCAAGACTTCTGGAGCAATCCTAGAAAGGGTAAAAAAGGAAGTAAAGTGGGCATCGAAAGCAGCTATGAATGAGAAGAATTACCTGCATTCCTCGATGCCCATAATCTAGCCAAGATACTTCCTCAACAAGATTTGTCTTTTCCTCCGACTGACCACATGTCACCCAAAATAGTTCAACTGAATCCGTAAGTTCCCTCTCTCGTCCATCAACCAAATCAAGAAGTGAAAGCTCCCCATTTCCTCGGAGTATAAGACATCTGTGGAGACCGCAAAGGCAATTAGAACGACAGCACAAGCTGAAATGGATATTCTACTCTACTGATTATTACCTTGAGGGTTCCCTGTCTGACAGATCAGAAGACACACTCTCATTATCCAAGTCGCGTTCTCTCGGGTGCTGGTCAGGAACGAATCGCATTGCTGCTGGATGGCTCTTTGCAGTCATGATGGACAATTCTCTTACTGTGGAAAGCTGTTTGTCATTTTATCACTTTAAGGTGCATGAAAAGCAACTCAAGCGCTCGCATTTGGAAGTTAAAAATGAAAATAATCAAAGAAATGAATCGAAATAACTAACTACCTGTAAGTCTGCTTTGCTTGATGGTGTCAATTCACCATATATCTTCACATGGTACACGTGGATGATAAATGGAAGGTAGGATACGAGTATATAATCCTGGTACACATCCATCACCATTGGTTTTCCAAGCAGCACTTTACGACAAAGTAGAGAGCTCCGATCAAGGTGATATCTTGGATAGAAAAGCAGTTCGTATCTGCAATCATTAACAACATACACTTGAGAAATGGAACAACATTCAAAAGGCAAAATGCCCAGAAATACTAATCAGAATAATGCTATGTAACAACCTCTGGAAGAGTCACAAAGACAATAAATCTAGCTACTGAACCATATTCTGTAAACTAATAATATAGATTGGGCCTTACGTGTCAGAAGTTTCAATATAGTTACAGATTACGACAATCTTCCCCAGCCATAACAAACCCTTGCAATGGATCTGTTGTTCTTGACTGACATCTCCAAATACTCTCCATTTCTTAAATCTGACGTCATACAAAATCAAACCATGTAAACCAGCAGCCGCCAAGTATTGCCCGTCTTCGCTAGCTGCCACGTGTTGAACAGGCCAATTTTGAGTAATATAAGAAACCTGGACCAAGAAAATAACATATACAAATTTATTTAAAGAAGTGAAATGGCGAAGGAGCATAAGGATATAACGGATATGTAGAGACTCAACTGGAAGTTTTAGATGTAAAAGCTTGAGGTCATCAGTGTCCTCCGCCTGAACCATGAGTAGTCTATCTTCACCATACATTACCTGACGAACATAAGTTTTTCCTGAAACTCCTCTGTTTAAGCAACATCTCCCAAAAGAAAATGCAAGAACTCTATCACAAGATGCCTCCTCCGTAGCGAATAATCTGTATCCATATTCATCCCACTGGATGGCTGAAGTACCACTCATCAGCGGTTCGTATTTACAGTCTTGGTTTGGGTTAATTTTAGGAGAAGAAGTAGAACTCAGTCCAATTTGGCGGACAGTTGACATCAATCTACATCCAGAAACAGACCAAACTGCAAGTCCTCTCGACTTCCACCCAACAGCAAAAGCAGAATTATCAGGCGTCCATGCAATGTTACTGACAGGCCCAGTGTAATCCGCTGAATAACTGCAAGTTTCAAAATAGTGTTATCGACCATGTACCTAAAAAGCCTGTGATATCTTGGATATAAAAGCAGTTCATAGTAACAAGTTACTTACCCCCAGTCATGCAAAGATACTGTACGTAGGAGAGAGATCGATTGTGAAACATCATACAAATCAACCGTCCCTTTTCTTGTACCCACAGCAAGAATCTGTTGCTCTGAAGCCACTGATGCACAAACAGCATCACCATCCAACTTCTGCTCAGCTTTAATGCTCTCAGTGTACTTTAAACCTTTCTTATTCACAGAGCATACCAGTAGCTGCCCATCAGAATTCAACACAAACAACAACTTCGAGAGAGTGCAGAGTTCCAACTGAATAATTGCCGCTTTTGTTGAGAATTTATCATCGGATGCAAGTGTTGCTGAAGCTACTCCAGAAACTAGCCCATTCCCCACACTGTAAGACAAGAGGCTATCGCTGTTGCTATCAGAGCCTTGGGAACCAATGCTGAAAGCTCCACCAAACTAGATAAAAATAACAAAGATTTAGAAATTTGGAGTGCTGCATATGTAGACAATCAAAATGTACACAAAGATGCAAGACGAGGAAGATCCGTATTACCTCTCCTTTCCAGGAAATACTATATAAACATCCATCAGAGAGTCCCAAAAGCATAGTTTTGCTGTCCCGCACAATATTACTCCTGCACAGAGTGAAAGAATTCGCCTTACATATTTAATCCCAGAAAACGTTACTGTAGAATCATATGGTCAACAGTGGGCTCGGCAGAGACACGTAGAGAAAAAGCACTTACACAGAGAAGTCCTTCCCAGCAAAAGGGACCTGCTCACTTAGCAAAAGAGATACGGTTCAAAATCTAGCTGCCGTCGCAAAACACAGCTCCGAGGGCTGTTTCTCTCCAGTCTTTATTTGTTTATCCATAAACTTTATTTTATATATATGAAGGAAGAATCATGCTGTCTGCAAATCAAAATCGATAAACCAGAACAAAGTGAAAAGACGTACGAATATAAACACACAAGAAACGAAATGAAATGACAAAAATGTGATAACAAAACAGGTAAGTGCCAAGCTTTCACGCCTCTATATCAAACGATTCAAACAAGAAACTACTAAAATTGAGAGAAACTTCAGAATCTCTGAAATCATCAAGCTTTTTCAAAATTGGAAAACTGGGTTTTTTCCTCAGAGCCATCTGTGAGCTGGAGAAGGATTGATGAAACTAATCGAGTAAGAACTTACAAGAACAGCGATTAATTTAGAGTCTGGACTCCACACAGCTTGCAAATTCTCTCCTTCTTCTCGCACCGACTTCTCATCTCTCATATACTTTCCCCAACCTCACTCGTTGCTATTCCATAAAATTCAAACAAAATTGATTAGTTAACGGACACTAGACCCCAATTACGAATCACAGTGACGAAATGCAGAGACGATTTAAGCAACCTGAGAAGAACCCCAAAGCTCCAAGTGATACGGAGAAACAACCAGCAAAGCCGCCCGGCGAGATTAAGGTACACGACTCGCTGCGAATACGGATACGATCCCGCCTCTAGCGGATCACCTGTGGCCATCCGTAAGCCATATACATCTTGACGCTTCTCCTGAAAATGAAACTCCAATCCTTGGCTGTATCTCTCTCTATCACTCTCTGGTCTCTACAATGGATCCGATTCAGAGGAGAGGAACTAGAGATTCTGTTCATATAAAGAGATCATAGAAACATTTGCTGGAAAAGGAGAACCGCACGACGCGAGGAAGAAGATGAACAGATCCATAGCATAAAAATTGAAGTGCTGACAAACAAACAAAATTAAATAAAGTTGACCGGCCGGTTTATTTTTTATCGGAATTTACTTTTAAGTCCTGCCAAAAGAGAGATACACAGCCAAGGATTATCTTTTAGGGGTATCGGTTTATTTTACTCTTAAGTCCGGCCGGTTTATTTTTTATCGTATTTTAATTTTTATTTCCTAAAAATTTGTTTGGTTTGTTTTACAATAAATTTCACCAATAAAACATTAATGTCCGTTTTCACATGTTAAAGTCGACTAAAAATTTGACGGAAACTTTCAAACTGATGCCATACAAATTTCATTGTTATTAATCTTTTATTACTAAATGCAATAAAATTGAAACAGAGATACATTATCAATTCACTAAACATAGAACAATAAATATTTTTGTAACAACTGTATTTTATTAATTAATATAAGGGTAATACAAATAGTTTATCAACCAAATTTTCTTATAAGGCATCTCACTAACAACTGACAAATGGGGAAGATTAACAACTGACAAATGGGGAAGATTGAGAATTTGAGATATCGATTAGGGAAAGCAGCGAATTTGCCTCAATTGATAAAAAGTTGCAAAGTGGAAATTGTCTCTTTTAAATAGAAGAAGACTAGCCGAATTAAAACAAGAAAGTGAAAGAAAAAAAATAAGGAAGAATGGTCAAAAGAGATCGGAGACCTCTTTTAGAGCGGCGTCGATCATTTTGTTGGAGGATTCAAGAGCATCGTCGATTCTCCCAGCCTTGAGGTAAGCGTGGAGGATTGGTTTGAAACTGGCCGAAGCGGGACCATGAGCAAGTGAATCAGCAAAAGCAAAGAGAGAGTCAGCTTCGGACAAGAAGCCGTTTTGGAAACAGCTTGTGATAATGTATCCGCCAGTTGAGAATCCGGCCTTGTTGTAGGTCTCGATTGCCTCGCTACACCGACCCATATCAAAACACTCGTTCACCATTATATGAACGGTACCAACTTGCAAGCGTCTGTTACTATCGGTTCCACTTTGATCAAACATTTGATGGTACAATGCCCAAGCATGGTATTTCTTGCCGTACCTGAGCAGGACCTTCAAAAGGGCGTTGCCAGTCTCTGGGCAAACCGGTAACTTGTTTGCTCGTAGAAGAGACTGGTTGTAACACTCCATAGCTTCCACCTCTTTGCCTTGCTTAAACCAGTAGTCCATGAATGTCGCCGTCAGGAATGTGACGCTGTTTTCATATCCGGGATAGTTGTCATTGAAAAACTCATACGTAGACTTGGAACGGGCTATACTAGAAGACAACATGCGTTTGAACTCGTGCAAGACTAGATTCGCCTTGTCTAGATTCCCAAGATCCAAGTACCCGCGAATCAGATTGTTAAAGGCCACGTGGTCGGGGAAGATGAACCTATCGACTGTCGTCCTAGCCTTAAGCAAGGCTTCGGCTTGGTCCAACCGACCCGAGTGGACTAACCCTTTTGTCAACACCCTCAAAGTGTCTTTGCTCGGGTAACCAGAGGCCATACCGGGTGTGATGGATCTGTGGAAGTCGAGAGCTTCTTCGACAAGACCTTGTTGGAAACGAGACTCTATCATGTAGTTGCAGCATTGGCTGTTGGGAGTGAGCTCATGCTGCTTGAAGAAGTAATCGTAGAGATCGTAAGCGTCCTTGTGCCTTTTCTCTTGGAGCATGCTTCCGATGATGTGTTGACATGTTGTCGCTGTGTACTCCGGTTCACTTCTGCTGAAAACAGCCAAACGAGCGTACTTGGCCGCCGTGTTGCCATCCCCAACGCCGCCCAGGTACGAGACTCTCATGCATATATCCTCAGGGCGGCAATCTGGGTTTGCCATTATGTCCTCCGCTCTTCTTGCCACCGCGGTGGAGAAGCGCCGACCAAGTGTCACGCGCCCGATCAGAAACATCATTATTAGATTAGTCCAGCAAAACGGCAGCTAGGTTTTTATGACGGGGTATATATATATATATATATATATATTATTCTCTTCGAAATAATCTTTAGTTGCGTTCTCTCTCGCCTTTAATCTTTAGTTGTTACACGAAAAAGGAAGTCAACTAGGTTTAAAGTAAGTACGAACGTACTCTATTTATGTCAGTCAATCAGAGATAGAACAAAATCTTTGTAAATTCTTTTGTTAAAAAAAAGCCTATGCTTCCTCATGGTCAACAACCATAACGTCTAAGACAATGATGAAATCCAAAGCACCACTACCACTAATTCATGAGGCTCGATGAATAGCAAGCTTTCTTAGAGTTGAAATCTTCATCTTGTCCAACATGTTCATAGCATCGTCGACTCTCCCCACCTTCACATAGCCATTGATCATTGCTCTGAATGTCGACACGTCAGGTCCCGCCGCCATCAGATGTTCGTCTCTCTCAACGTCTGAAAACATGTCAGCAAAGAGCTCCTCTGCCTCGGACACGCGTCCTTGTTCGCAGAGACGCTTGATCATCGTCCCATAACAACCTACACCTAACCACTCGAAGTCGAAGGGGACAATCGTGTCACTGAAACCCTTAAATATTATGTCAACCGTCTCGGAATTACAGATCATCTCCTCAAACAAGTCCAAAGCCACTGTCTTCTTACCGTGCTCCACCAAGACTTGCAAAATCCTATTCCCGACAATGGGATTCACCTGCAACATAGGCTTGTCCAAACCCTTGTAAATCTCCATAGCTTCCTCATCTTTGCCTTGCTTGAGCCAATACCTCATAAACGAAGCACTAAAGACTGCGATTGCCTTGTGGTATTCTCTCCATGGAAGTCTACTGTTGGGTTCTTTCAGGTCCTCAAAGATTTGGCTAGCCTCTACGAATCTCCCAGCATCCAAGAACCCGCGGATGAGAATGTCGTAGACCATGAAACTACGACGTTTCATTGATCTCTCTAAAGCACAAGCTTCGTCGAATCTTTTGGCAGCAACCAAGGCTTCCGTGAGTATCTTGTACGTCTCTATCCCTGGAGACACACGTCCGTCGAGGACCATGTGACGGTAAAGCTCAAGAGCCACGTCGACGCGGCCTTGGTCGCAATGTGCTTTCATGATGAGATTGCAAGAGAGCGTGTTTGGGAGGACCTGAGACTCGTTGAAAAAGTAGTTGAACAGAGAGAGGGCTTCCTCGTACCGTTTGGCCTTGCACATGGCTCCGATTACGGAATTGCAGATGAACACCGTGTCTCTGTCGTTACGGAACCTGTCCACTACGGCGAGGTGCGAGATCGTGGCGGCTTCGTCCAGATTACACATCTCGATCATCGCCGTGACTCTGTAGCGCAGAGATATTGGGCGGCGATCGATGTAGGTCTCGTAGATTGGGAATATTTTTGGGACTGAGGAAGGCTCTCTTCCGAGTGGATAAGGAATGAACGCCTTCGCAGCGTTTGATACTGTCGGACTTTGGACAATGCGGCGGAGGACGGACATTGCCGGCGGAGGAGGTGTTTGGTGTTACTTAGGGCTCAGTTTTCTTATCCAAATCTTTACGTTTAATTAATAATCATAATCGGTGGTCAAAATATACAGTACATATATATAGACCTTTCTTTAAAACCCATTTACAAGTGGCCTAAACGGATTTTCATCATACACTAATTTTTTTTTAAAGTTAATAACATTAGTATCTCAAAATTGTACTATCGATAAATTAATTTACAGAGATGCTTATGTCCTTTTTGGTCCTTATTTCTTTATTGTACCTATTGGTACTTCCATGTTGAACCCTCTCTTATTTGGTTTCCCCGATTATCAATGAAATTCAGTGTTAGAAAAAAAACCTCTTATTATGGATCACATCAAAAAAACTTACTGAAGGATCTTTACTTCTTCTCAAAATGAAGAGCCTGAGAGCAAAGAGAAGTTCCACAGCTTTTGTCACTTAGAAGAAGGTGAATCTGAAGACGCCATCTTTTCAGCTGATGCCGCAGCAGCAGAAGCAGCCTTATCGAGTCCCATTTTCTGTAACTCGCTTAAGAATCCATCAAGGTCGCTGGAGGAGATCTTGTAAGGGCTGTGAGAAGGACCTGGAAACACGTGTTTGGATACTTCTTCCTTATACTCCAAGAGGGCTTTGTTAATCACTTCTCCTACTTGAGCGTACTGCTTGCAAAACTTTGGAGTAACCTGAAAGATGAAAGGGTTTAAGGATTTAATACTCAAGAAAAACAATAAGAAGCAGTGATGATGGTTAATTGGTTCAGAAATTGACCTTAGCATGATGTGGATGCTGCATCATTCCCAGAAGATCATGGTACACTAAAACCTGCATCCACAAGAAAAACATGACACACTTGATCATAATAGTAGATGACTCACTGTTTTTGTGCTGATCTTACTCTCTAAAATCATGCAAAAAGGCCAACATTTGAGAAAAATGGTTAATTAAAACGAACCTGTCCGCTGCAGAAAGGACCAGCTCCAATGCCAATGGTTGGAATATGAAGAGCAGAGGTTGCAGCAGCAGCCACTTGAGGAGGAACACATTCCAACACAATTGAAAAGCATCCAGCTTCTTGTAAAGCCATTGCAGTCTCCACAACCTATTACCACAAAATAAAATCAAACAATCTTCAAAACATGACCTTGTAAAGATTGCTTAGGCTCAATTTGCAGACCTTGACAGCACTAGCTATGTTTCTCCCCTGTGGCCTGAAACCACCAAGAACGCTTATAGCTTGAGGAGTCAACCCAACATGTCCCATAACCGCAATTCCTGCTTCCACAATGGATTTTGCAGCAGTGATTCTCGAAGGTGATCCTCCTTCAAGCTTTATAG